TAGAAATATTTTAAATCCTACATAGGTTGGCAAATTTTTAATTGGTTTAGAGAAAGTATAATAATATTAATGATATAGAATAAATTTAGAAGAGAAATGACAATATCTAAGATATGGAATATATTTGATGATCATAGTGAAGATGAAGAAGTAGATGTTGAAGTTAAAGAAGAAGATTCAGTTGAAGAACAAACAAGGAAAAAAGTATAAATTTGAAATTTGTTATGTTACATGTCTCATCAATAAAAATAATAAAATATTATATATCTTAATAGAATTCAAAAAAAAAAATATTCATAATCATTAATTTTTGTATCCATAATAAAAAATACTACCACCTATCATTAAAGATATCAACAACATTAATAATCCAATTTTAGGACGATAGTAGAGCCAACAAAAACAAATAGAAAATATAGTAATTGGTATTGCACCAAGAAAACCATAAATAATAAAACCAAATCCACTCAATTGATCTGTTGGAATCAATTATGGTAATTATGATACTGGAGATAATAAAATTGTCGATCCGACAGCCTATATTATTCCATTTTTATTTATACTATCAAAATATATCCAATACTTCTATAGACCCAATAAAATAATGCATTTTCATTAACAATTTTTTATAGACATTCTTCAATAGTTAAAAGACCTTAAAAAATCAAATAAATTTCTTTAATTGGTTTACTGTCATTAGGAAGTTAGATATCACAACAACTTTTCTCTTCACCTTGATTATCTCTAGATACAGTTTAATTATATGTATCTTCAAATTACCAAATTAATAGAGAATTCATGATTCCTTTAGCAATAATTGTGGCATCACTACAAATTACTTATTTGAAACATATTCTCAAATCTCCATTTATAATTTGATCTTCAACCTAATGCATATATATATAATCATTTTATAGTAAACTTAATAAATTTATTAAATATATACAATCTACTAAATCCTCTATCTTTGTATCTCTATTACAAGATTTGAACATTTGCTTAATTCAACTTAACAGTTTCTAAAGGAGTGTCTAATTTATTTTTCATATCTTCTGGCAATTCAAATTAATGTAATTTAACACTTGTATTTAAAAATGTTTCTGAATTTATAATCCATTTTGATTTGTCATTATTATATCCAAAAATGTTTTCAACATAATGATCTACCCATTATTACTCTTTTTATTTATCCCCTATAACCCATTAATACATTTCCACATTTCTATACAATTTTACACAATTTATTTATGAAACACCAAATTCCTTATCAGTAACTAATTCATCAGTCATCAATTAACCAGTGATGTGAATTAAATCTTAAGGATTTGATTCTTAAAAAGGTGTAAGAGATACACAATTCTATCTTGCATATTAAAGTCGATATGAATTTATAGCTGCCTTTCTTTCATTGAACCACAATAAGATAATAGAGATTGTTATGCATATCATACCAACATAAACTAAATTAGTTTCTAAATCTCCTGAATCTGAACGAAGATGATGAATATGCTTATGAATAGATGAACCTAATGTAATTGAAACAAGGGTAAAAAATTTGAAATATTTCATTAATTAATATGTTTTATGTTCACTAAACCATTATACCAATCCATCATATGATCTTAAGAATGGAACAACAAATCTATTGACCCTTGATTTAAAGTGAGAATTTGCAAAGGCCAATAAGAGAGGCTTGGAACATTGTTTTCTTTCTCTTATATTTTACTGGGCTTTTTCTTTAGATATCCCTGTATTTATTTTGGAATTATAACTCTTAAAATTTGAGAAAGTAGTAATGAAGAGTCAATTATCTATGGTTTCAATTAATTTCTAAATTCTATTCTATCTTAAACTAATTATGCCATCCTTAAACCATAACCTAATGAAGTAGGATTTTAATTTTGAAATACATCAAATTCCCTTTTTGATGGTTTATTAGAGAATTTTTTGAGTAACAAAGTCCCTTTTGTTAAGGATTTCTTTAAAGGAGTATCTTTAAAAAAGTAAGACTTTGACATTTGAGGACTGATTTAAGCAGTTGAATGTTTATTACTAAATATAGTTTTGCTATGTAAATGTTATCTGATAGGATGATTTTTATTTAACAATTATTCCTCAGAAATAGTTTGTAATTTGATTGGATAAGAAGATTTAGTAATAATATTATTGAATTCATCCATGTGTTAGATTAATGAGTCATCTTATGATAAATAAATTATTTATTTTGAGAGTTCTGTTTATTGGATTCTTTTATAATAATAAATAAGATTACATATATGATAATTGGAGAGTATCATCTTTCTTTTATAGTATGGATTGATTTGTATTATTTGATTATTATTATTATTATTATTATTATTATTATTATTATTATTATTATTATTATTATTATTAATTTAATTAATTAGATAAATCATTATCCACATATTAAATATTGTATTGTATAGCTTTATCTATTTAGTTGAATTATTGATAAATTTATATAATCCCTTATATCTTTTTGTTGTACTATGCGTATATCATTCCTTTTATCTACTATTACTATTCAATTAATAATTGTTAATATTTCTCTTCTCCATGAATTACTCTAAACCCCTTAAAATCACTAACTTAATTTAATCGACACAATTACTCCAATTAGTCATATATTATTCAAAAACTAGTAAAGTTTACTCTTCTATTCTTTTGTTTAGTTCTTAATATAATGATTCTCTTTCTTTAATTAAAGTCTTAATCTTTTGATCTGAAGAAACATTATTTTGAATTTCTTAATCCAATTATTCAAGTTTAATAGTCAAATTATATTCGAAAGTACTATTTGCTTTATGGAACTTAAGTAATTCTTCAAGTTCTTCATAATGTCCTATCAATTCAGCACGTTAGAGTAATTTAGCATTCAAATCTTCTATCAACATTTATTGCCATTCTGTATTCATTTTAAAATATTATATTTAACTGTTAGTATAAATTAATAAATATAGATCATTCATTTTTTTATAAATTCACAATATGGCTTTTCAATTCTTGTATTTATTTATTTGATTTTTGATATTGTTCATCCATAAATTAATAATCATGATGTTTATTCTTATAAGTAGCTAATTCTTATCTTAATGAAGCAGTTTGAGCATTTAATCTTTAAATTTCTTTTTAAAGACTATAATTCTTTTCATCATTCAATTCTAAAAGCTTAATTCTATTCTTCAAAGCTTAGACCTCTTCCAAATCAATATTAGGTTTATTTGATTAATAATTAATAATTTATTCTTTCTCTCTTAACTTTTTCAAAGTTTCTTATAAAATTCTATTTTATTGTTGTAATTCTGTTTCTTTTTGTTACAATTTTTCTTATAAATCAGCAGTAATTGATGTCAATTATGTATTTTATTCTTATAGACATTTTAATTTAAATTAATCTTCTTTTTTATTATCATTAAAAACTTATTCCATTCTACTTTATTTTGATTTCCATTACTCTATTTCTAATTTAAGTTCATTAATAAGAACATTATTCATTTAATTTTATTATAATCTCTAACTGAATTGCATATTAGTATTTTTATTGACTTCTAATTCAATTTATTTCTATTTTAATAATTCATTTAATTTATTGTAATCATTTTCAATAATGTTATAATTTTATTTTAAATGATTATATTAAACATCTAATTATGATTTTTCATTTGCAATGAATTCTAATTCATTAATTTTATTAGCTTAATCTTATATTTTATTACTAGCAAATTCTATTTTAGATCTTTATTCATTTAATTAATCTATTAATTAATCAATATATGAATCAATTTATTATGATTTATTTAATTCCATAATTAGATTTTAATTTAATGCTTTTTATTATTCATAGTTTCTCAATAATTCCTAATTCTTTTCATTTAATTACATATTCTCATGTCTTAATTACATAAAATTATTTTGTTCAACTTATAATCCAACAATTTCTTATTTTAACTTTAAACAATTTCTTTTTTGTGATTCCAATTCTTATTATAATATTTAATTTTATCCAATCACTCTATTGATTTCTAATTATGCTTATTGTATTTCTGATGCTTTTTACTGAAATATTTATTAATAATAATCTATCTCTTATTATAAATTTCTAAATTACTCTTACTTTTATTATAATTAAATTTCTTATGTTTGAATAGTTGAGTTCAATTAATACACATAAGTTTATTAATTCTTGTATTCATTAATTTATTAACATAATTGTTAGTTCTCTTAATTTGATAGCATTAATGCTTCATTAACTTTTTCTAATTAATTGGTAACAAGTGTTAACTTCTCTTACAATTCATACGTATATGTTAACTGCTATCTTAGCTTTTCATTTTCAATTGCATAGTTTTACTATGATATATATCAATATAGTAATACCAATTTTTAATTCAAAAGTTCAGGTTAACCAATATAAGGCCTATCTGACAGCTATCTTAATAATTAATTATTTTCATTTTATAAATCTTGCTAAATAACAAATCACACATAGATGCATACATATTTTTTGGCTAAATCTTAAAATTGATGTTAAAGTTGAGAATCTCTATAGCCATAATCAGTGCTTGGAGATTATTGATATCTAATTGGTTACTAAATGTTTGGCAATTAGTATTTGTTAGGATCAACATAGATAGTAGTAATAGGTATATTTTGATGAGGTACATTCCTATATGGACTTTGATTGAGAAACATAAATGTAGTGAAAAATTAGTTGTTACAAACAAAATTTATTAATAAAGTTAGTTATGTATGATAAATCAAATTGAGAAACACAAATTTCTTTATATATTAGAAGTTATTTTTGAATCTGAAACTTGTATTAAATACAATAATATTCTATATTTTCTAATAATCAAATGAAATAGATATCTTTCATAAAAAAATACTTATGATATAATATTATGGAATATATATTTATTTTATTAAGTTATTATATCTTAAATATGTTATCATTAATTAGTATAATTTAAATTTCATAATCAATGATTTACTTTGGGCGAGAAAGGTCGTGTATAATCTTAAGTTTTTTTCTCTGAATTCTTAACAGAAAGAGGTTCTCTTATTTTATGGGCATTAAATTTTGAAGCTTCTTAAATCTGTTTATCTTCTATAACCAAATTTAAGATTGCACATTTGATTTAGATTGAATGTGGAGGCATAATTTAATTAAAATGAGGGAAGATGCGATTGAATTTATAAAAGGTAAGCATTCTTGCCTATAAAGATTAACACTATTTTAATTAATATATCTATTTACTTCTTTATATAGTTCTAACAATTGTTACTTGTTATTTATGAGATTTGGATTCTTTTCAATTAAATACTTTACATCTTTCAAGATGAAAATATAAATGTCTTAAATATCAAAATACAAAAATTTAACTAAATGAGCTATTATATCATTTGGTACTTGTTCATTATTAATTGTTTCAATCAATCTTTACATATTCATCCCAATATAACATTAATTTGAAAGAGTAAAATAAATCATTAAATCATCTTAAGGCTTACCAAAATCTTCATTAATTAAAGTTGTCTATGATGCTAACTTATATATATAACAATAATATGATTAACACAATTGGCCAATCAAATTATCTGTCCCATCATTTGCTTTAATATTTATAGTTAATTTTGTATTTATGATCATTTTAGAAAACTCTGCTCTTGCTACTTATGAACTGATAATTATATGGACTAAAAGCAGCATTTTGAGTTTTACATAAAAATTTTCCTTCTGTTATAAGTGATCTCCTACTACTTGTAAGAATTAGTTTAAAAATAACATCTAAATGAAGTATATATCCCTACTTTAGTTTGATCATTTATAAAAAATTGTTTAAGACGATTGCTAATTTCAAGTTAAGACATAAAGTAAGTATCATTAACAATTAGTTTCAAATCAGATAAAGCCATAATGACTTTATTAATAGCTTGAGTTGCAGTATTGTCATTTAGAAATTGTTTTATTTTCATGATCATAATATAATAATATTTTATCTGTTAAACATATATATATATCTATTAAACACATATATATCTATTGAAATCAATTAACAAATGATATGCTTTTGTTCATTAATTTATGATTTAAAGCATTTGCAATATTTTCAATATTATATGAAGGATAATAATATTCATAACTACATACTTAATCTAAATTATCCTCATTCTCTTCTTATTAAGGTATAATAGATCCAGTTTATGATTTTGGTTACTACATGATACTTGTAGATTACATCTTTTTATTAAATGAACTTGAAGAACTTGTTTATCTATTCTTTTAAGTTCTTTTAACCTATAATTCATTAGAGTTAGTAGATTTAACTAAATTTACTTTAATAGAATTTTAAGTGTGTGAATAATCAACATGTTTATGTACAAACTTTCTACTATTATAAGAGGATTCCTTTTCTTCTAATTTTATAGGAGGTATATTGTTTTATTAATGAGTTTAACTACTGAAAGTATTTTAAGGTGAATTAATAGTTTTAGGAACTTCAACAGTACCATGTTTTTGATATAAAGAATAACGAGATGATTTCTCATCTTAAAAATCATTTAAAATAGAATCTTCAAAATTATTAGTACTACCTTACAATCTTCCCATTACTTCATTAGTTAAATCAGTTTCTGAAGATATTTTATTTGTTATTGCAAAGCTGATAGCTGTAATACATATAAGATTCTTATTCATTAAGGCATTAATTCTATTTCTTCCATTATCTCTATAATAATTAACTCTATCATTTGGTTCAGATGTGTTATGAATAAGAATTAATTCTTTAAAATTTGGAACATAAAATACATGTTTGCATTTATTAAATGTGTGATTCCTATATCCACAACATGGACAAACTTCTTTAATATTATCTCTAAGCATACAGAATTTCTGAAAATCTTGATTGTGCATCTTAATAATCTATAAAAAATCATTGATATCCACATAAACAATTAATGATTCACTTAAACATCTAAGTGTAAAAGGACATTAAATTTAACGATAAAAATATTAAATAGGAAATAGATTTGTTGTTAACACTTTATTACCAATACATTAAGCAAAATTTCCCTTCATTAAAAAGAACAATTTATCCATAACTTAATATTATTAATGTAATATTGTTCCATGAGGATAAGTTAATGTTTACAATTTTTAAGACAAATCTTACAAAAAACCTCTAGTAAAAGGAAGAATTTCTAATAATGGCATAAATAGTTCTTGTCTCATTTGATATTATAAATCAGGTCTCAATCCACTTAAGTCTATAGGTTCTAACTTTTTTCTATTTTGATATCTTTATAAATTTTGACTTAGTTAAGCACTAATCTTGTATTTCTATTATGGCTTATATTATAAGAATTGTTTAATTAAATATATTGTAACTAAATAACCAATGATTGTGGCTATAATTGAAAGTAATCTTAATGGTATATTTGTATATCCATTAATTTCTAATAGTCTATTATAAGGATTTCCACTATTTGTTAACTAAAATATAGTCCATTAAAATGAAGTTATGTAGATAGAAATGTTATTATCTGAGGATCTAATTATGCACAATATTTTACTTATCTTAAGAAAGTTTTGAATAAAGTGTTGAAAATGTATGTACAAGTAAAATAGGAATAAAACAATATGTTATTTATGAATTTATTATATAGAGTCTTTATACTCTCCATAATATCAATAAAACTATTTAAAACTATTAATAAATGTTACTAAAATATTCAGATGCAAATAATGTAAATAAGCAACTTATTAGATATATAATGTCTTAGTATAAGTATTATTGAGCAATACTCCATCTATTCTCTGTATACATCTCATCAATGTACACTCCAATAAAATAGTTACATAAACTTTCAAAAATTGATAAAGCAACTTTAATAAATTGATATCAATTACAAAAAACTAAAAATAATTCTTGAGATTCACTAAATGCGAATTCCCAAAAGATTATTAAAAATCCTAACATATACATTATTAGCATAATATAACGAGTCCATAACACTTATGATGTATAAGGATTAAAAATGAAACAATTTTAAACTATGATATTAGCTTTATCATCTATTAACATTAAATGGGATTATTTAAGAATGTTAGGTTAAACGCACATAATTTTGCTTAGGAACTTAATAATATAAAACCATCTTTTGGGCCATTTTGGGATAGATAATAAGTCTCCTTTAGGTAATAGTGGACTTCCTTATGCTTTAAATTTTGGAGAGGGATTTGGAAAATAGGATGAAGAAGCTTTTCTCAATTATTCACTATGTTTACGAAAACCCATATCACTTTAATCACTAAATTTCCGACTATTTTTGGATATTAATTTTCTTCCATTGATATTTTACATCTCTATTTGGAATAGCTTTAAAGATTTATAATTTTCTTCAACTTCATCCACTTTATTAAATTCTCGTTTATCCATTGACAATCTGGAACCAAAGATATCACCTTCCTCCAAACTTTCTTTATGTTCACTCTTCTATATTTGATTAGGGTCTTCAAAATTGACATGCTTCTACACTCCAGCTTAATAGGCTTGAATCTCTTATTAGATTAAACGAGGAACTGCCAAAAATGTTTAAGATTATTAAGAGGAATGCTGAGAGTTAGTTTAATCCAAACTGTATTACTAATTAAACATTTTAAATTGTATTAGAAAAGTTTAATATTTTGATATTATAGTAAATGAAGTCATATATTAGATATTTAGAGTAAGAGAAGGTATAATGTTGCAGAACAGCTGAATTAAATTATTAAGAAATATTTATTAATAAAATAACAGAATTATGTTAAATAAACCAGAGTTGTCAAAAGAATTGAGTGTTTTCTTGGAATTGTTACATTAAGATAATGGAGAGTATAAGGGATATGAGAATTATTTAATTGGAAGTGATCTAGATGATATGGATATTCATAGTAAGAGAGGAGTCAATAAGGATCTCTCAATTATTTATAGTTAACCTGAAAGTGAAGTATCTACATAGAGAGACAATACTTCTCTCAATATTGGAGACTTATTTTCAGTTATTTTTAGAGATCTAGAAAATTAAGTGTATTCTACATTAAATTAGAGAATAAAATAATTACAAGTAAGATGGTTATTTAAACTAAGTAATAAATTCATATTTATATGATGAGAGTATCTGAGAAATTGAATGAGTTCTAAATGTAAAATTAGAGTCTTGAAACTAATAATAAACTATTAGTCTAAGCTCTAAACTCGTCTCAATAAGAGATTCAAGTATTGGCTATGTCTCATGAAGAAACTTCTAATAAATTGAAGAAATCTATTTAAGACTTAAAGAAATAATGCGTAATTTAAATTAATATTAATTAAGGAGGAATTACATAAATCCTTAGCTTACACATAATAAATTAATTAAAATTTACTATAATAAATTGACAGAGAACAATCAAACTATAAAAAGAATGAAGAGGAATTCAGAGATGCTTCTCAAAGATTAATTAAAAGTAATCAAGCTTTGCGGTAAAAGATATCTTTTATATATATATAGTGAAATAATTGTTAATATTGGCAATATTTCTCCTATGCACAAGAGTAAATTGCAAGAAGTTATTAAATACTTGACTGATGGAAGAGATACAAAACAATAAGAACTTAGAAGTGGACGTAGTTAATCTAGAAAATAAAAGGAGAATAATAGTCTCCATTATTGTATCTCAAAATTATCATCTAGCCACTCTCAATATTAGCAGTTCTAGAAACAAAAAATCAATGTCTCCTCAAGGATTCACATCCACAAGAAAATAACAAGGTGTTAATGTATTGGATACAAATTATTAAACATCTTATAAAGAGTTATTTTTAAAGAGTTTAAAAGTAACAAAATAAAAATGAAACAATATAAATCTATATATTACTATTTTCACAACTATCCGAAATTTTAAGTGACGTTAAAATTATCATTCTCTTAATATTCTAACTACTCTATATAGAATTGTTAATTTTAATATGATTCTTAAAGCTAAGCATTTTCAATTATCAAATCCTCTAATCTATTAGTTAATTATGTGATTTCTTCTTGAAATTAATCTAAATTTACTTAAAATTAGAGTGTTTGTTCAGTTTTATCACTTTAAAGTTTCTAATTAAAATAGGATTGAGTACATCTAACTATTTTTAGAGAAGATTATTTTTTCTAATGGCTTCTGATAAAATTTAAGACATATTCTCCTTTTATTTTGTTAATTCTTAGATTTAATTTTACATTTCCTTATTAGATTAGTTTTGAAAAAATGAGTTGCCATGAACTCTATTGATGTTATCTTGTTTGATAATGATTGATTATTGGTGTTTATTTTAAACGACTGGTCGAATTTGTAATCTATCATCTGCTCTTTAAGTCATATTCAAAATGCTATTATGATTGGAAAATTGTCTAGTTGGTGTCATGTCTAGACAAACATGAATTGGTCGAACATTAGTAGGAGTAATGGCAAATCTAGTTCGAGGAATAGGAGCTTATATTAGCATTTTAAATTAAATAACAGTCACTTAAATAAAATTACATTATAGAAATGAATTATTTATTGATAATAAGAAATTAATGAATGGGGGGGGGGTTAGAATTAGAATTAGTATATAGAGATTATGAATTAGGAGTATCATTTAAATAGCAAAGTAATTTGGTTAATTTTGAATAAAATAAATAAAATTAAATTAATGATGAGATTTAGGCTGATTCATCTTGTATGATTTCATGATTCCAATTCTTTCCCCAACTGATAGATATATTGTCAATATATTATATATATATATATATATATAAATGAATTAAGAGAAAGATTGCTCTTATATGTAATAGGTTAAATTTGATTTGCGTCGTCGAAGAATGCATAATGTGCCTTCAGTGTTTAATTGTGAAGCTCAGAAACGTAGGAATTCTTTCTCTCTAAGTTCTGATGCTTGTAAGAGTCCTTAGAGGAAAGCAACAAAATACTTCGAAAATCAAAATCCAGGGTAGAATGCTTATTTTTGGAGTTTGATAAAATCTAAGAGAAATGAGAATGAACAATTTGTTTAAGTGTTAAAATCTATGGGTCCTATTTAAGTGAATGAAATAGAAACAAGATTGTAATTTTTGCTAAGAAATTTTGGTTATGAAGATGAGAAATCTATGTTGGAGATTATTGAAAATGTGCAATAAAATTAAAGATGTTAATAATGGACATAGGAAGAATCACGTATCTTAATATGGGTTATTTGTAAATTGGGTGTATAACATAATTAATGGAAAGAGTTAGGAAATTTATTGAATAGATCAGTTAAAGAGTTGAAAAGTCATTGGACTGAATTAATCCATCATACATAAAGAGGATTATTATGGACAGGATAAGAAGATTAGACATTATAAAATATGATAATAACATATTTGAATAATTCATAGACTATTAATTGGAAATGTATGGCTAATGTTTTAAATAAGTCTGATAAGTAATGTTAAGATCGTTGGTATAATACACTTGATCCTTCAATATCAAAGGAAGCTTTTAGAATTGAAGATGATTTATAATTATTATAATTAGTTTAGAAATATGGAAAGAGATGGAAAAGAGTATAAAGAGAATGGTCATTAAATAGAAAGAGATCTCGTTATGATTTAAAAAAGAGATTTTATGAATTATTAAATTAACCTGATTCTGGTTATGATAGTGATACTTCTTCAAATTCATCATCTAAATATAGGAAATTGAATTAAGATGAAATGAACAAAATTTAATAATTGATTTCTGAAATGTAAATAAGTGAAGGAATGTAATTGGAAAATAAATTAGGGAAAGATAAATTATTAAAAAATAAATTATTAAGTATTGCTAAGAGTGATCTTGATAAGATGTTAAATTAATAAAGAAAAATAAAAATTTAATCAGCAAGTACACCAACAGATGAAAAGAAAAATGATATTTAAGAAGAACCTGATGAAGTAATTATGAATACTCCTTCAATTATGAATTCTTTATCAAGATGTTTATTAAAGATTAATTTAGAAACAGAAGATGATTAATTATCTATTGATAAATTAGCTATTCCAAAAGTTTAATATAATGTTGATTCAGTAGAACATCTTAAACATGAAGATATTTTTGATATCTAATTTGCATTAGTTAATGATAAAACAAATACTTTATATTATGCTAATTTAGAATTCATGTAATAATTAATTAATTTGATTACAAATCAAAGAAAATTAATGTAATTAACTGATATGAATAAATAACCATAGAAAACTAAAAAGAAGTTCAGTTCTTAATAATTAATTCAAGTGTATCCAAACAAAGTCGGATTGTCACAATTTAGTTAAGATGATGCCAAATAATAATGATTAATTAATTTACCTAATTGTCAACTCTTATTTATTTATAAATGGACTTTTAATTGCCCAAGAGGTATGGACTAAACAAACCTACTTTTAAAGTGATGTACAGTATATCCTAATAAGGGCTGGCTAACATTTTGCTAAATTTGATTCCTCACTTAAAACACTCAAAAATCTAAACACATTCATAGATCTCTCTAAACCTATTAAAGAATTGAATTATATTGAACATAGAAAGGTTCGTTAGATTATGCAACATCTCAAATTCTAATCGTAGAGTCGTAAATTCATAAACCATTAGGATGAATAAATTGCAGTCATCAGTTAATAATTAGAAATGGAATTAGAAAATTTAGCAAAAGAAGATTGTCCAACACCTTAAGTAGATTTGGTCAAACTTAAATTTCCATTATAATTATAAACTAAATTTGTACATGAATCAGCAGCAACTCTTGAAACTCATTATAATCTACATCGAATTAAAGAAAAAATGAATCATCGTAATATTACATTAACAGAAAGTGATTTACTTAATAAAATTACTTAAATTAATTTCTAAACTGCAAGAAATTGTGACACTAAAGAATTTTATCATAATTTTAATAGTTCACGTCCAAGAGGAAAAAAAGAACCATAACTAAGTCTTGATGAAAAATACTAGATTCTTAAAGAATATTTAAAAGATAGAGGAATAGAGATGGGAAGGAAAGAATAAATACCAAATGAAGGATATTTATAATTCTATCATGAAGCTACTAACAGATTAATAAAATAAACTAAAGAATAATAACTTTTGAAGTTTAGAAAAAGTATTACTTTAAAAACTGCTCCTGAGAATTAGGATCATTCTCCAAATAAAAAAATGAGTTTTACAAAAATTACAACAGTACCTACAACTGTTGGTACTACTCCTGCTTTAAATGCTATAACTCCAAGTAATTTAACTATCACTCATTAATCCTTAATTAAATTGAATGTAGGTAATAATGATTCTCCTATTATCTTATCTCATAGACATAGAACAGAAAAGGAAAAATCACCTGAAAAACCTTATTCTGAAAAATGGTAGGATTTTCAGAATAAAGCTGAAGCATTATAAAGCTATTATCTTCATGAAGGAAAAGAATTCTTATAAACATTGGAGGATTTGGAGAATACAATTGAAAAACCATATTTGAGACACTTTAATTAAATAATTAAAGTAGAATAGGAGTAAGGAAATTTAGAAGAATAATAAAAATAAAACAAAATAATGAGAAAGAGGAAATAGAACTTACCAAAAAAATTAAGAATGTAAAAGATCTTCAAATCTGAATTATAATGATTTATGTGTTCGATTCATAGAATTAGTATTCCTCATAATTAATAATTTTGAGTATATATATAGAATTAATGCTTGAACCTCAAGGCAAGTCCTATTAGTGTAAAGGTAACACGTGAGATTCCGGCTCTCGAGTTCGAGGTTCAATTCCTCGGTGGGACGATTTTTTTATATTGATAATATAGATAATCAAATCAATTATGCATTCCAAATAGCTAGAGTTTGACTAGAAAATCCATAACTAATTTATGGACCCAATTAGTTTTTTAACCATCCAGATCCATAAACATTTTTACCTATCAAATTTTATTCTAATCCTGTTTATATGATACTAAAAATTTAATTATTTTTTATATACCTCTCTAAATTCTTCAAACTCCAAATACCATAATTTGGTTCCTCTTAGAATTTTAATAATAATAAATGATATTCCTTAATAAACTAATTTAATTAAACATTAATTATACAAAATCTATATATTCTGAAAATTCTCTGACTGCTAATTTCATTTCAACATCAATATCAAATCCTGTTATTAAAATACCTTAAGTAATCACTTAACAATGATGTCCTAATTAAATTGAAATACTATTGTTTATCACTGCCAAATCAGTCAATCCTAAAAAACTATGAGTAATAAGTTTGCATTAAACTATGAGTTCTGTATTTAATTTGAAGGAATAATAAGCTGAAGGTATCATAGTTCTTAAATCTCCTGTTTTATAAGAGAAACCATCAATTGGAAAATTAGAATTTGTAATAGTAACATCAAACATTCCATTCTCAGCTCCATAATTAAAATAAGTTTTAAGGAGATCCATAGATATTCCAAAAGAGTATGTATTTAATTTGATTTAATGTACATCTAATGATGTTGTGTATTCTGTTTAATAATTAAAAATTTCAACATTTAATCCAAGTACATAATTCTAATCATTAAAATTAAGTCCTTAGAATATTATATTCTCTATGGATTCAATAATTTTAGGATTTGGATCATCCAACTAATAATATTCAAACATATTGAAACTGATTTTATTAGAAATTAATTTCTCACTTACAAATAATTTCAATTTTGAACAAAAAGTTTCAGAATGATCTTAATAATATTAATTTATCATTGGATTTAAGAATTTAATAGAATTCATTGCATTTACAACTTGCATCTTTTATACTTCTGTTAATCCTTCCAAATTCACTTAAGTAATAGTAAAATCCATAGTCATATTAGGACATTCATACAATTTATATGCAATAGTCTATATTTTTTATAAATCCTTATTTTTACTTTATTATTTTAATGAACCCAAACAGAATAATTCATTGATAATGGTTAAGTGTATAATGTACCATATACTAATTTATTTTGATAATTAGTAGTAAAATCAACTTAATACTTTAATAAATTATTGTTAACATCTATTGTTCCGAATTCAGCATATGTTTTATCAGGACTTGAAATAGTTTGTTTACTAGTATCAACACTTGGTATCACTCTAGTTGGAGTAAATGTTGCATTTAAAAATGGAACACTCTCTTTAGGTAATACACAACCTTAACTTGTTATTGCTTGAGAAAATGCTTGTGTTGGAATGTCTTATTTATTATATATTATATTATACATGGTTTCCAATCAACAGTCTACATGAAATTCACTTATTCTAAATCAGTTTATGTAATTTCTGATGCTTGAAGGAAACAAATATTAAATATTATAAACATAAAAAAATAATATAATGCAATATCTCATTTAATATTGTTCTTTACAAATATGTAATTTTGTATTTCAAAAAATAACATAATATTTAAACCAATTTTAAATTAGATTATCTCCATAGATTTCTGAGATTAATAACTTGAATAGGAAATATTATTTTCAGATTTTGTAAAAACATTAAAACCATTTCAAAGTATATTATATATAATTATATAAACCTAATCATAAAAGGATTATTGATAAAAATTTACAATTAATAGTAAGGAAATTGATTAATGTAAAAATACTAAAATCAAAATCTAATTCTAATTGTCTTCAATGTAATTACTATTATAAAATTTCCTCAATAATATTAAGGGATTATAAATTATTGGTGGAGAATGTATATTTAATATATATATATATATTATATATAATTATTTTTTGGACTCTTTTCTTTGTCTAATATTTATTATTTTTAATAATAATTAATGGATAACATTTAACAAATATTAGATAATCTCAAGGAGGATTAAGAAAGTAAATTAGTTCCATTATCATAATAGTCATCATTAAAGAAAATAAATGTAGTAATTGTGATAAAACTTGTAAAACTAAAATTTCTATCAAAAATATACCTAATTTTTAACATATTTTTATAATCTCATTTAATTGTCAATAATGTGGATATAAAAATGATGAAGTGTAATTTAAAAAAGAAAAATAAGAAAAGGGTATAAAATTATAATTAAAAATTGATAATCCTTAAGTATGACTTATTTAAATATTATAGTTACTTTAATATAGAATAATTAGATCTTAACAATGCAAAGTATCCATACCTGAATTAGAATTTTAAATGTCAACCAATAAGAAGAGTTGTATTAATACTTTAGAGGGATTTATCTAAAATATAATTGATGAATTATCAAGAGATTAAATTGAGAGAAAGAATTGTTAAGGAGAGTTATATTCAGGCATACAATATATTATAGAGAATCTACAATAATATCAATAAAATAAGAGACTCCCATTTCATTGGAATATGGATGATCCATCAGGTAATAGCTTTATAATAAGTCTTAATTAATCTCTATAAGATGATAATTTAAATATTCAATATTATACAAGAGATGAAGATGAATTTGAAACTATTTTTAAAAAGTAGGAAAATCCTTAATAAAAGGATAAAATTTAAGAGGAATCAAAACCCAAATAGTAATTTTACTTAAAGATAAGAGGACTACCATTTTAATGTACAAAATCAGATTTAATAAATTTTTTGGAAATGCCTCGTCTCAAAAAAGAAATGTTGACTATGAAATTTTAATAAAATGGTTTGTTTACTGGTGAAGCATATGTTTAAGTAAATTCAATTGAAGATCTTGAATATTTAAGAACATTTCATAAATCATAAATGGATCATCGTTATCTTGAAATATTTAATAGTTGTTTTGATGAGTTTAATAAAGCATAAAAATCAAATCAATATTTAAAAAAGATCAATCCTTAAATTGCATCTGAAGTAGGTAATATAAATGAAGAAAATGAATATCAATGTTAATAACAAGGAGTACTTAAGTTAAGAGGACTGCCATGGTCAAGTACTGAATAGGATGTAAGAACTTTCTTTAAGAGTAACAATTTATATATATTATTTTAGATAATTCAAAGATTAAAACAATTAAATTTTTATATGATGATACTGGGAAAGCCAAAGGGTAGTGTTTTGTCTTAGTAAAGAATTTGGAAACAGCTGAAAAATTGAAATAAAAATACCATAAGAAATCATTGGGTTCACGTTATATAGAAGTATAAATAATTATATTAAATAGGTTTTTATATGTACTCAAAGAGAATATCTTGCATGTTTTCAAAAGAGCTTTTCTGAGAGAAAGAGAAGTATAAGTCCTTGATAGACAATGTGATAATTTAATAACTTTATTTTAAATATCATAATTGATAGAGATTTATAATAAATAAAATATTTAAATTATTATCGTTGAAAATATATATTTAAAAGATTAAATATTTAATTAAAAAGACTAAAAGTTTCAATTGTTTATGAATATTATATAATTATGATTACAATCCGAAATCTTTTATATAAAATTATATTATAAAATATTATGATTGATTTTAATTGAATTTTTCATTTATAAACTCTCTCTGGATTATATTCCCATATTGTTAGTTATGGTATATTGAATCTACAATATGTTTATAGATTTTTTTTCCATCCTTAACTAAATGGAGATCCATTCTTTTTTTGTAATTCTTACAAATATGAGATCTTATTCCAACTATAAAATTCCCCTATTTTTATATAATAATATATAATACATGTTGTTAAGTTTTAAAATGAAAGAAATGTTTGAAAACATAATAATCTGGTTACCAAGACACCAAAAAATATGGTATTGATTAAAAAGTAAATTGAAAAAAATTTGAAGAGAGGATTGTAATGATCAAAATCTAGATTTTGCAATGTCTAAAAACTAGTTTATTGAAATTTAATACGCTAATAAAAGCATAATAGATTTCTTAAATCTAAAATACTAAAAACCAATAATAGACACATCTATTTCTTTCTCCAATACAATTACCAGCCCAAGGACAATGATGATCATAACAAGCTACACATTTTTTACATGATTAACAATGTTTAGCTCTTGCTAATTAATCAATTGAACAAATTGGACAATATCTAATCTATTATAAAATATTAAACCTTTTTTCTATAAATACTTTATTCACTGCTCTTGTAGATTGTGTAATTTTATTTCTCTCTGACATTCCTGGTGAATATTATTCACTTATATATTCATTCTAAACTGAATGTACTTATATCGAGAGTTATGGTTAAAGTTTATTATTATTTCTTCTTTTCTCTTCACTCATTACTTTTTATTAAATTTTATCATTTTATTTCTATGCATCTTAATCTTTTTATTAATCATTATTAGTAATAGGAACAATAATTTCATGTTCATTTTAACTTGTGATTGAAAAAGCTTATGTAGATGGTTATTTTGAATCAAAATCTTGAAATGTATTTTATGCTTTGAATGGAGATGGATATTTATCTGGAGTTTTAGTAAAAGATGGAATTTAATTAATATCAAATTCTGGTAATTGATTAACCTCTAATGATGCTTCACAAGGTAATTCTCTATAAATATTTAATATAATTACTATTCATTTTCTGATTTTTATTCTTAAACTACATTTTATTATTCAATTATAGGATATGTTCTAGCATTGGAAGGGATAGCTTAAAATTAAAACATTTTTCGTTTTTGTGTTATTTAATTTGAACATTCAGTATTGTTAGGACTTCTAATTATAAGATAACCAGGCTATTTCTTAAATAGTTTATTACATCTTTCAAAGAAGTCTAAGCATAAAATCCCATAGATAATATCACGACAATAGCAAAATAATAAAAAGAAATTTTTGAAAAATCAAAAAATTAAGGATTAAGGATTCCATAAATCACTAATGTACTTCCTTAAAGAATTAAATAAATGAGAGGAGCTATTTAAATAAGTTAATAATACCTATCTTCATGATTGTTATTGTTTTTAATTTATTAATTTTTGGAATCTCTTTATTAATATGCCTATAATATTAAATTATGAAAATATTATATATATTATTAATAACCATATCATATCATATCAATCATCTTCATCATTTCCACATAATGCAACTACATGACAACGATTTTGAGATTCTTTTTTTAATACTTCTGGTTCAATAACTTATTATGCAGCAAATTGCATAAATATCTATTCCAAATTAGGTTAACTTATTTAGAAATCTTTAATCAATTTTTATTCCTTTTATAGTTTCTCTTAAAAGAAATAAAATGTCTAATGGAATTAGAATCCTATCTGTGGGAATTTACAAATAATTTTGCCTGTATGCATATCATTCATAATATATATATTCCCAAAATGTTTGGTAATTTCTTAAATGATAGCTTCTCCATTATCCTATTAAAATTATTATATTTATAATTACTAGATTATTTGTTGGTTCAATTAAAACTCTATATCCATCTCCAAATTTAGATCTCAAATGTTGAACTGATCCTATACATGCAAATCTACCATTAACTTATATAGCAATCTTATTACAAAGACTTTCAGCCTCATCCATAGTGTGTGTTGTTAAAATAACAGAACTTTATCTTAATTTAACTCCTTATTAAATTGCATTCCATAAAAATCTTCTTGCAATTGGATCAACTCCAGAGGATGGTTCATCAAAAAATTACATATTTGTTCCACCCATCAAAGCTAATGCAACACATAATTTTCTTTTATTTCCTCCACTTAATTGTGAAGCTAATGTATTTTCATAAGCTGTTAATTACATCACTTTCATAAAGTATTCTATTGTTAAATTAACATCTTCTCCTCTCAAACCTTTTAGATAAGCCCAAATTTGTAAATGTCTTCTAACATTAACTATATCATATAAACTATCAAATTAAGGACAAATTCCAACATTCTAATATACATCTCCTAAACCTTTTTTAACTTCTTAATTTTATAATAAAATAGTTCCAGTAGATGGTTTTAATTTTGAAGTAATCATATTGAAAGTTGTTGATTTACCTGCTCCATTAGGACCCAATAATCCAAATATTTATCCAGGTTCTATTCCAAATGATGTTCCCTTAACTGCTTAGAATCCATTAGCATATGTCTTTGATATTTTTCTAGCAATCACTCTATCTTAACAACTTTGAATTTCAACTCTTCTTTCTTCTTAAATTACATCTTCATCCTAATTCACACTTAAAACACCTCCAGAATTTGCACCTAACAATTCTCTATTGTCAATTAAATATGTAATGAAAAAATAGAAACAAGCTTAAAAGATCATGATGATCATAAAAACAAATGGATAAACATTTTAGAATAGTGTTTCTGTATTTTCTGTACCATCCGAATTGTCATCAGCAATTTTATTATATACAGTGATAAATCCACTAAATAGAGCTAATGAAGGAAACAATAATGATAAAATCCAAAGAACAGCCTCAACATTTAAGCTCACTACATAAATCACTGAAGCAATCATAAAGAATCCAAATAATTGTATCAATATTAAGGATCTTACTGCTGATAAGAATTATGTAAATAACCATGACAATGTATAACCAAGAGGTAAATAAGCTAAGTAACAACAAAATACAAGTCCATAGACATTTCCATTATTAATTACTTAAAGATCACAAATATTTACTGCTATTATAAATATAACCAACACAATGATACAAATAGTGATATCATAGAAATAATATCCTAACCAATATGGTAATGTTCTACATCCCATAACATTTAAAGCATATTTCTACTTTTTCTCCCTTTCTTCAACAGGAGCACTTCCAATTTAAGAACTAGCCATTGATGCACCTATCAATATGTAGATATATATGTCAATTAAGGCAACTTTACCATAAAATAATGTTGTATTTTAATTGCCTTCATCTTCAATTTATTCTATATTGGCATTGTATACGATTTTTGAAACAATAGGGGCTAAAACTGCAAACAATGATGGCATAAATATGCACATTAGATATCTTTTGGGTGTCATAGTATAATGTTTTTTAATAAAACATGCCCAAAGTTACAATCCAAAATTATATTGTGGTGGCCTACTTAAACATTCAGGAGGTATAATTTTATTGAATTCCTCTGTAATGTCAATGTTTATTTTAGAATCTTCATTTGTTATTTATTTCCCTGATGCTTTATCAAGAAAAGATTCTTCATCCATTCCAATATTGATAAATGCTTCTTCCAAAGTATTCATCATCAAATTAACTTAAATAGTTTAATCCCTTTCAAGTTATTCAAATAATGATAAGAATTTATCCTTCTATTTGAAAGGAACTTAGAATCCCATACTGTCTTAAGAAGTTTAACTACTAATTTTTGCTTGAGGAATGATTTATTAAACAATATTAGCAATTTTTTTACTTTTCTCACTCCAAACTTATGGATTATTTGTTTTATCATATAAACTTAAATGATATCCAATTCCAAAATTCATCTTTATAAAATCAACTGATCCAACTGTTAACAATTTACCCTTAGCCATAATAGCTAATCTTTCTGATAAGATTTCAGCTTCATCTAAATGATGAGTAGTCAGTACTAAACATCTACCTTCATTTTTCACTTATGTCAAAATGTCCCAAATCTTTTATCTTGATATTGGGTCCATACCAGAGGTTGGTTCATCAAGAAATATAACTTTAGATTGTCCTATCAAGGAAATAGCTAAACTTAATTTCCTTCTTGTTCCTCCTGATAATTATTTAGCTAATTTCATTCTATCATTAGAAAGATCACATTTATTTATTATCTAATCTATTTCTAATTGAAGTTCTTTCTCATCTATTCCTTTTATTCTACCATAATAGGAAAGATGCTAATCACAATTTAAACTATCATAAAGAGTATCTTTTTATGGACAAAATCCCAAATAATTTCTAATAACATCAAAATCTGTATCTGTTCCATAATATACAATTGCTCCACTATCTCTTTTTATTAAACCTGTCAATATTGAAATTAGAGTAGTCTTTCCAGCTCCATTATGTCCTAATAAACATAAAATTTAAGATTCATATATTTAGAGTGTAACACCATTGACAGCCATAAGATCATTAAAGCTTTTCTTCACATTTTTTATTATTATAGCTCTCTAAAATTATATTTATTATTATTATTACCTTGACTTATTAAGGATTATCAAAAACTTCATGATAAATAGCTGAACTATTATCTTCTTAAATTTCAGATTATTTTGCACCAATAAATGGTTTACTAATATTAGCTAATTCATATTAAATTTATATATCTTCCCCTTAAATTTAATATTTTTTTCCAATAAAGAACAAGGGATGTTTATTAGTTCCATATTCATTGGGTAATACTTATTCTAAATATAAATACAAAATTCCATAAAAAAGTATCTCAGCTCCTTATAAACAAAAATATAAATTAGGTCCTATAGGAGGTTTAACTCCTCTATTTATGGTTCCTAATATCTGATTATAAGGATATATGTCAAACAAGAATGTTGGAAACACAACTCCCAATAGGATTACTATCCAAGAATTACTAAAAATAAATAATGCCAATACTTTTAAAAATAGGGAATGTTAAGTAATTCTGAACTAATTGACCCAAATATATTTAATAACATTGATAAATCAGCTCCATTTTTTGGTTGATCAAATAATGTTGTTAAAAAATATTGTTAGGCTGTTAATCCTAATGCAAATAGCAAATAACTTCCAATTTATTTGATAGGACTAAAAAAATTGATTGTTATTTGATCAGAATCAATTGTGACATTCATATTTTCTGGCCCAAAACATTTTGTAGGTACAGCTAGAACAAGAAAGAATATAGAGACTGCCATGATTCTAGAAATGTTGAATAGGAACCAACCTAACTAATATGCTGATTGTTTAAGACCCATGATCTAAAGATTAATTATGAAAGATAATTACTTTTTAGATCTCTTTTTGCCTATCGCTCTTTTCTGATATCATCGCTGTGACTATATACCTTGAACTTATCAAAAGAGTCATAGGTAAAAACTCGGCTCCAACTTAAAGGAGTGTAGGACTTTATGTTTCTTCTATTTAATGATATGATGTATATACTTACATCCAACTAGGAGAATGATAAAAATAAGAAAAGCCACAAAGAACTCCTGTCTGAATTATTTCTCTTGGTAATAAATAGACAAATTTTTATGGAAAACAACAGTAGTTTATTGCCATATTGTCGTCATTCTTTTTGATGGAATATTAATTTATTTAATACAAATTTATTCTATAATTTAAGGATTTAAAATTAAATTTACAACATGAATTCCACATTCATTATGAAATATAAAACAAAAAGCATGTTAGAATAGAATTTTAGAATGAATTTCTTAAGTCACATATTTTGAAGAGATTTTAAAAAAATTAAGCTTGAGAAAAAAAACAATTTTTACAAGAATTTTCAAATATTGTCATTAATTACCACAATTTTAAAAATTTATGATAAAATAATTGATTAAATTTATATTAATTAATAATAATTAAAATGTTAAACATTTGAGATATAAAATGATTTCATATTTTCATTCATAAGTGCTTCGAACTAAGAGATTAGTTTTGATAGCAATAGGATTCTCAATAAAACTTGAGCATGTCAAATATTTGACTGGTTATTGTTGAGCATTTGCTGATAATGCTCTTGGATGAGGCTAAATAAATTTAGTATCTTTGTATAACTTGATTTGCGGCATTTATTATTTAGATTTCCCATTGTTATTAGGACTATTATTATGTTTACTTATATCAATTTATTCTTTTTTAGATTATTAATCAGACTACTTATATACATTATTTACCTACTTTTTAATCTATAAGACAGATTTTCTGATGATGACTTTATTTTTAATAGGTGAAGTTTTAGGTTAATAAGTTGTCTTTTGCATACAAGGACACAAATTGTCGAAAATAGGTTTTAATTGAATATTGCAGAAATGATAATCTTAATTATTTTATAAAGTAGTATATTTTTCTTTGATTAAATTTGGATATTCAGTTTCAACATTTTAGACTCTAATATATATATATTAATATAACCTTTTTAAAGCATAATTAGTATAATCAAATACACTTTATTAAATAAGATTGTTTCTTAATCTAATTTTATCACATAGAGCATCATAATTAGTTTTAAATTCTTCATAATTTTGAGATTATCTTTTGACTGTTTAATAATCACATAGTTAAATATTTTATTCATCTAGATCCTCTATAACAGTGAAAATATTAGCAAACATGGAGGTGAATGGAGTTTTTTCAACTTCTTTGAATTTGTTTTTGAGATATAATGTAGGAGTTTCAGTAGTTGGAGATAAGTCACATGAACTGTTTTAATTATAGATAATTACCTTTGTATTTTAGAAATAGTAATTTGTTTTCGTTTTATTCTATCAACCTTATTAATCATGGTTGTAAGAGGTTTTTCAACTAATTTGACTTCTTCAATCTTTTATGTTGATGAACGTATACGTTGATTTTCTATTCTAAGTTTTTATGGAGATGGTTCTTTTTTAACTTAATTACTTAATTCATCAACAAAATCTCTGTATTATTTACGAGAGGTTCCTAAAAGTGACTTAATTAGATCAGTCACTAATGATATATTTCCAGCTCTGACTGCTTGTTTAAATTGTACTTTTAATTGATTATCTTGATTCAAATGTTTCTAGAAACTTGAATGAAGTATGTAATAATTTTCCAAATATTAGTACAAATTAGATGTAGGTGTATATGGGATTTCTAAAAATTGATTGCTTATTGCTTTCATCATTTCGTTTGTCTTTACATAGATATGACTAATTATGATATTTAAATTTACCACATTTGTTCTTCATTGTATTATTTTGTATTTCGTATCACTCCTATGATCCAATTTTCTTTCTCTGCTCGTATTTTCTCCTCTTCTTTTAACTTTCTAACCATTGAGTATACAGTCAATCTCTCTTACTACTAATTACCTTTAATCTAATAAATTGCTTCTTAAATCTCATTTATTTTTGCTTTTCTTTGCTATATAGCTCCTAATAGTTCATCCATTTTAGAGTAAAATAATTTTTTATTATTAGATGGCTTAAAAATTTAAAGAGAGGTTACTATAAGGTATGTTATTCCTTATTACTTTTATAGGTACTGGAGTATCAAACAAGAAATTCGAATCAGATTATGCAATGAAATTGATGTAAAAGATGGGATGGAATCAAGGTCAAGGTCTTGGTAAGAATAAAGATGGTCAAACAGATTGTGTATAAATTGAAAGAAGAGCTGATTAATTGGCTGTATTCTATTTAATTTATACTCTAGCTTGGTGCTTAACAATACAGTCTTGGATAAAGTTGGAATGATTTATGGTGGGAATAGAGTTATTCAAGTAGTCTAAAGAATCTTAAACCAATATCCACTAAAAATGTAATTAGTATTACTACTATTCATTTAGCTTCCATAACCAATCTCATCAGATGAAGAAGATAAATTCTCAGATTATGAAAAACATAAAATTAATCGTTCATAAAAACAAAAAACATATGCATAATCAGCCAAAGTTCTTATTGAATAAGATAGTGATTCAGAAAATGATACCTTCATCGCAATTCAAAAGAAAAAAATTAAAAAGACAAAATGATCATTAATAGATCACCATTCAAAAATCTATAACTTATTTACCCTTTAACTATTCCAATTCCTCATTCCCTATCCATTATTTTCTCATTCCATCCTACCAAATTCCATATTTAACTAGTTAATTAGGCATATAATAAGCACCATATCCTTCTTATTTACCCAAAACCCAATTTCCCACATATCTTCTACCATCTGGCCACCAAAACTATCCTCTTCCATGTTTCAAATCTTCTGAGTAATTCTTTTAATCAATATTAATAGTACTCCAATAAATTTTCGACCATCACTCCATTTAATTTCCCCTACTCCATTCATTTTATTTTTTTTCCAATCACCCTTATAAACCCTTCCATCTGACCATTAATAAATTCCATTTCCGTGTATTTCATTATTAATAAAGCACCCTTTGTATTTTGATCCATCAGCAAAATAAAGAATACCATTACCTTCCTTTCTTCCTTCATGATATTCACCTTCATAACTTGCTCCATCTGGCCATTTTTCAACACCTTTTCCTTCTTGTTAGTCATTAAACCACTAAGTTAATTTTTACAATAGTACTTGTCCCTCATATTTAGCACCATTTATAAGTTAGTAAATTCCAAATCCATTTGCTTAATCTTCTAACCAATCTCCTTCATAAATATCACCATCCCCATGAATAAGTTTTCCCTTTCCACAACAGTGATCCTCTATCCATTATCCTTAATATATTGATCCATCAGGCCAAATTTATTTGCCAGTTCCATCACGTTTACCTTTTAGCCATTCTCCCTCATAAACTGCTCCTTTATCAAGTATTTTAGCTCCCAATTTAATTCTAACATCATTCATTGTCTCATCTAATTCTTAATTTTATAACTTTTAATTANGATAAATTCTCAGATTATGAAAAACATAAAATTAATCGTTCATAAAAACAAAAAACATATGCATAATCAGCCAAAGTTCTTATTGAATAAGATAGTGATTCAGAAAATGATACCTTCATCGCAATTCAAAAGAAAAAAATTAAAAAGACAAAATGATCATTAATAGATCACCATTCAAAAATCTATAACTTATTTACCCTTTAACTATTCCAATTCCTCATTCCCTATCCATTATTTTCTCATTCCATCCTACCAAATTCCATATTTAACTAGTTAATTAGGCATATAATAAGCACCATATCCTTCTTATTTACCCAAAACCCAATTTCCCACATATCTTCTACCATCTGGCCACCAAAACTATCCTCTTCCATGTTTCAAATCTTCTGAGTAATTCTTTTAATCAATATTAATAGTACTCCAATAAATTTTCGACCATCACTCCATTTAATTTCCCCTACTCCATTCATTTTATTTTTTTTCCAATCACCCTTATAAACCCTTCCATCTGACCATTAATAAATTCCATTTCCGTGTATTTCATTATTAATAAAGCACCCTTTGTATTTTGATCCATCAGCAAAATAAAGAATACCATTACCTTCCTTTCTTCCTTCATGATATTCACCTTCATAACTTGCTCCATCTGGCCATTTTTCAACACCTTTTCCTTCTTGTTAGTCATTAAACCACTAAGTTAATTTTTACAATAGTACTTGTCCCTCATATTTAGCACCATTTATAAGTTAGTAAATTCCAAATCCATTTGCTTAATCTTCTAACCAATCTCCTTCATAAATATCACCATCCCCATGAATAAGTTTTCCCTTTCCACAACAGTGATCCTCTATCCATTATCCTTAATATATTGATCCATCAGGCCAAATTTATTTGCCAGTTCCATCACGTTTACCTTTTAGCCATTCTCCCTCATAAACTGCTCCTTTATCAAGTATTTTAGCTCCCAATTTAATTCTAACATCATTCATTGTCTCATCTAATTCTTAATTTTATAACTTTTAATTAGACTCTAAATTTTAATTTTTAGAAATGGAAAAAAGAGAATTCTTAATTATTTTTTCTTGTTTTTCAGATATATCTGCTTAATTTTAATGTTCTTAACATATTTAATCAAGAGTAGGTGTTGGATGATCATAATTATTATAAATAATTTCTTAGTTTTTCTGTATTTATTCATGGTCTTTTTAATTACTTACACAATTAGAATCTTTTGGTTGATTCTTCTTTTTAATTAATTCAGATTCTAAATGTAAATGATCCTCTTAAAATTTATCTTTATCTTTTTATTATGAATGATGTGAATGTTGTATATTTGAATCTTCAAATTCAGGATTAACTTCATCAATATTGTTTTCACTCTTCTATTGAGTTTTTAATCCATAATCTATTTCTTTGTTACAACAACTAGTTTGACAAGGACCCATTTAATGAATATATTTATATTATTAATTAATATTATCAGCTAAATAATAAAGAAATTTAGAATATGCAAAGTGAAATATAAGTAAAGTTTATATTAATTTTACTTTAATATTTCAAAGTATATTATTATTGAATAGTTCTTCTTTCTTTATATTCAAAGCTTTATTTACTTTAGTTCTATCAAAGTTATTCATATAGAACATTGTAAGTATAGAGTCTTCTGAATTATATTCTCTACCCATTAAATAACGGAGACGTTTTCTTTCCATTTCAACTTCAAGTTTCAAATGTTTCTTAGAACTACCATCCCAAATTTTCAAGTTTTCACAAAATCTTTTACATTTTTGAGTATTGATTGGTGAAGTAATAATTTGAGCTTAATATTTAGATCCAATTCTAGGATAAATAACATTATGCTGTTGCTTATATATTTTCTTTTTAATATTGTCAATCTATTATGATTTGGGATCATTATCATTGATTTATTGAGTAGTTTCATCTGTTTTGAAAGGAGTTTGCATGCTAGAATATTTAGTTAAAAAATTATTATTTATACTAATATAAACTCATTTTCATAGTTGCTATTAAGATTATTATATTCTATAAACTACAAATTATCCATTTTCATATACAAATCCTAAAAGATTGAGGTTGTCAAATTCTCCTACTGTACAACATGTAGCTATCTGTTCTTTCAATTTGGCTAGACTACATAATTCATAATTATATAGACAAACTTACTATTACTATTGCTATTTAATTAGATTAATTTAATTTACATATGTATTTGAAACAATAAGTATAGGCCATTTTTTTAGTATATTCATAGAACTAATAGATTCAAATATTTATTCATTCTTATGTTAGTAATCCCCATTGGATGTTCTTTCAAATACTTTAATTTTATCCTATGATCCCACAACCAATTTATTTAAATGTGTATTAATATAAATAATCTTAGTTTATTAGATTTTTAAAATTTTTTTAAATTAATTAACCTAGTTCCAAATATATAAATATTAAAGACCACCCACATAAATATATTCAGAATCCAAATGAAGTGCTGTTCCTACTTCATTTAATTCACATCTTTTTACTTCTTTAAAATCATTCAATTGCCAAATTTTTATGATTTTATCTTCTCCAAAGCTTACTAATTAATTGTCTTTTTTATTAATTTAAATAAGTAAGTTGCCAGATTTATCCACAACTTATTCTTTGTAATCATTAAAAATAAAAGGTTAATTCATTTTTTATTCTCTATTAAATGCTAAAACTTTCCCATTATTCATTGCTAAAAATAGGGTTCCATTTAAATCATTAGAGTTTATATATACAGCATCAGTTATATATGCACCCACAGTTCTTTTAAATTTCTATTAACAGGTTATCAAATCAAATATTAAAAATTAAGATTCGCAACATCCTGCTAACATTGAATTATTTAAAAATAATATTTTTGTAAACTTCTTCCCATTTGATTCAATTTAGAAACTCCTTCCTTGACTTATATCAATCAATTTTTCTGATTCTATTTAATTATCATTTTGTAATTCGGCTATTCATAAATAAAATTTAATACCATTTAATAATTATAAATTAGGAGAGGGTGGATTAAGCTATTCTTAATGAGATTTTGGAAGATTGCCAATAGATGAAAATTATTAAGAGGTATTTTATTAGATGGGTTATTAAAGTTATTACTAAAATTGAGGTGTTGATTATTGATTTATTTCAATTGATTATTAATTATTAGTTTATTTACTATCTGAGAAGGATTATTACTTAGTGAAATTAGTATTCGATATTTAAGTACTAGACATCTAAGAATTTTATATTTATTTGTTAATTGGTGAAAAATTATCATTTTCTAATTAATTAAATTTTCTTTTTGGCGATTGATTATTTTCAATATTGTTGATATTCGTATTATTTCTATTAATACCAATTGTATTTTATTATCTATCTTATACTTAAATTTAATTAATTTAAATTTCAGATTACATATTTGATTATAAATTATTATTATTTTATTCTAAATCTTAGATATCTTGTGGTGCATTTAAAAAAAAATTCAATAAATTTACCTCCATTTACTAATTTTATTTTTCAAATTATTCAACAAATCTTTTCATGAAGTCTTAGTATTATTGTGAATATTTGCTTCCATTTAAGATTCTATCTTATATCTAGTTAATTTATTATCCTTATATCTTTTTGAGAGAGAATGAAAATCTATCAGAATTTGGTTTAAAATCTATTATTTCAGCAAGAAGGGAAGAACAATTCACTTAAGTCATATTTGATTCAAATTCTTATAGTTTTTGTTTTTAATCTTTGATGGTTTTTTATTGTTTTAACAATTATTGAATCGTAGATTTTGCACTAAAAATCTTAATATAAACATTACTTTTTTATTGCATCTATCTATTTTTAAAATGTTTCTATTATTTTTTTTTATGCCTTTTCTATATTTGATTAAATTTTATTATAAAAGACTTCAAGACTAATTTTATATATTATTGTTACCTTTCAAAGTTTTATTCCTAATCATTTATCTAGGATTAAAGTTGTTACTTAAATTGTTATACAAATTTTGAGATCGGAATGGTTTAACATTTGTTATGATCCTAAATACAATAACAACATAATAGTTAATGTTTGTTGCATTTTTCACCTATGCAAATCATATTCAAGTACTCATCATCATGTCCCTTAATATTACAGATTTAATAATTCTTTGGGTTCATTCTATTAAAAATAAGATTTTTAAATAAGGCAAAATTTTGTTTATATATAAATTATAAGTCGAAAAATTGTACATTTTTCAATATAGACCTCTTAAAAATGTTACTCCTGGTTCATTTGTTTTTTTATTGGCTAAAACTGAGTCAGTTCGAGTAACCTTATTCAATGGACTTTTATTAACACTGAAATCAATTGGAGAAGTAGATTTTGCTGTAAATGCATTTCCTTTTGTAGGTTTCCAATCATAATCTTTCAAAGAGAGTTCATTATTATTCAAAAATGTCTTAACTATTTAGTTCTCTTTTATTGTCTTATTAGTATTTGATTCTGGTTTCTAACATCCTTATTTATAATTATAAAAATATTAAGGTGGATTGATTTCTTTTGCATCAATTCTAGGTTGAGAAACAGCTTTATATAGATTATTAATTCTATTTAAATTATCCATTAATGATGACTTAGGTTATTCTTCTAGTTCTTTAGGTTTCCTATTAAGAATATATACTAATTAATATACTTTAAGTTCTATTGTGTCTTATAATCTTACAAAGGTTTAAATTCAATGATATTGGGGTGATTCTTATGGTATTATTACACAAACCCTAGACGTTATTATAGACTAGATTCTTATTGTTATCTTTGCATTAGTGAACGTTAAATTAATAAAAATTATATTTCATGAATTTGTAGAAATTCTCTATTTCCTTTATGTATTTCCAATTGGTTTCTTTTGTTTTAGGAAATTTGTATCAAGTAATGAGCAATTATTTCTGGCTGAAGAAATTAATTTAATTTCTGGTAGAGGATATGTTGGTTTGGTTACTTGATATCTTCCTAAAATCAATGGTGAATTATTTTAAATTAATCCATTCATTTCAGTAAGACTCTAACAACCCATGTAGTTCATAAATGGATTTGTTTAATTCACACAATTATTTTGATTCAATGTTTGTTATTTTGTTTATATTATTGCTTTTCCATTTATGTAACTTTAGATTGAAGCAAATGCCTTTTTGGATTTTAGAGAAATATTTAAGACTACTTTAGGTTGTTCAGGTTCTATAACAGAGGATCTTAGTTTATGTTTTTTTACTTCTTAAGATTATGTAACATTAGTTTCATCATTTCCTTTTTATTATGATTATAACATAAGTAACTAAACTTCGCTATTTCTTTAATTGCCTTGATTATTAATATTTCTAATAGTGGTTTGATGTTTAATGAGAATGCTAGACATTCTCTTTAATACAGTCCGTTTTCTTTACTTTGTTCTTTATAACTCATTAGATATAATTTCTTATTATTTGATGATTGTATTAGGATACTAACAATCAATATGTAGCTATTATTTGATATTATATATGTTTTACCTACTTTTATGATAGTTGCTCTGTACCACTTTTTCTTCTTTATTATATTTTTTTTGTATTCCTTATATTTCTTAATTCAAAACTCTTACTAATTCTATTTACTATTGTTTCTTTATCTTTGATTCTTAGACTTTTTAAAGTTCTCACTCTTTTTAATGGAGATCCAGTTTGATATAATGTATTAATTTATAAACTTGTTGTTTAAGGTAATCGTGTAGATGAATATAGAAGTTCTAAGTTTTAAGTTTTGAGGTTACTATCGTTCTCACAATTAATAGAAAGTATCATTTAATTCTAATTTAAGAATTAATTGAAGATTACATAATCAAATATTTTACAAATTAAATAAAATTTGATCAGTTTGAGTACTTTAGTTATCCTTCATATTAGAATTCATTAAATACTTGATGTCCCTATATTATCAAAAAATAAATATTATATATCATTTAATATCATAAATAATTTATAAATTTTATTAAATTCTAATCTATTTAATAGACATCTATCATTATTATACAAAATATATTATTTTTAAATATATTTCATAAAAACCGATTATTATGAGTAAAACAAATTAAATTAAAATACAAATAAAGATTAAAATAAATGTCAAAATTATATTTTTCAATAATCCATAATTGCTACTTTTATTTTATTTTTATTTTTATCTAACATAGATTTTCTATAAGAATTTTAATAGTAAAAGAATTAATTTAAATTATAAAATATATAGGTTAGTTAAAAGAATAAATAAAAAAATTATCTTACTTAAATCATTAAATACAAAAATTGTTATAAATATATATATCTATTTATTATAAAATAATTAAAGTCTTAGATTTTTATAAATATAAAGCGATTCTTTAATTATGTAAATTGTATATTACTGATTCTTATATATTGATATGATGAACTATTAAGATGAATTAAATACCAATAAAGACCAATCAAATTATATGATCTTGAATATAAATAATTTTTTGAGGTTTTTAGTTGAATCAGGAAATAATAGTGATCAGAAACTAAGTCTTATATAATATATTGTAGATTATTACATCGATTGTTAGAATAGCAGAGAATCTTTCTATCCTCAACATTTAATTAATTTATATTTGAATGGTTATATATATAGAAATCATCACAATTTTATTAAGCATCCATTTTTGATTATCACTAAGGAAAATTCAAAAGCTGGTCTCAAAAATTCACAATAAGAATATTCTTGAGTTCGAGTCTTTTTTTATTTTTCTTAGATAATCTCTATTTTTGATAAGATCATATCAACCTCCGGGATGTTCCAACGAGGACAGATTTCGAAATCAGTTTTATTGAGTCTTTTAGCTTTGTGACCTTAATATAGAATGATTAGTTTACCATAATACTTCTAGAGTTACTTGAATTTATGTTTAAGAGCAAATTCAGTTCTTCTCTTGTATTTTGTGATCATTGACAATTTCAAAGATATGTCAGCCCATCTTCGTCCATTCTGAAGAAGCAATTGAAGAAAGTGCAACTCCTCAGATCTAGACCATTGTTCTCTAAGTTTGATTAAATTTTTATAATTACCTATTTATTTATGGATCAAGCTTGTTGTTCCATCTCTCCCTGCATTGTTTAGCATTTCTAAGAATCTCAGATTTACAGTTTAGATTGTATTAATTTGCAATAGAGCTCCATTTTTTCTTGCAGCGACTTGTATTGTCCCTAAATATAGTAAAAAGATAAATACAAAATGATTTACAACAAAGCTTTATCTTCAAAAGAAGACCAGGGTTATCTGGGAAGTTGTGCTTTATAGAAAGATTAGAATTTAAAGCACAATTCAGACAGACTCCTGTACTTTGGCATTAATTTTTGGACCTTCTCCCAGTCGAAGCGATTCTTTAAATATTAAATCAAATTTTATACCTTTATGCATCTAGGATTAAGACTTAAGACAACGAGTTATAAGAAAATCTCTTCATTGTGATTCCAACCTTCGTTGCACCCAATTTTTGATGACTCATAAAGTTTGATAAAGTCATCAAAATTGGGTAGAGTTTTAAAATGTAATTTGAGCTTCAAAGATAGATACTCTAGTTCAATGGTTTGGAGATTTTAGTATACTAAAGCCCAATCGTTAAGATCAGTAAATGAGCTTTGTGAAGAATTCATTTGTTTGATAAGATTAATAATGTATTATCTGAATGAATATTTTATGATTTTAAAACATGAATTTTAATACAATAATCAGATACAATCAATATTTGATTAGATAATATTAATAGAAAATTAAGAACTTGTATCTGAATTAAAAAATTCAACCTTTACTAACTATTCTTCTGAATATTTGTTATATTAGCCGTTTCTAACTTTTAACTTTTAGATTGAGTTTCATATATATATAAAATATATTCATATTTTCATAGACTAATAATATTCATAACTTTAATGACATATAAATTTAATCTATAGTAATTACCCTAATCATAGTTTATCTATATTGGTAGCCTAATTATAGCTGAATTTAACTACCTATTGTATATATGAAAATTTAAAACTTCATATTTTAATTAGATTTTATTGATCAAGAGTATAGGTTTTAAAAAGTATTTTCTTTTTATCAATCTAATATAATTGTTCCATTTTTATACTCAAGTAAAGAATTAATAAAAAATTTTAATCATTTACTTAAATTCAATGTAATTATTTTTAGACTTCAATAGATGTATAAGATAGTTGAAGTATTTGTAGTTTTGACCCTTTTATTTATTATATTTTTAGCATATTTCAATAGAAGTTGAAACACAATGAACGGTTAATAAACTATGTTATTTATTGGTTAATATTTATTAGATTAAAAAGACCTATTATTATCATTTTTAATCTTCAAATTCTTTTTTTAATGTAATCTAGTCCAATCTAAAAAAATTACAAATTATCCATCTATTTATAATATGTTTTCTTTTTTTCTCTTATTTTATCCCTTAAATTAATTTTAATAGAAATTTAGAAACTATCACAGTATATATTCTATCTATTCACTTAAATCATTATGTATAATTTATGATGTTAGTTCAGAAGAGTTTGTTGTTAAAATCAAAAAAGTTGTAGTAATAGACCCTATGAATTTAAATTGAAATTGTAATTCTCACATACTCTATGCCTGAATCTATTGATTTAATTACAAATTTACTTGTTATTCTGAAAATTTTAGATATGAGAATGAATATCTAAAAATTTTTATAATTCAATTAAAAATAATAAACAAAATTCATATTCTAGAAATCATTTTACCCTTTAACCATAACCCATTAAATTTTTCTCCATTTTTTTTGGTTAGTTATCCCATTCCGTTTCGACAATCAGATTCAAAATTACCTACATACATAGAACCATCTCTGTAATACTCTATACCAGCTCCATATTTATATCCCAACTAGAATTATCCAACATATTTGGTGAATTAAGAATTTACTTCATGATTAAACAGAATTCCATTGCCATGATATTAATCATTATACCATTATCCTTCATAAATAAAAATGCCTTAAGCATTATACAATTTACCAAATCCTTCTCTCACTTTTCCATTATAAGAACCTATATATTATGAATCATCTTTGATATCCTTTATGATAATTTTATCTTAACTCTTAGAACAGCTTTTACTCGATTCTCGATTGGGTTTAATTAATTTAATGGATTTAATCAATTTATCATCATCGAATTATTTTACTCTTTTAATGGGAGAATCTTCAAATTTGGAATTCTTTTGAAGAATAGTAAATGGAGCATAAGTAGTAGTAATCTATAAGAGATATTGCAATATATAAATACAGTACGATATGGTCCAATAGATTTACCTTGATGTTATGTAAAATAGTAATACTTGGAGAAGCAGTTGATGGTTTTTATGGACTTGAAATATTGGTTGTTTGCATTAGATTATATATTTATATATATTTGTGTTTTAAGTCTCAGAAAATCAATTTCTTTGGTGATTGATAATCCTATGGATCAACATAATAGTCTTCTCCCATTTTCTATGTCTATGAAGTTACTCCTCCTCTATAAATAAGGAATGAGAGAATTAATGTTGGAATTGCTACATGTACTGAATGTCTAAACCATTGTCTATTGTAAAGCCATGCATCACTCTAGAGATATTTATAAAAAGATAATTACCAACACATAACGAGGAATAGGGTACTTCTAAAAACCTCCCATTTTACAATATATAAATTAATAATTATTATTATAGTAATATTAATAAGTATTTAAAATAATAATACAGTTAGACTAAAAAATAAAAATGTTTTACACTAGAATTTTACAAGTAGATAATATTGTTACTTATTTTAAATCAATAAAGATTTGACTAGAATAGTAAAAATAATTATAAAGAATGAAATAAGTGAATTAATTATTAATAAATATTATCATATAAATAATGTTCGAAATAAAGATTGAAATTAATATTTTTTAATTTGATATATTTTTGCTCTCCTCCTTAGAAATGTATTTTAGTAGTGAATTTATCAATCCATTAAAATATTTTTTAATGCAATTTTTGCTTTATTAAATATAAATTATCTTTTAAAACTGAATGACTACAAATTTGGGACCTAAGTTAAAGTTTGTGATGCCTACAAAAAAGTCTATTTCATTGGAGGATATTTTTGAAGTGAATTTCGATCTTGAATAGAAATAATGGAACAATTCTAAGATGGAACGGAAAGTAAGTTTTGCTGCTTCAACTCTTGTATTTCTCAGATACTCAGAAGAAGAAATACTTCATTTTAGACAAAGATTGAAATCATAAATACATAGTAGTATAGAGTTGATTGAGTCTTCATATTTAAATCCGTAGTTATGTAGTCCAGGGAAATAAAACAGAAAGAAGTCCTGCTTCAAGGAAAACGATGAACAATTCAACTGATTACTTATTTTATGTACTCAACAACTCTATAATAAACTTCAGTAGATATTACATTATATTTTCAAAATTTATTCATTAATTTAATATATGACAATCAATGAAGTTGAATGAGGAAAGCAACATAACATTTATAATATATTGTACTAGTGACATAAAACTTAACTATCATCAAATAATTTTCTATTTCATCGAATTGAATTGGGTTTAAAACTTATACACTCTTTAAATAACTCTTTTCATTAAGAATCTTTCCCATCCATCCAACCATCTATATAATAATTAATAATCATTTTACTTATTCATTTCTTCTCTACATCCCTAATGCTATATCCAAATATCTAAAGTATTATTTAATTTCTCAATTAATGGTTGGAATATCATTTCAATATATGGTTCAATTTCATCAATCCATTTAAAAATTTCCTTGATTGGTTGCAAATTCTAATTTTATGGATTGATTTCTAAATTATGAAGACAGAACAACATCTTTGGTAAAACTGACATATATAATAGATTTTTCCAATTTTCTCCTAAATATCTGGCCCAAGGTTACAGTACACTAAAACCAAAGCTATCTTTATCAGTAAATTTCAATTGTTTCAATTTCTTTTCCACTTCATCAAGTAATTCCTTATTGTTCAATTTAGAATTAATCCAAGGTTACAACCATTAATGTAAAGATATTGTTTAATTTAGATTCCATTCTTATATCTTTAATTTAAGTTTAGACATAACTATACCCATAATATCCTTTTATACTTATTAATCCAATAATCTTATAGTCTAAAATTGATTGATTCCTGTTTCATCAGTTTCAACTAAAGCTAAGTCTTTCATCCATAATTCTAAGAATTCTACTAAATAATTTTCTTATGTTGGATCAAATACTTATGAAATATAATTTCTTAATCTTATTAGAATAGGAGCAATCAATATTCCAATAAATCTTTTTAAAGTATTAAGATCAGAATTTGAAATTGAATTATTAATAATAAAAACATCCAATTATTCAGCATATTTACATAAATTTTAAGATTTCTTCTATATATAAACATCCTTAGCCAAATTAATAACTTATGAAATCAATTAATATTCATTTTATAAGATATCAATTTTTGTAAGTGGTCCTTTCCATCTAATTATTAATGTCTTAATCTCTTATTCAGCATTTTTAACTATTAATCCAATTAAATTGAATTAAATGAATTAATCACTAAACTTTCTAAAACATTCTTCAAACTTTGCAAATATATGAAATTAATCATTTGAAATCAAAACTTCATCTTCCTTAAAAAATTTTAAATAATTTAAAAAGTCTTCTTTTCTTTTAACAGAATCTTTCCATTATGTAAATTAAATTAACTCTTCTTATTTCTCATGTTCTAAAATTATCATTTTATCCTTCTCCTTTTTAATACTCTATTCATTATTCTCCCATTTTCCTAAACGTTTTTCTAAAATCTTTTAAACCGACCAAGTTAATTCTTGAACATCTTTCAAATATTCCCTAACCACTTTATTATTTTACATCTATACATCTTAAGTCTTATTTATATAATCATTAATATCACTACCTGTCATATCAATTATTTTATATTTATTATTATTCTAATCTTCTCTCATAATATTACCCATTATATGATTCCTATCTAAATTCAATACATCTTCCTTTTTGTTTTAAACAATAGTTTATCCATCTTACTTATTCCTCTTTTTTCTCCATTATTTCTCATATTTATTCAATTTCTTAGATTCAAAAAAAGGCTTCTATTTATTTTCTTAAATCTAATTATTCTCATTTTCTTATTATTCTTCCTCATTTTAATATTCATACTCCTAAACTCCTTCCCCTGTAAATGATTATTTCTTTACAGCAATTACTGGCTCCAATATACCTTATTTATTAGCACCTAAACCTTCTCCATATTTATATCCCAATTTCTACATAAATTTCAACCCTACACCATAATCATGTTCTTCCACTCTTTTTTCTAAATTCTTTTTTTCTCTTTAACTCAAATTCTTTTTATTTCTACTATCTTTAAATGCAACCTACTCCACTGTAATTGTTTTCTTACCATCATCTTCTTTAAAGACTTAGAGTTTCTTCTTTAAAATTCCCTTTGGTTTAGGAATAGTTGCTTGACTCACAACTTAAATAATGGAATCATCACTTTCATCATCTTAAGCTTCTACTTCAGAATCAGAATCAACTCTATAAAATTACCAAGAACGTCTGATATTATTTGAAAGATGTAGTTTTTCTGTCAATGTTAAATACTCATCTTCATGTTTAACTATTGGATGAACAATATTATTATCAAGATTAAATTATACTGATCGCTTCTATTTGATAATGTATCCAGTTTCATTAACTTTTTCATTCTTAGGCATATTCTTATCAAATATTTTCACAGTAACACCTTTATCTACATTTGATAGAAGAGAAGCATTAGATTTTTGAAAATTAGCAAATGCTTAATTTCTTTGATATTCCTTATATATTTGCTGGTGTTAATTATTAGGAGTATCTTAAACCTACTATTTTGGAGTTTATTCAAACTCTTCTTAAAAGAGATTTAATCGAGCTCTTTATGGTTATGATTAAGGTATTTTTTATTTTGGTATTTCCATTTCCATCTCATTTTCTTCATCATGATTGAATTTAGGTTTCTTGAATCCCAAACCTGTATGAAATATTAAATCATCATCACTACTCATATTGTCTAGATCAACTTTCATTGATTTTAATAATTTATATTATGTATATATATTAACTTCATCAAGAAGCATAATAATCCTTATTTGGTCTTTCTTCTTGCTCTGTTCTTCTCAAATATGCCAACTCATAAGAGAAATATGCAAACCAAGAAATACCCATGACTAACCAAAAAGCTCCATCCTTTCTATCATAGTTGTATTTTATTTGTACTTATAATTAACTGTCCAAGGTCTATAGTCCTTTGGATATGTGAATTATTCACTATAAGCATTTGGTGCTTATTGTCCAGGATGGAAATTTCTGATACTTAATAAATTTAGAATTACCTTGAAGGTCTTGATAAGCTGACACTTTTGGTATGACTTAATCCTATTTACTCAAGTTTGGAGATATTGTTTTATCCATAACGATAAGCTGCTCTTTGTATAAAATTCATTTTTAATATTAATATATGTATATATTAATAATTTATGGTAAAATTCAACACAATCTGTAGGTCTGGATAAGAAAGATCAACAAATGCTGATATTACTAAAGTATATAGGAATCCTAATCCAAAAGTACATCCTTTAGCACATGCCAGAGAATATCAACGAGCTTTGGTAGCTACAAAAGTCGAAAAAATATATGCTTAACCATTCTTGGGAGCATTGAATGGACACTCAGATGGTGTGAGTTGTATTGAAGCTTGCAGATTCAATTTATCAAAATTAGTAAGTGGAAGTTATGATGGAGAAATACGAATTTGGGATATTCCAAGTAGAAGAACATTAGTTTAATTAAGTAAATAAAAAGTTAATAAATTAAATAGATGCACATTAATAAATGGTAAAGGGAGTATCATTTAGTAGAGATGGAATGCGTATAGTTTCATCAGGAGAAGACAAGACAATAAACTTATATGATTTTCCTTAATTGTTGGAGTAATCAAATAATACTTTTCAGGATCCATTGATGCGTTATTTAAGTAAAGGAACTTTAGGAAATGTTGATCATAATTATTAGTTATCATAATTTGCAACTGCAGGATAAGTAGTTTAAGTTTGGGATTATGAAAGACCAAAACCAATAATGAAATTTTAATGGGGAGTAGATTCAGTTAGTTGTGTGAGATATTCTCCTGCTGATAGTAATTTAATTTGTGGAACTTCAATGGATAGATGTGTAATATTGTATGATGTTAGAGCTGAATCTGCAATTCATAAAGTAGCTATGTTAAATAAATCATAATGTTTGGCATGGAATCCAATTGAACCATTGAATATTGTAATTGGAAATGATGATTCAAATTGTTATACATATGATATTAGAAAGATTGAATTACCTACTATGATTCATAAAGATCATATTTCAGCTGTTATGTCAGTAGCATTTAGTTCTAGTGGAAGAGAATTTGTTTCTGGATCATTTGATAGAACTATTAGAATATTTCCATTTAATAAAGGATTTTCAAGAGAAGTATATCATGGATAGAGAATGTAATAAGTTAATTCAGTTTCATTCTCAGGTGATGCTTAATTTGTATATAGTGGATCTAATGACATGAATATAAGAATTTGGAAAGTAAATGCAAGTCAGAAAGTTGGTATAATTAATCAAAGAGAAACTAATGCTACAAATTATAGATAGGCTTTGAAAGAGAAGTTTAAATATAATCCAGAAATAAAGAGAATTGCTAAACATAGACATTTGCCTAAATATCTTATGAATAAAAAGAAACAGAGATAGGAAATGAAAGAATCTAAGAATAGAAAATAAAGAAATGCAGAACTCAATAATCCAGGTTAATATGAAGCTCCAAAACCAGAGAAATAATAAAGAATTGAACAATTTATTTAATGATGTATAAATGTGTTTTAACATAATTTAAAAGTTTAATAAGTTGTTAATTTAATTTAAATATGAAGAGAAAACTATATAAATTATCATTGTTTAAGGAAATAGATGAATTCAATTAGAAAGATGATGATGGACATTATAGTGATGATTCATCTATATCTGATGAATTTATGAACTCTACACTTGAAGCATATTGTATTTAATCATTTTCATTATTCAAAGAATCTTAGATCTTTATAAGTAGTAATTAAACATTTAGTTCAATTCATTCAGAATAACTTTAATTTATTCAAGGAGTATTTGATAAGTCTGAAGAAAGTGAATAATCATTTGACTTCAATATTACAAATGTATGAACTCAAACATAAATTTAAGATTGATGGTGATAATAGAACAACTTTAATGATGAGAAACATTCCTTAAACCTATACAAAGGAAATGATTATGATGGAAATAGATCCAAAATTCAAAAACAAATTTGATTATTTTAATTTTCCATTTGATGGTACTTCCAATCCTGGATATGCCTTCATTAATTTGAAATCAAAATCTTACTTAAGAGATTTTTATAGTTATTTCAATGGAAGGAAGTGGAAAAATACACCATAAAACAAAGTATTAAAATTATATATATATAGCCTTGTTATTTGAAATATGCTAAAATTTAACATAAAAAATTCAAATAAATTAATCCTTAGATTTATTTACAATAAAGTAGTGTGATAAAATTAGTCTAGAGTTAAAAATAACAATGTAATTTGTGAATTAAAGTATCACTTTTTTTTTCTCTATATCTATTTTAATATTTTATATTAATATTTTATAGAAAACTCAATTTAATTGAAGTCTCTCTCTTAAATATTCTTTAAGTGTAACAATCTTATCTTAAATATGATCTGATATTCTTGATATTAAATCTTAAGTCTAAACTCTTGATTAAGTTTCCATCTAATAAATATCTTATTATTATCTACACCATTAATCTTAACCTTCTAAATTATTCTATTGTTTAAATCTTCTATTACCTAATTTCTCTCTACTTCAGCAGCATGATATTCCACTTTCCCTTCAGACTCTTCAATTATACTTTGATAATTCAGAATTGCTTATTCTAAATTCTATCTTTGATCTGATCTAATTATATTTAAACATAAAGATATTACAAAGTGTTTTTCTCATTTGTTAAGTCTGCCAAGAATTATTACCAATTCAAACTTTATTGTTTTTCAATAGATTCATCATTTCCTTTACTATCAACTATTTAAACTCTTAAATTAGCTAACAATTAAAGCACTTTCTTTGCAGTATCTGAATCTGATTTTGAAGACAATTGAGTCATCATTGTTAAGATTGGTTAAAATAACAAACCTGTAGATTGACTATCAATCATCAAAATAATAATACCTTTGTAATCTCTATAAAACTTTATTGAATCTTCCTTTAACTTGAATAAATGAAGAACCTCCAGATAAATGTTCAATAAGTGCATAAGCTTCATCAATTGCTGAAATAGCTTCAGTATGATCCTTAATTTTTGATTAGAATTCTGCATATTATAAATCTCTTTCACTCTGTCCTGCATTTGTTTTCTTTGTATTTTCTTCAATTTCAACTGAAACTTCTGCAATTTTATTAAGTGATCTTTATAGATTATTTGTATTTTCCTAATATTATTATAATTTCTCTAACATCAACTATTTTTTAATGTGCCTTCAATTAACTTTGATGATAGGCTAAGTTTGTAGAAAAGTCATGCAATAATCTATTACAAGAAGCTTATGTATTTTAAATAAATAGATCTGAATCTTTTTATTCTTATTCTAACATGAATCTAAAGTTATGCCTTGTAATTACCTGATATTGTTAATATAACTTTAAATTTCATGAACAGGTGAACCAGTGGCAAGACTGATTTGGATAGCATTCAAAAATGTTTTGCCCATATGATGATCATCAATTTCTGTTAAGACAATCTTTGGATCTGTTCCTATTTTGCATAATGCCTATTATCCTATTTGAATACTACCAAACTAATTAGAACTAATAATAGTATTTTCATTTTATTATTATTATTAAAAACGAATATAAATAATAAATTCATTCTTTATTGAAAGTATACTCATTAAGTGATATGAATAAGCATCTATATATATTATATAAATATTTAAATAATTTATATATTCTACAATTATACCATAAAATTATTTCTAATATATTTAATCTATGGCAGATTTTCAATTTAAATTATTATTAATATTTTAACTGAAGTAATATTAAAAATCATAAAAGAAATAATTTTAATAATTTAAGTTATAAGATACCTTATAAAATTTTACTAAAAATTATAAAACTACATAATTTTCGATTTTATATAAGGATGAAATAGTTAATTGAAGATTTACATATCATATAAGAATGATTAAAATAATTAAAACAAAGAAAGATGAGAGAGTTGTTTTATTTTTAATATTAAATTTATATATATATATATATATATATTTATTTCATTCTATATATCAATCAGATTCATCGTCACTAAATGGATAATCAATATGATAAATGTGACTTGAATTTTTATCCTTAATTACTTGTATATGTTCAGTAGCTTTGAATGAAGTGATGTCAATTGACTTGAACTTCTTAAATTCTTCTGATATAGTAGAGACTGATGAATGTTTTAAAGAATTTCTCTTCCAAATTTCCCCTGCTCCAAATAGGAAACAGAGTTATTTAATTTTTTTGGCATTCACCTAGGTTTCTTAAGGTTTCCAATTCAAAAATCTAGCCATATTCTTTTCTAATCTATCTCTAGGTAAATTTGATTCATTTTAAGCATTTTTAACCCAAGGATGTTCTAAAGCCTGTTATGGAGTGAGCCTTTTTTAAGGATCAAATTATAATAAATTGCTTATCAAATCTTTAGCTTAATAAGATATCTAATCCCAAATAGGACCAACCATTTCGTATTTACATTATTAAATCTTATCAATCAAATCATTTAAATAATCAGAATTAAATGGTAATTCTCCACTTAACATTACATATAATATCACTCCTGCACTCCATAAATCAACTTATTCACTAAATAAATATAATGTTATTACTTGTACAAACCTCCTGAAAATATCTCTGGTGCTGAAAAGGCAACTGTCCCTGTATATGTCCACATTTCAATTTTTCCATGTTCATTAAGATTTCCAAATTCTTTGTATCCATCTGTAAATTTGGACACCTTCATTAAATTATAATTATTTTGTTACATTAAAATCAGTAATCTTGATTGATCTACCATCTTCTGCACATAAAATATTATTCGGTTTTAAGTCTCTATGACAACAATAATTTTCATGCATATAATCAATTGCTTCCAATATTTGTTTAAATAAGATTCTAGCAATGCACTCTATCCTTATTTATTCAAATACCACTATAATTCTTCTATTTTTAAATCACTTCAAACATCTCGCTACCCTTCACTTTCTCCATTACTACATAAACAGTTCCAGTTGATTAGAATCCCTCATTCCATTGAATATATAATTCTTCCATTTTTACAATGCGAGGATGACTCAACTTTTTTAGATTCTTGAATTCCAATATCATCTAACTCATATATCAATATTATCTACATTCTTCACAATTTCTTCAGCATCTGTTTTTACTGTCTTACATGCCAACTCTTATCCATCTATCTTTCTTGTAATACTCTTTACTAATCCAATACATCCTTCTCCTAAAACCTCTCCTTCAGTATATTTCTCATTATATTCACTCAGCTCAAATTTTATATATTTATGATCTTCTTAATCTAACTCTACACTAATTCGACTTAAAAATTATTGTAATTCCTATTCTTTATTATTTCCATTCTCGCTCCTATTTATCAATTGTAGCATTTAGCCTAATCAATTATACTATTAACTTTAACCTTTGAACTTATTTTTAAATTGTTGCAAAGTATTTTATTATGTATTATCATAGACAGGGGCTCGAGAAAATGAAAATTTGCTCTTTCTTCTCTAATTTTATAAATCCATAATAATTTAATAATACTTATAAATCAATAATTTTATAAGGTGCTACTATTAATAAAAATCACCTAATAAATTTATCTTAAAAACTGAATCTATAACAATCAATTAAGTTTTATTTAAATCTAACATTTTTATCATAAACAATATATTAATTAATATTTAATTTAACCTATTTAATGGGAAGCGTTGGGTGCTGTAAAAACTCTCCTCGTGTTGATACTCTTAAATTTGATGATGTTGACTCTTCAAGTTAAGAATCTATTATCCACAAAAGAGATGATTAATTTTCACCAAGAGCCAGTTCCCCTGGTCAAGAAGCAGTCCCTCTACAAATCAATCAAAGATAACCTCAGATGTATTAAAAACATGCTTGCATATCTACTGCCTTATAATCTTACTCTTTCAAAACAATCTCCTCAGAACAACATTTCTCAAATTTTATAACATTTTAAGCCCTTCCATCATCTAGAGATTAACAATCTAGCAAAGTTTAGAACATCAGGTCTAACTTTTTAGAAGACCTCCATGAAATTCAACATTAATTGAGTTGCGAATTTTAAAGCAATGAACAAATTAAACTACCCTCATAATATAGAAAAAACATTTGATACTTATATTAGATTTATTACTTAATAATTTTTAAGTATTCTCATCCCAAACTTATTTACCAAATCAAATATATATATATTGTAAAATAATAAATCAATATAAATAAAATTAATTAAATATTCTCCTAAACGTTGAAAAATATCTTATTAATTAAAAACAAAGAAATTATAATTATCAAAACAAATAATACAAGCATCTTCCATTAAAATAATATTGATTCCTTTTATAATTAAAAATTTATTCTTAAATTTTATTTGATATAACAAATCCTTTTTAATTTTTCTTTCTATTTTAATTTATGATATTATTATACTCAAAGTATATATATATATCTTCTTTATAGTAATCTCATTATTATATGAAACAATCACTTAATTTTAAAATCTACTCTCTTAATTTGAGTTGATTTTTTGTAATTATCTACTTCTATTAAGAATCAAATTCATTTATCTATAATTTATTGAGATTTCTTTGTAAATAGAATTAAATCTAAAATTAATTATTAAATACTACCATTAGCTGACTAATCTGTAAACCAATATTTTAATTTAACCCTCCAGATTCTTCATCTTTATAAAATTAATTGAATAAATCATAATAGATGAGTTGAAATGATTTTTTCTGATGGCTCTCAAATAAACTTAGAAAAATAATTCATCTTACTTTTACATAAATTCGAGATTCAATTTATGATACTCATACTAATTGAAAAGGATCAAGACAGCAAAAATGAATTGAATAAAAACTATAATAATAGTTTAAGTATTATCTTAATTGGGGCTATTCTCATTATAAAAAATCTAACCAACGATTATTTAATTAAAAAATAATGTCCCAACAGACATAAGTGTGTTCAAACTGTAGAGCCTAAATCGCAGAGACAGTATTTTCATTGCATGAAATCTATTGCATTCGTAATAACATAGAATGTAAGAGATGTGGATAATTCTTTGATAAGAATGACCCATAATCTCATGAAGAAGAATTTCATAAAGGAACTAAATGCGAATTTTGTAAAGAAATATTCTAAGGTACTTCATTATATCAATGTAGATATATCAAAACATACAAAATGTCTTAAACAACCAGTCCCTTGTATATATTGTGGATTAGATTAAACTAAAGATTAAATATTTTAACATGAAAATTTATGCGGAAGTAGAACAGAAAAGTGTGATATATGCAAACAATATATTATGATTAGAGATTTAAATAAACATTTAACTACATGTGTACCTCCAAAACCAAAAGAATCAGTTTAAGAAAAATAACCAACTTAAAAAACAGTTGAAAATAGATAAATTCCATAACAACCTTAATAAAGTGTTTAACCACCTAAGCCTGATTATAAGAATTTTGATTATAAATATAAACTTCAAGCAGAAGCTGAATAAGTTAGTAGACCATAACAATAAGTATAAGCAAAACATGAAATATTTGGTTATGAAAAACCATCAATACCTTACAATTAATAATAATAATAATAATAATAATAATAATAAATTAGATAACCTATTAATAAGTATGATAAACCAATTGAAACTAGAACAGATAATCATTCTTAAAATAGAAAAACTCCATAATAATATTACAATTTCAATTAATAGTAATAACAAATTGCAGTTGAATAAAAAAATAAACCCAAAGATTATCCACTTCAACCAACAACAAATGTCATTAAAAGATAAGCTTCTGGTAATTAAGAGGTTAGAAATGTATATCCCTAATAAGAAAAATTAACTGATAAATATGCTTATTAATAGTCTAACTAATAGAAGTGTCCAGATAGAAAGACAAATGAATAAAGATAATATGATCCTAATTCTTATTTAAATAGATAATAAGAGAATAAATACTATGATAATAAATAATTTGATATGAGAGGAATTGATAAAAAATAATCAGATCAAAATTTACATAGATAATATAGTTAACAACCCTAATAAAAAAAATAGTATAATAAATTATAAAATTTTAGATAATAACCAAAAGCTGTTGATGATGATATAGATTACTTGGCTTTGGGTCTTACAAGGGAAGAAATTGAATAATAGAAAGCTTATTTAGAAAGTTTATAGTAGTAAAGAAAACCTTAAGAATCTTAGCCCAAAGCCTAAGATTATAAGCCTAGATAAGATTATTATTAGGCAGCTAGAGCATATAAATGATACTATTATATGTTTATTACTTATATAGATATATAGAAAAATGTTACTCAAAATCCATTGATATTTCCTTAATTTTATGAATTGGTATTTGTTCTGTTAGAATTGAAAGCTTTTAATTAGTCTAACAATTTTGCATTTTGTTATCGTAATCCCTCTGTTTCCTTACACATCATCTCGTATTCTCTAAAAAAATCTTTCTTCTTTAACTACTCTCTTTGTTTGATATTGAGTTGAGTAATTTCCTCTATCTAATTAAATTTATTTTGATACTTCGTCTGATAATTATTTGATGGTATTTTCAAGATTTTCTATTTGCTCTAATCTTTATATTGGATTCAAAGATCCTCTATAAACATCATGTTCGCTTTCTTCTATTTATTATTGTTATTATTATTATAGTTAAAGTTATGATTAAGATAATTATTGTTATAGTTAACTAGTTGTCATTCTGAGTTAATTAATTTCTGTTTATAGTTTCTAAGCTTCATTAATCCTTTACATTTGTTCTCCTTCAACTTACTATTTTAAATAGTAGATTTCATCCAATAGCATGCTAAATCTTTTATAATTTTTTGATAAGAATTGTTTTAGATCAAAGAGTTAGTTAGTTTTTTCATAATTATTCGAATTCTCAATAAAATCTTCCAGATATTTGATTTTTATTTTGAGTTTCTCATTCTCTAAACTATATTGAGATTAATTAATATTCATTATATTAAATATTTAACAACCCATAAATTATATATGAATTTTGTTCATATTTATTTACAAAACTTTCTTAAAAAGATTGTTGTCTATGTGATAGGACATTTAATAATTAACTTAATAGATTTCCCTCTGTTGAGCTCTATAAGGTTGATTTGGGTTGCCAATATCTCCTTTGGTTCTGTGATCAATTCGTCCTCCTCTAGTTGTTGTCGCTCCGCCCAGCTACTAATCTATGTGGGATTTTAAAGTAAATGTTTATTCTTAGCCCTCCATAATTGTCTTAATAATTAATCAAAAATATGAGTAAATGCAAATTAAATATGAATAAATCGTCCTTCTCTTCCTGAATTCCTTAACCATCTCATAAGATTCCAGAAATTTCAATCTTCAGACTTCAGTTCAATAATGTTCGCAAATTAGAGATTAAATCATTTAAACGTTAATATATATTATATCCACACTAACTAGACAACAAATGGCCCTCAGCCATTGTCTTTTTTTACTAATAACAAATGCTATTTATATTTCTCTCTAATCGAGATACTTTTAAATTAAGATATATTATTTCTATTTAAATATAATTCATTTTCTTCTAGAACTCTTATGATGATGATTCATTATTACATGTTATTTCTTCTGAAGATCAACATAAATACTATTTATTTTATTATCTGTGCTTTCAGATTATATAAATCTATCATATTTTTATTTATATTCTTTTTATTTTGATTAATAAAGAGGAACATTCTATTTCTATTATCCCTATCTCTAATCAAGGATATTTAATGAATCTGTAACTTTAAAGTTTTACTCTCCTTAAACTTATGGTAAAATTATTTGCGGTTATTCTATTTAAGGAGGCTATGTATTGGTTCCATCATCAGGTGTATCAAATTATGACTTATGTTGAATTTATTGATCTAATGGAGATTCCTCAGATAAAGGCATTTAAATCTCATATTGTCCCAATTCCTTGAATTAATATAAATCATGAAGACTCTCTTAATGGTTATTGAGAACATAATTCAATTCAAGCATTTCCTTAAATAAAGGATCTACCTTTGCAAATTTTTAATAATATTCCTTTGGAGGAGCTCTTAAATTAAATTTGTCTAAAATATTTTAAGTATATTTAATATCTTGTTTTTTCTAAATTTAAGGTTGATTGTTAAGTAATCCAACAAATTTAAGTTTTTCATCTGACTTTTCAAAATTATGCTAAAGCATCTTTGGTCTTGAAAACGGAACTTGTGGTTTGTTCATATGTAATACTAGTTTTACAGAAGGAGAAACCTAATTAACATTTAGCTAAAGATGAGATAGTAAATATTTAGTTTAAGCAGATACTTAAACATTCTGGTCTTCAAATTATTCAATTTTAGTAGAATCTTTTCTTAATATTTTTTGTGGTTTCAATTTTTCATTCAAATGTTTAGCAAATGTTAATCCATCACCAGATAAATTTGGAAACATAAGCTTCCTACCTAAAAATGTTTTTTCTTAAGCTTTTCTCTTCTACTCCAATTTCTTTTACAGTATTATCTGATCTTGAATTCTTTCGTACTCTAAAAATTTAGATGTGAAAATTTTATCTATTTATCCTCTTATATATGCATCTGAAACATATAATCCATTCGAGTAAAATATTACTATATGATAGCAATCGTATACAAATCTTCAATTATTGTAAAAAACTACCTAATGTTCACTTATTCTTTATATTATGCATCTTTCCATAAATACCAATGAATATTGTAGGTGATTAAGAAAAGAATATAATTGATAATCTCGTCTTTTGGTTAAGGTAATTAAGCAAACAGCTTAACGTATGTTTTTGAATATTTATCCTTCAGCTGTGTAGATCCACCTCGAAATTTTAAGTCAAGAACTTATTTTAATTTTAGTTTTTACTTATATCAATACCAATTAAAGTTAACTTTGAAACTCTTTTCAACTAAAGACTTTAAAGAACTTTATTCTTAAGCTACACATTTTCAATATTTTTTAATATCCCATTTTCTATGATCTAGTTCATTTAACTTTGTAATTCTTCTTCTGGATTATTAGACATTTTGTTAAAATTAATTAAATAATCTATATAAATATAATAATAATCTGATCTAATTAAAAATAATGGACAATTAATAATCTAATAAACCAAATTCTTATATTTTTTTATCATAATCATTTCCAACTCATTCCATGAAATCAATGCAATTATAATTTATGCATATATATATATATATAATGCTGTTTTACTGTCAGATAAACATGAAACATACTATGAATTAAAAATATATGAAAACTTTGGAAATACCTTCATTATCTGCAACAGATTTGCAATTTTGCAGAGCAGGTACACAGCCTGAAACTTTAGCACAAGCATTCACTAAATTTGTGCATTCCCTTTCTAAGAAATTATTAGAAATCAACAGGTTCTTCGCCTTTTTCACCTTCGCTCTCACTATCACTCTCACTATCACTTTCACTATCTTTCTAAATTTTTTTTGCTTTTTCTGATTTTGGCTTTTTATCTTTGTTTTTTTTTGTTTTCTTTAGGATTCAGCTTTGCCTTAATTAGGTTTAGAAATGATTCTACCTTAATCATCTTTTGGTTGTATTTTACTTTCATCTTCTTTTGGCTTTGAATTTCCTTAATCAGATTTAGGCTCAGTTTTACTTTAATAATGATATTAAATTTACCTTAATCAGCTTTAGGATCAGTAATACTTTAATCGGGAAAATTTCATCTTTACCTTAATCAGCTTTAGGATTTGTAACTCTTATGAGTAACATTACGTTAATCATATTTAGTCTCTGTTTTCCCTTAATCAGCTTTAGGATCTGTTTTACCTATATTTACAAGGCATATTTTTACCTTAATCAGACTTTGGTTCTGGCTTACCTTAATCAGGTGCAGGCACTTTATTTGTATTAGGCTAAGCTTATACTGTCTATTTTGGAGAAGAAGTAGTTATTTCTCCAAACATCTTAGATTCCTCAAGTTCACTAACTTTATTGCTAAGTTAATTAAAAATTAACTACCCTATTTATTAACCTTGAGATATAAAAATTCTATTCTCTCCCACATATCGAGCTAAAAAAATTATTTAGAATACATTTTTTCAAACACTTATACGTGAACTAAATAACAGGGTTTGAGTTTTCATAATTAAATTAATTGATATTATCAGAGGAAATTCATTTAATTGCTAACTAGATAATATCTTGGAATTAGTAGTTTAAACTTTTAATTTCAATTATGAGGAAGGCATTGATTTTTTATATAATTATTTGATATGAATTTGCTTAAATTTAAAATTATTTTCACTCCAAGCATTTAGATTAAACACACTCAAGTAGGGCAACTGCAGGCTTACTTTCATTGATGCAATCCAAATACTAAAAAATTATTTTAATAGTCTTACAGCTTAGTATCCAGCAACATAAACTACATTCTTGCATTATTCTAATTTTGAATTGCATTGTTTGTCACATGCTTTAGCTTATGATCCACATTTATCTTCAATGCATGATCTAAACTTCTTTTCTTCAGGGCTCTATTTAGGTTCATCCTTTTTCTTTTCATCCTTCTTTTCATCTTTTTTCTCGTCTTTCTTCTCATCCTTCTTTTCATCTTTTTTCTCGTCTTTCTTCTCATCTTTCTTCTCGTCTTTTTTCTCGTCTTTCTTCTCATCTTTCTTCTCGTCTTTCTTCTCGTCTTTCTTCTCATCCTTCTTTTCATCTTTCTTTTCATCTTTTTTCTCATCTTTCTTTTCATCTTTCTTCTCATCTTTTTTCTCGTCCTTCTTTTCATCTTTTTTCTCGTCTTTTTTCTCATCTTTCTTCTCGTCTTTCTTTTCATCTTTCTTTTCATCTTTCTTTTCATCTTTTTTCTCATCTTTCTTTTCATCTTTCTTCTCGTCTTTTTTCTCGTCCTTCTTTTCATCTTTCTTCTCGTCTTTCTTCTCATCTTTCTTTTCGTCCTTTTTCTCATCTTTTTTTTCTTCTTTTTTAGGCTCTTCCTTTTTTGGTTCTTCTTTCTTATCATCTGCTTTTTTAGGCTCATCCTTCTTTGGCTCTTCCTTTTTTGGTTCTTCTTTCTTATCATCAGCTTTTTTAGGCTCATCCTTCTTTGGCTCCTCTTTTTTTGGTTCTTCTTTCTTGTCATCTGCCTTTTTAGGCTCTTCCTTCTTTGGCTCTTCCTTTTTTGGTTCTTCTTTCTTGCCATCAGCTTTTTTAGGCTCTTCCTTCTTAGGCTCTTCCTTTTTTGGTTCTTCTTTCTTGTCANGGAAATTCATTTAATTGCTAACTAGATAATATCTTGGAATTAGTAGTTTAAACTTTTAATTTCAATTATGAGGAAGGCATTGATTTTTTATATAATTATTTGATATGAATTTGCTTAAATTTAAAATTATTTTCACTCCAAGCATTTAGATTAAACACACTCAAGTAGGGCAACTGCAGGCTTACTTTCATTGATGCAATCCAAATACTAAAAAATTATTTTAATAGTCTTACAGCTTAGTATCCAGCAACATAAACTACATTCTTGCATTATTCTAATTTTGAATTGCATTGTTTGTCACATGCTTTAGCTTATGATCCACATTTATCTTCAATGCATGATCTAAACTTCTTTTCTTCAGGGCTCTATTTAGGTTCATCCTTTTTCTTTTCATCCTTCTTTTCATCTTTTTTCTCGTCTTTCTTCTCATCCTTCTTTTCATCTTTTTTCTCGTCTTTCTTCTCATCTTTCTTCTCGTCTTTTTTCTCGTCTTTCTTCTCATCTTTCTTCTCGTCTTTCTTCTCGTCTTTCTTCTCATCCTTCTTTTCATCTTTCTTTTCATCTTTTTTCTCATCTTTCTTTTCATCTTTCTTCTCATCTTTTTTCTCGTCCTTCTTTTCATCTTTTTTCTCGTCTTTTTTCTCATCTTTCTTCTCGTCTTTCTTTTCATCTTTCTTTTCATCTTTCTTTTCATCTTTTTTCTCATCTTTCTTTTCATCTTTCTTCTCGTCTTTTTTCTCGTCCTTCTTTTCATCTTTCTTCTCGTCTTTCTTCTCATCTTTCTTTTCGTCCTTTTTCTCATCTTTTTTTTCTTCTTTTTTAGGCTCTTCCTTTTTTGGTTCTTCTTTCTTATCATCTGCTTTTTTAGGCTCATCCTTCTTTGGCTCTTCCTTTTTTGGTTCTTCTTTCTTATCATCAGCTTTTTTAGGCTCATCCTTCTTTGGCTCCTCTTTTTTTGGTTCTTCTTTCTTGTCATCTGCCTTTTTAGGCTCTTCCTTCTTTGGCTCTTCCTTTTTTGGTTCTTCTTTCTTGCCATCAGCTTTTTTAGGCTCTTCCTTCTTAGGCTCTTCCTTTTTTGGTTCTTCTTTCTTGTCATCAGCTTTTTTAGGTTCTTCCTTCTTTGGCTCCTCTTTTTTTGGTTCTTCTTTCTTGTCATCAGCTTTTTTTGTTGAATCTACAGGCTTTTTCTCATCAACAAGGTGATTGACAGCCCTACCAGATATTAAAGATATGAAAAGCAAGCAAATTAGGATTCTTTTCATTAATTAAATTTTATTTATATTTAATTAGAAAGGTTTTGTCAGTTAAATATATTTGAGTCTAATTGTGATTTTATTTAGATAAAATCTTAATTTTGGTTGGCTGAGTAAAGTGATTCAATTATATCTTTGCTTAAATTAATAAAATCAATGTTTCATATTTAAAGACCTAATTATCTATAGTTAACTTCTATTGTATAACTAAACATAACTTTATTTTGTTAAGTAAACATGAGTTTTTGCAACTCCTGTCAAATATGGATTAATCGAATATGTGTAATGGACAGTCATAGCTTGAGGTACTAAATTCTCTTTTGCATATTGAATTTTACTTTCTAATGCTTTTTAAATATTTTCTTCTTTTTCCTTCAACTCCATATTAATTTTGTTGATAATTAATTTAAGTGAACATAGGTACTTTTTTCGAAAATGGTGAACTTTTGGTGTTATTTATTTCTGAAATTCCTACAAATATCCTAATAATATACTAAAATAGCATGATGAATTGATGTGTTAGAGTGTCAATTTGTATAAATAAAGCGATTATTTAGCAAACTGAGAACAAATTTCAATATAGAATGCTACTTTGTGGTTTTTAAATATTTTTAAAACAACAATAGGACCATTAAATTTTGGAAATTTCATAAATCTATTGTAAATTCTATTTTCATCATTTGATAAAGAATCTAATCTATAATGTCCACAATAAACTCTATCACAATTTAACATTGTCATGATTAAGAAAGCATAGTTTTCAAATAAATATTGGCCAGTTTAGTAATAACTTTTTAAAGATTCAATAATACCTTATAAAATAAATGATGGCTGAACATCTCCAGCATGAATGCCACATAATATTAAAATATCATTTTCTTGAATTTGATTTAAGGTTCATTTAATTAATTTTTCTGCAAATAAAAATTAGGGTAATACAATATATTTGGAAGTAGCAGCTAAGTAATTTTAGAAATCTGATTTATCAAATATTTTGAATTTCGAAAGAATTATCATTAACACTTAAGTTAGATTTTCCATATTCAACTTTTATTTAATTGAAAATTTTTTCTAAGCATAATGAAATATTTTGAAAATCACTAAAGATTTCAATTATGCTTTAATAATCTTAGTATTGGTAAAGCTCATTTTTGTTTTAGTAATCGAATCTATATTTCTTCCTCCTAATAAATGTACAAAAGTATCTCTTCTGGAGGTAATTATTTCTGGTAGTAATAACAATAATTAAATTTTTCATTTGGAAATGACAGGATGGAAAAAAGAAAAATAATAATCAAAAACTGGTGGATTCTGTTTTAAGATCAAGGAGTCATATAAACAATTGAATCTTAAATTTAAATATAAATAAGACTTAAAAATTTTGATATTCTGCTGGGTATCAACTACAAATTTATTGACTTTCATATAACAACCTTAATAATTTGTCCAAATTATAAAAATTTATTATTAGATATTGACAATTACAAAGTTTGCTTGAAAAACTTTAATAGAAATGGCCTTAAAATTAAACCACAATTTGGTGTCTTTATTTCATTACACAGGTGGAATTCTTCCTTGATCATCAAAAAATAGAAATTATTAATTATATGTAATTTACATTTATTTTAAAATATCATCACTATTTAAATTAAAAGTAGATAATTAATTCTCTCTTAATTAAGATTAATTTACTTGAAATATAAAACTCTTATTTTATTTTTTTATTTGACTACTTATTTCCCATTTTTTCAATGAATTAAAATATATAGATATATACATATGCTCATTTAATATAACCAAGCTTTTGAAGTAACTTTATTGTTTAATCAAACAATTGATTATTGTCTTCTTTTAGATACTTTGGAACACAATCTTTATAATAATATCCATTTTTTAATTTTTGATTTGGTTATGTAGCTAAAAATGTTTAAGTTACTGATCCTTATTCAGGAGTCTTTGTGAAATACCATATCATAGGAGCTAAAAATGAAAAAAACTAAAATTAATTAAGCATATTAGTTCGAACAACACCAGGATGTAAAGTGTAAACCTTAATCTAAGTATTCTTTAGGTTGTTAGCAAATGAAGATGCTTGATATACATTAGCTAACTTAGAAATGGCATAAATTTTATACCATGGATATGGTATAGATTCTTGATTTAAATAGTAATTGAAATCAACCTAGCGAGGAGAGTTTAAATGGGCACGTGAAGCAACAAATATAATCCTTGATTCTTATTCATTTGGAATGCGATCAAGCAAATTATAGGTTAACAAAAAAGGAGATAAATAATTAACACCAAAATTCTATTCAAATCCTTACATAGTGTATTTCAACTCTAAATTATAAATTCCTGCATTGTTAATCAAAATATCTAACTTTTCATAAGTATTTTTAAATTCCTAACAGAATTCCTACACCTTATCCAAATCATTCAAGTCTAAGTACATATATTTGATATTTTTGTAATTAATTAATTAAGATTTTATTCTTTCAACATTTCTTCCTGCAACAATTACACATTTTGCTTTTGCTAACTTTTTTGCAGTTTCCCATCCAATCCCATCTGTTCCACCTGTTATCAATATAGTTTTATCATTCAATGAAATCTTATTTATTTTTAATCATACCTCTTCATGGGTTTTAAAATAGTTAATACCTCCCATTATTTTTAATTTTCCTGCTATCAAACTAATTGATCCTATAGAAAGAGCAAGAAGTTTATACATTATATTATAACAATAAATATTTAATGTTTTATTATTTTATAAATTTTTACTTTAAACAAGATAAGTTATTAGGAAATAATAATGTTGTAATTAGATAATTCAAAATTATCAAAGAAATCTATATTTTTAATTGAAATGTTGCTAATAAATAATAATTAATATTTAAAATAACAAACTTATGTATGTAATTCAATTTTTTACTTTTAAAAATACAATATTTTAATGTAGACTAATCTTAAAAATGAAATTCTATAAACTGTTCATTATAATTATATAGTTTCATTTATAAATTTATTTTCATCATGAGCATCTTTAGCAAGAAGTGAATCCTCTTTTTAAGGCTTCTCTTATTGTTAAAGGAGTTTTTGAATTATTTAGATAATTACATTAAGCATTATGATATTTAACTCCTGATTTAGTAATAAAAACTATATTTTGACTCTCATCAAAATTAGAAACTTTTGGATGAACAATGGATTATATTGCTATATTTTATATAGTTTTATCAGCAGTTTTATGAGAATAATCATAAAAATTATTATTATTGAAGTCTTTTAGATTTATATTAGATTAAAATGTGCTTTGAACTTATTATGGATAAACGGACTAAATAAAAGAAATTTATTTTTATGGATTACAAGCAGGAACTAGTTTTTTAGAAATCTTCTCTATAATTTCATCAGCTTATTTTTAAGTGATATTAATATCTTTAAGTAAAGATTAAAATTAGTTTTCTAATTTGTAATAATTTGCCAACATTTTCTCTTTATGTTCAATTATATTGATCTCTTATTCTTTTTTGTGTTAAAAGAATTATTGTTGTAAGTCTTATAATTTAATACTTATTTTTTCAAACTTTTTCTCTAGGTAATCTTGAAAATATTCTTTCAATTCTTCAATCATAATAGAATGTCAAAAAAAAAATAATAAATATTAAATTAAAACAAAATTACCATTTAAATTGAGATTAATATATTCTATAAAATTTATTTACTATTAATGAATAATATAAATAATTATTGGAAGTTTCATTTTTATTTATATTGATATAAGAAATACATTTAAATTAATAGAGGAGATTATTTTATATTAATAAATATTTATAGTTATTTTTATATAATGTAAAATTCTTATATTGATAGATGAGAATCAATTTTCATTAGTTTTTGATTCTCAAGTTTGCTATTTGTTTAAGTCTTAAATTTAAATATCAAAATTAATGATAAAATTATATATTATTCTAAATTCATTAATTGTATTGGTCTTAAACCAATAAATCTGTCCAGAAGATGAATATAGTTTCAAAAATGAATGCATACCAAAATCATGTTAATAATACATTGAAAAAATTACATCAAAAAAGAAACCAAGTGGAAAAAGATTTGTATAATTAGATATGAATGGAAAAGTGATTAAGTAATAAGAGAACTATAGAATTGAAATTGAATTCAATGATGAACTTGTTGGAGTATTTAATAGAGATAATAATTAATCTTGTATAACAGATCAATTATATCGTCATGAAATGAATTATGTACATGAAATTAAGGATGATACAAATATTGTTAGTACATATGTTTAAAACAAGAGGAAATGGAATTTCTTGATTAAGTATTGATGTAATTAATATTTAGGGATTTAACTAATAAGTTGTATAAGGATAAATAATCAGATAAATCAATATATAATGGATTTTACACAATAAATTATTTTGTGAAAAATTATGTAATTTTGTCATATATGTTTGATTTTCAAATTGTGCTTGATAATAATTAAAATTTGATTGAGACTCATTTTAATGATTAATTGTTAGATGATTAGGTTTCATGTAATATTTTTGGAACATGTGTATAAAAAGTATATACAGAAATATCATTTTGCAATGATTCAAATTGTTTAGAAGTAGCAATTGAACCTAATATTACATTAAATAATCCAATATATTTGTTAAGTGAGATAAAGGAAGAGGGATTTGAAGATTGGTATACACATGACTATGAATTAACATTTTATAGCTATCAATTAGTTAAAAAATTTAAACCAGTTTTTGAATAGCATTTGCCTGGAAAAACAATATTTAAATTACTTGTTCCATTTATAGCAGATAAAGGTTCTTTATATGTGTCATCTAAATTAACAAAAAATATTTATTGGAGAAGAGTATTAGAAAATGAGATTGGAACTTCTTTAGCTATTAGTATTTATTAAGAAGCACCATGTATTAAAATGAATCAAGAAGATTAATGTCCAAATGAAGAATAAATAGATAAATTTAATTAATTGGATTGTGGGAGTATTGATATTTTGTATTGCGATGGAATAGATATATTCAATGCTATGATGCTTATATTAATTTTAATGATAATTTGAATTTGTTGTAAAAATTTATATATTAAATAAATGAACACAAATGAATTGGTCGAGTATTAATAAAAAGTAGAGGCTTATATAAAAGAGCACAAAATGACTGACTTATTTGAAAATCTTACAAGATTATTAGTACTTTCAAAACCTTAAGATCCAGTGACATTCTTAATAGATATTCTTGAAAATAGAAGAGTGCAACGGCTTATCCTAGTAACTGGTGTGGTTACTACAACAAGATAAGAAATAGTAGCATCTCTTGCTAATATGTTCAATTACAAAGTTATAACAGTAGAGGATCACTTTAAATCTCATTGGATAAATGATGATTAAGTAAATCAATTCATTCTTGCAGAATTAAAAAAAACTGAGAAACACTTCAGAGGAATCATAATATCTGGGTATCCTAACAATATCAAATAAGCATATTATTTATAATCAATGGGAATCATACCAGAGAGGTAAAATATGAATTCATTTTAGACTGTTTTATTTAGAGAGTGATTTAGATTTTTGCAGATAATATTATGAATAAATATCTTAATCTTAAGAGGAAGTGACTAAGGCATTGACTAGAGATAGATTGAATAAGAAAGATTTAGAATATATCTATGGATCTTATATGGATATATTTAATACATCAAAAAGGACTAAAGAAGATATTATTGAAAATATCAAATAGATTATTCGTTTGAGAGATAGAAAGTTTCCTCCTCTTCGTTTTCCTAGGGTAGCAATTATACGTCCTCCTGGTTTAAAAGAAAGAGCAACTTAATTAGCATAAATATTTAGTAAAAGATATGGTTTAGTATAACTTATTACTTTTGATATGATTCAATAATAAATTCATAATAAAGGAGTTTTGGGTCCTTTAATTTATAATACACTTCAAAAAGAAGAAGAAATATCTAATGATATAATCAATAGTATTGTATATACAGAAGTACTATCAACAGAGGCTAGAACAAAAGGTTGGGTATTAGAAGGATTTCCTAAGAATGAAGCTTAATTAAAGTTTTTGGAGACACAAAATGTGAATTTATTTGTAGTTTTGAATGAAGATGAAGATGTTTTAATTAATAAGTCAAAATAATTGAAAATTGATCCTGTTACTAAAATAAAATATGAGAAAGTTCCATTAAATAATAAACCATTATTAGATAGATTACAGAATTTTTAAGTAATTATATAAATTAATTTAGATCAATAATGAATAATTATTAAAAGATAGAATAACTAAATATTAGACATTTGTAAAATTGATTGAATAGAAATTTGGTGAACGAGTTTAAGTATTCAAATTAGAAAAGGATTCAACTGAGAATATAATTAGAGTAACAGATGTATTTTTGAATAATCCTAAAATTTATAATTGATAGATTAAATTTATTTGTGCTCAATATTTATTAGAATTTATAATAAAGTCATTCAGATAATCCATCATTAAATCATATGCACTCTATTATATATCAATATTATTTAGTGCATTACTCAATAATTCACTAATCTATTCTTATATATCATGATAAACATTTTCATTAACAAAAAGTTAACAATTATTCTCAAATTTTGTAAGTAGATTTTCAATTGCTAAATGTAATTATCCTTAGACAATAATCATTGAATTATCATCTTTAAAAAGTGTTAATTCTCTGAATTTGTACTTTGGATATTTTTTTGCTAAAACTTCATCAAAAGTACTAATATCATCAATTAATCCATTTTCAAGTGCTTATTATGCTGTATATATATGACTTTCATCAAATTTCTTAATTTTACCTACTCTATTCTATTTTATTTAATCTAAAGCAAATTAAAATTCAGTTTTAAGTTCTTTATTTACAAATTCCAATTATTTTTCACTTACTTTAGTAAATGCATCTAATAAAATACTTTCCCTTTTACTCTATCTATAATTAATTTTTAAATTTTGTAACACATTCTAAAATCCAATAGACCTTTTACATGGTTATACTTCTCCAATTAAAGAAAATGGATCTATATTTTTAATTATTTATTACTTGCATATACTTCTGTACCACAACTTGCTAAGTAATATGCTGATCCTAAAGCATAACAATCAATAAATGTATAGAATGGTGCATCTAAATTTGATGCAGCTTATTAGAATGCTTCTGCTACAATTTATGCTTATGTTAAATCTCCATATGCTAAAATGATATTGATATAATAAACCTGAGTTGATTGATAACATTAAAACTTTAGGTTTTTCTTAAATATGTTTTCTTAATTAGAATATTATTTTAGTTGCAGATGATTATGTCATAGCTTTTGAAAATACAAAGTGAAATATTTCTCTTTTTGGTCTCCATGGTTTAAGCATAAAACGAACACTATTATAAAGCATTGTACTCATTAATTAGAATATTATAATAATATATATATATATAAATAAATATTCAAAGAATTCCAAAGAATTTTCGAGTTGCTTATTTTTTAGTTTCACTTTAACTTTCCTTGATTATTTCATTTGTTAAATCATATAGATTATGAATATCTTTTTGCATTTCTATCAAATTTTTATATAGATTCTAATATTCTTCATAAAAATCTGGTATTTCATTTAAGTTTATATTCTAAATTTAAATACAAAAATATACATTTAACTATTTTTGATTAAATTTTAATCTATATTTCTTTGATTATTCATAAAACTTTGATTTACGTTGAAGATCTTATATTTTCATTTTAATCATTTATAAATTGACATAATTTTAATGTGCATCCATATTAAAAACTCCATTTTGAGATAATTCCTATAAATTATTATATATAATTACATTTTATGAATTTTTAATATTATCTAAACGTTCTTTACTTAGATCTTAAAATTCTTGATGATTGATATTTAATTTATGATGATCTAATTTTTCTATAAATTAGAGAGTTGATTCATAAGTAGTAAAATAGTATTCATCTTCTCCAGTTATTCTTTTAGGTGATCTATAATAACTAACAAATAATATATTAGAATAGGCTTTTTATGGTTGAGCTTTAAGAGTTGCATATATTAATACAGGTAAAAGATTATCAGCACCTGTAGGTTGATTATTGGCCATTTGATTAACAATAGCTAAATTATAGTTATGAATATATTACCACTTGTTTGTTTACCTGCATTTACTATACAATTTAATTTTTCTCTTGGTGTTTCTACTTTATCAATTTTAGATATTACTAAAATATATAAATATACAATTTACAATCTACTACTTAGTTAAACATTTTATGTTTTTCAATGTTTTCATCAATTTCAAGATGTTTAGCTTAAACAAATGAATATGTTTTCATAGAAAATTCAATTTCTCTATCTTTGACTAAATCTATTGAAATCAATCTAATAATATTAATGAATGCAAATACTTGGAACAAAGTGGTTTCATAACAAGTTTTTCAATGGCTTCTCCATTTTCTCTTAAATATTCATCAGATTCTTTCCATAAGTCTTGAAATTCATCTTCAAAGTCGCTTATTTTTTGTTATACTATATTTGGTAAAGAATCAAATGGCATTTTGTTTTATTACACATCTCGAATGAAACTTAACTTTAATGCATACACAATAGCTACTTAATTATTTTTTATTTGAGTGCAGCTGATTCAGTCCTTTTCATTTTATCAGATACAGTTGGTTCTACCCTTCTAGATTATTCTAAAGACTATTCAGATTCATCAATCATAGTTGATTAATCCATTACGTGTAAATAATTTAATTATTTCGATTATAAATAAGAATTTACTATATATAAAAAATATAAATTATGATATAAAATGACATAAATATTAGTATTCATTTAATAAAACATGGACGATATTATAAATTAAGTTCTTTAAGCAATTCAATAGAGCAATAACATAAAGGTGTTTTTCCTTCATTATTTAATTTATCTATATCTGCTCCATTAGAAACAAATAGATTAATGATAACAATATTTCCTGATGCAAAAGCAGCAAAAGTTGGAGTTTCTCCATCTTTACAAGGCATATTAACATCAGCACCATTAATAAGTAAAAAATTACAAAAGAGTACACTTTATTATTTGGCAGCATAATATAATGGACAATACATATCAACATCATAACAATTAACATCATTTGAATCAAATATAAATCCTGAATGATCCATCCATAATGTATTATTTACTTTTAAAGCTAAAAATAATTTTCTTTATTTTAATTTCAATTATATCATAGTTTTTGGTATAGTAATTTTAGAATAATCAATTTATGATTTTTTTATTGTTTTCTTTCTATATTATTATTATTATAAAGCAATCTTTAAACTTTTATAACATTCTTCAACATCAATTTATTTTCTTTTTTCATTCAATTTCTAAACTAATCTATAAAATTTAGCTGGTTAAGGAGTTAGAAATTTCTTTTGTGAAATAGCTCTTTCAAATCTTTTTTTTGAAATATATGCTTTAAATGCTTTTTTTATTTTATTAGCTGCAGCCAATTCAATTTCAGGAGTGATCCATTTATTTCCATAAGGTAATGTTGTATCACTTTCTTCAATAGTTAATGATTGATGTGCATAAGGTCTTTATCTAATAGGTCCACCTGAATAAAATTAAGAGAAATTCTATTTATTCATTTCATAATCTTTTTTTTTTAATTTGAGTAAATAATCTTATATTTTAGTTACATTAGATTGATTAGTATGTAAATCAGGTTAAGATTTAATTATTACTTTAGAACTTGGATGTGTTTTTCTCATGACTACTTTAAGTGTTAAACTTTCTGTTTTAGATGGGAAAATGGGTTTATTAGAATCATTAGTTGTAGCTAATTTCTTTTCTCTCTTTTCTCTTTTCTAAATAAACATAAAATAATACTTTTCTTTCTAAAATAGACATCATAATATCTTTGAATTTCCATACCAAAGGATTTGCTATAGGATTACCTCTTCTATATTCTTATTAAAATATCTTATATTTTTCACTGTTTTCTTTAAATGTATCCTTTCTATCTTCTTTCATTTCTCTGAGCATTTTAAGAAATTTAAACTATTATAATATATTTGATATTAGATATACTTTTAATTTTTTAATATCTCCTTTATTTGTTTATTAGATATTAATTTCAGTTCTTTCCTTTTCTTTTGCTTTTTAATTGACTTTCAAATAAAGATGTCTACTTTAATTCATTTCTTTAGATATTTTATAATATTAATTTAAGATATTCTCAGCTATAGTTAATTCTATATCACTTATTATTTCAGAATCTAATTAATTAATTACTGTTTATAATAATCTAAAAATATATTATTATATACTTTTTATTTGAACACTTATTCAAAAGATTACTAGTATTTACTAAATATAATAATTCTTCTTCTGTCATACCTTATTAAGTATCATATTTAAATAATAATTCTTCTCTTCTTTATTGATCCTATTTATCTTTATCATGAGTTATAATATATTCACCCATTCCAATAGTATTAAATGAATTACTATTTACTAACATACCTAATCTATGTTTTGCTGAATTCCTTTTTACTTTAAAATCAGTCTCTTTTTCATTAGACCATTAAATATTAGTTGTTATTTTTTATTATTTCTTTATTTTATGTAATAAATTATTTAATTCATCAATTATTGATTACATATCTGGCTTTTTATATGTTATATTACTAATATTGTCTTAAGAATAAATCTTTTTACTATTTTCCTTTGAATTTAATATTTCAATCAATGCAAATTTGAGTTTCTTCTTTAAACTTCGGAATTTAGTATGTATTTCAACCCAATTAAATATATTTAGATTATTCTCATTTTCATGAATCACTTTAGTTTTATTTCGTTATAGTTCTCTTTATTCCATTTTGATTTTCCATTATCTTAATTATTCCATCACTTAATTTTATAGTTATTTTATAATGAAATCTTCCCTCTCTTACTAAGAACTTAGACTTTAAACCTTATAAAAAGAAATCCCTAATTCCAAAGCAATACGAACACATTCATTTCTATCTTGTAACTCATTACAATGCTATACTAAATAATGTACTCTCTCAACAAAAGTATCCAAAAATGAAACCATTGGTATTCCATCTCCAATTGTAGATTTCATACTCTTTAATGTAGAATTATGAGCAGTACTAATCTGACTCATAGAATGTCTTTTCTGATTAAATACTTTTAATTTTGCATCAAATTGTTGGACAGAAGTCAATCCCATAAATATGTCATCTGTCATAATAATTAGCGTTAAAATATAATAATAATATAATGAAATCTCATTCCTAACATGAAAATGCACCATTATAATAATTGGGTCGTTTGAGAATACCAAAAGTACTCTTTCTACCAGGTGAACCTATGGCTAAATAGCGTATCTCTTCCCTTCCTTCAACTCCTATGAAGGGTATTCCAAATTAAGCTGATGTTCAAGAGAAATTAAAAATAATATAGGCTGAAAGAGAAGCAAAATAGAAATTATAAGAATAAGAAATATTTGAAAGAGTAAATCGATGCTCTTTTAATAGATAAGCTCACATTATTAACAAATTACATAATGTTGAATAAAAATTAGATAGATGGAAAAAAACTAGACAGAACATTGAATTGTAAATAATTAGAGTAGCAAAAGCATAAACAATTAGATGATTGAATCTCATTAAAAGACTGGAATTGAATTTCATCATTCAATTTAGAAGAGAAATTAGAGTTATTCTGAATTTGAATATAGAAGTAGTGGAGTATAATTTAATCCTGAGCTTGTTTAAAAAAAGAAGGAAAGAGAGAGAGAAAGATCTTAATTAGTAAATTAGACAAGATATAGAAATAATTTAGATTAAGTATTACTGTTTATATTATTTCAGATTGATAGAAATGTTAGAGTAATGTAGAAAAAATATAGAACTGAAAAGAAATGTTTAACACTCCGTAAACCATTTTATAATATAAATGATCTTAAAAATTATTCTCACTTTTTATTAATTTGATATTTAAATTATTCCATTTTATAAAAAATAGTATTAGTATTTTTTAAAATACAAAAATATTAATTTAAACTTATTAAATTATTATAATATAAAAGTACATAAATATTCTCATTCAACTTTGATTTTTATTATAGAATATGTTTATAATATAATTAACTAAAATGATTTTATTAAAATGATTTCTTTAATAATTTTTTTATCTATTATATTTTATATATAAATATACAATAATATTAATAATACATCTATGAAATAATGTTCCATAATTGTGTTTGGAGATATAGGAAGATCTCCAAGAATGGTTAATCATGCTTTAGCAATAGCTGATAATACAGAATATCGTATTAATTTATATGGGTATATGGATAATAAGCCAACTTAAGCATTATTATCTAATCCAAATATTAGAATAGTGGATCTAAACCTTTGGATAGTAAATTTATTAAAGAAAATGCCAAGATTCTTATTTTTATTGTATGCAATACTTAGAATTGCAATACAATCATTATATTTATTCCTATTATTATTGTTTAGTAGGAAATAGGAATTTATTTTGGTTTAAAATCCTCCTTCAATTCCAGTTTTACATGTAGTTAGTTTAATAAAGGGAATACGTAGATCAAAAATTATAATAGATTTTCATAATTATGGACATACAATATTGGCATTGTAGATGAGAAATAAATTTATATTAAAGATGGCTAGATCTTATGAGCATTAATTTAGTAGATCATATGATTATGCTTTATGTGTATCTTAAGCAATGTAGAAGGATTTGTAATAGAATTGGAGGATAAAGTATAAATAATAATAGTATAGATGGAAGTGCTACAGTGGTATATGATAAGGCAAACATTAATTTTAATGTTATAAATAAGCCTAAAGAGAAACATGAATTATTTATGAAATTAGACTTCCATTGGTAATGGGAAGTATTGAATAGTAATGAAACATTATTTACAGAAGAATTGAATAATTAATAAGTGATAGAGAAAGTGAATAGACCAGGATTGATAGTAAGTAGTACTTCATGGACAAAGGATGAAGATTTTAATATTCTAGTGTAAGCATTGTAGAAATATGAGGATTTGGCAAGTAAATTAGAAGATTAATTATTTTAGATATTGAGTAAGGAAGGGAATATAGAAAATTATATGTAGTTATAACAGGTAAGGGACCAATGAAAGAAGAATTTAAAGAGATATTTTAGAAATGTAATATTTGTTGGAATCATGTAAAAGTAAATTTAGCATGGTTAGATATTGATGATTATCCTAAATTATTAGGTTGTGCTGATTTAGGAATTTGTTTACATTACTCTTCATCTGGTCTAGATTTACCAATGAAAGTAGTGGATATGTTTGGAGCTGCACACCTGTATTTGCTAAATCATTTAATGCGTATATATTATATTTATTATTAAGTATTTCTGAATTAGTATAACATTAAAAGAATGGTATAGTATTTGATACTCCAGATGATTTATTTGATCATTTATCATAAGCTTTTAGATATGAATCTAATATATTATAGAAATTGAAGAAAGGAGTAGAGATTTTCAGAACTGAAACATTTGATTAAGAGTGGAGAAATAAGGTTTTACCCTTTATAAGAAATTTAAAATGAATTATTTTTTATTTTTAATGGCATATCAGATTGATTTGTCTCAATCACATTTTATTATTGATGATACTCCTTAATTGAAGAGGGAACCTCCAGTTATGTTTGCAAAGAAGGAGTCAACAGATTACTTTGATGCAAATTCAACAATTTGTGAAGGGAATGAGGATATAGAACCTTATTCATTTTCGTTGAGATTCAAAGTGGAATTGAAGTAGGATCCTATTGTATAAGTATAAGAGGAAAAGGAACTTTGTAATATGGGTTCAAGTTTCGGAGTCAATGATGGTGATAATAACAAAGATTTTGATAATCAGAATGATGATGTTAATAAAAATAATAAAGATCATAAAGCTAATAATCATTTACTTATAGAGAATAAATAAAGTTACAATCATATTTAAAAACGTAATGTCTATGTATAAACTAATAAATAATTATTTGTTAAAAACTAATAATAATTATTTAAATATAATTAGAAATATATTAATCATGCAGTTTATTAAGAAACTATATAAAGTTTGAAATAGAAATAGAGTCTATAAAAATTCGTAAGTAAAAACAATAACAAAAATCGATTGTTGAATTTACTCATACCATTGATTTTATTAATAATACTAATTATGTGTTTATGATTAATATATAATTAGATCAGAATCTTAATACTCTGTCTTGTACATACAACATTTCATATCTAGTGTTGTAATCCATATCACCTGAAGGTTTGCATGCTAAATCCCAATAAGATGTATTAAACACCTATATATAAATTTATTGATTGATACTTAGCAAGGATCTCCTAATAAGAAAGTATTCCAAATTAAAATGTAAGCAAACAATACCCATCCACTTCTATACATTAAATTCATGGCCATCACATGCATCTTATAAGTATAACTGTGATCTTCTTCCATTCCAATACTATCTCCTGCTTATCTTAATACCAATGTCTTGAATAAACCTCTTTCATAATTATTATTCAATATCTTACTATCTACCAATTCCATGATAATATCCTGTCTAATAAGTAGCTAACAATTTTGGATCAAATCTATTGATGTACTAATAATAAGCATGTTTTGAACATGTTTTATAAAATCTCTTCTCCATTTTTATTAATATATATGAAATCCCCCCTTTCAATAATTATTTATGTACTCAACACAATAGATGTCTAAATTTCCTAGTAACTACTCTACTCATTACAATACCAATACAAGAAGATATGTCTCAAGTTCCAAGACTTCCCCAGTAACTGGACCTCTCCAAAAATTTATTGAAACTGACAATGACACATTTTCAAAGAGAGACAAAAATCCTTAAGTAATTATATCATCAAATTCATAAGCATCTTTTATAAGAAATCCTTAATACAAACAACACAAATAAAATCTAGAAATTGATTTCTACATTTAATCAACATGATCTTAACATAGATAATCTATCCTAATAAGAACTACTTAACCTAATACTTAAAGTATATTAACTCAATCTCTATGATGAAATCAATTTCATTAATATCCTTTATGAAGCATATACAGATAAATAACATAAAGATGTTTTGAAATATCTCATATTACACTGTCATGAATAATTAATTGGTAAATCTGGTAATGCAACAAGACTCTTAGAAATCTATTAAGAAATGTTATCCTTAAATCCAGATTTCACATCATTTCAATTAGAGTATTAATTAGATTCAATACCAGTCTCATTCAATCGTATACAATTACGTTGTATGCTCTTACTTAATTAATATGATCTATTACGTTCATTGAAAGGAGCAGTAGTCTTATTCGAATAATTAGAAGCCTTTATATTTCAATAATTTAAGTCAAATGCAATACCAACTTAAAATGATATCAGTACACTTGTTATTGCATATATATTATTAAGTGAGTAATTAGAATTATCTAATCGTCTTGGTTTGAGTAAATAGGCATTAGAAATTATAGGAAAACCAATAGATTGTTCCATTAATGATCTCAAAAGAAAATTTATCTATAATGCATCAAAATTATCTCAAAAATACTTAGGTCAAATGATTTTTGATTAAATCAATGGTTTAAATAGAAGAACGAGTCCTGATTTAAATCGATCATAAACTGTCTCTCAGGATACAGTTATACATTAATTTCTGATAGATTCACTTGATATGTTATACCTCAAAAATTATAAGGATATGTTTGATATTGATAGATTAAGTACTAATCTAATAACATCACCTTATATTTTTATATTAATGGAAAAGTAATAAAGTATTTAATTATTATTTTAGAATCTTACCTGAGAGTAAGAAAAAGGATAAAGTTTTATCAATTGATGATCATATTAGACCAAGTTCAGGTAAATAATTTTAAATTAAATAAATTAAAAATGATCTCAATAGTCCTAATTAAAGTAAATTCAAATAATAAAATTTTAATGTACTTTCTAATAATAATTCATAAACTCAAATTAATATAAATACAGCTACTAAATCTATAACTAATAGACCTCCTTTAAATTAATAATTATCATCTGGTTCATTACATTCATCTGGTAAACTTAATTAATTTGATTCATAAGAATTTGAAATAATTCAAAATAAATTAGTTGTATAATAAAGAGAATTAGATGAATTAAAATAATTATATGTTAAATCATCAAATAATAATAAAAAATAAGAACCAGAAAATAATCAATTAGCTGAATAATTAAAAAAAAAAATAGATTTATTAGAAAATAATTTATATTAAATAAAAAATGAAAATTCAACAAATAAAAAAGAAAAAGAATAAAAATAAAATGAAGTAATTGAATTAAAGAGTTAATTATAAGATTTAATTAATAAATAATCTTAATTAGAGAAATTATTACAATCATAATCTTAATAATAATAAATGATAATATACTAATAAAACCTTTTATAATAATAAGCTACTTAAACAACTTAAATTTTGAATTAATAATAATAATAAAGTTCTATAACTTAAATACCTAATATGAATATAAAAATACCACCTAAAGAATTATCAAAAGAATAACGTATCACACCTGATGATGATTTCACATAAATTGATGATACAACTCCTTATATTTATAAATAAAATCAAAGTTATATTATATCATTATTTGAATTATTAGATATAGATGTAACTTTTTCTAAAATATATACTAAATATTAATCAAAATCACAAGATGAAAACAATTAATGGAATAGTGATATTTAAAATATTGCCAATTATAAAGTAGAAGCTTCTATAATAGAAACTAAAGATGAAGGTAAATCAATTCTACTTAGAGCTTATGATGATAAAAATGCATTAATGTGTTAAGAATATATAAATTTGGAATTACTAAAAGGTTTAATAACATATGTAGATTTTTAAGAAATGTTACCAACTAATCAACCTAGTATTAATACTACTCATTAATTCTTTAAATTTTTGGTTTTACCATATACTGCTGTTGTTCCAGATGAAATAACATAAGAGATGAAATTATAATTATGGCCAAAACCATATGGATTATTAAATGGATTGACATTAAGAATAGATTTTATGGATAAAAATTGTTTGATTTATATACATCATATTGAAACTGATTAATTTAGGATTTCAATTTGTGATCCAATTAGTAAAGATACTTTGAGATTAGATTTAGAAATGGATTATTCAACTATGGATGCTTTTTTTAAAGATGCAAAATCTATTAAAGATTAATATTCATATTTTAGTAAGACTACACTATTAAAAATGACTGAAAAGACTCCAAAATTTGGTGATGATGATGTAGCTGAAGCATTACAGGAGAGACATTTCGATAAAAATAAAGTAAAATAAATATAACAATAAATATCAATAAATTAAACTTATATGACAGAGAATTTGAATTTCAAGAATCCTTTAGAATTTCTTAAATATTTAAAGACTATAGTTATATTTTTTGAATAATTCTTAAAATAATTAGGAATATCATTTTCGAATGCTTTATTTGGATAGAAATATTTTAGATGTAAAAGTTGGAATACTGGATCAAAGAATTAATTGTAAATCATAATAGAAAATTAAGATCAATAGGTTGTTTAAATATGTTTATAGAATTGTTTTGAAACATTTGGACCAAACAAAACTAAAATAAAAGCATAAGGTTAAACTACATTACCATATTCATCAATACAAAGAGAATTCTCAGTTAAATATGATAGATTAACATCATAAGAGAAGACAGCAATATTTTAACAACTATTATATTCATTCAATCTCAATGTTTTTGAAAAAGTCTGTGAATAAAGTCAAGAATAATTTGATAAAAACCCTATTATATAGAATTCTTATGATTGTGGTTCTTATAAAAGGTATTTTACATATATATTCTTATTAGAATGATATTATATGATAATTCCAAAATATCAGTAGTTACAATTTAAGTGATTGGTGCAAATAGAAGAATGTGTGGAGTAAAGTTCTCTGTTTTAAATGTAGATACAACCTAAGAAATAGGTGTTTATTTACCTACATCATAAGGTGAATGGGATTTGAGATCTTTGGATAAATAAAAGATTAAATCATCTGTAGAGAATGTTCCTTTTGCAGAGTTTTTTCTCACTTAAATTCTTAAATGTCCAATTATAACTTAAGTAATACATTTATTAAATCTAGATTTTATTTAAGAAAATATTAAAGGCAGACAGCAAAAGTAATTAAATTAATAGTAATGAAATAAATAATAGAAAAACTTTTATTGAAAGAGTAGATAATCTAATTACGTGGTAAGAAGTATTGGCTGCTGCTTAAAATTGATTATTGTTACAATACTTTTGAGTTATTATATTTAATTATAAATATTAATTTATAACATAGATAAGGTAAAATATATATATATTCAATTTCATAATATATTCTAATAAATAATAATTGTTTAAGATTATAAATAAATTATTATATTATTAATATATATATCTAATCAAATTAATTCTATAGTTATATTAGTTGTTTAATAATATTGAATATGAATTATATTATTGAAATAAAGTATTAAGTATTTTAAATCCAAATTATTATAATAGATTTATGTATAGTATAGAATTTTATTGATTATGAAGTATTTAATAATATTATTGTTTTAGATTGATATATTATATTTAATATTGATATTATTATTATTCATTCATTGATTCATTTATTAAATAAATAAATAAAATATAGATTAAGTTAAATACTAAAAAATAAATGTGAATATTTAATTAATTTAAAAATCTGAATGCTATTAATTTTATTAGTTGGACTAAGTTGTATAATAGCAAGAGATGCTGATTTGATTGAAACTGAGATAACTTAATTAGAACATTTAATTTAATTGCAGACTGAAAAATTACATTACTTAAAGGAATTAAGAGAGATTTCAATAAACAATTAATAAAACATTCCTGTATTGAATGATTAAAATATGAATAGTAAATAGATTAATAAGTACTCTAAGAGGTTGTATAAAAGAAACCTTACAAGAGTTAGAGTAATGGAAAGCATAATTTAAATAAGGAGAGATCATTTACAAATAGAATGTTAAAGAAATATTAATTTAATATTACAAATTCCATTTTAGATGCATCTTTAATTTAAACGTAATTGAATATTTATATATTTATAGTTTCTAATATAAATCTACAACAACTGATAATTCATTTACTTAAATGTTATATGTTGTTACAAATACAAAAGAAATTGAGATTTATGATTTATCCAATACAATGATTGTAAATGCTTAATTAGGTATTAAATAAATTTGATATTTAGATTTTTAACCACAATATGTATCAATTAGTAATCGTGCAGATGATCCAATATTGGCTTTAGCAAGTATTGATTTAATTTTATACATTATTAGATAAAGATGGATAATTTGCATTATATAAAATAGAGAATTCCAGAATTTCAATTGAATCATAGGATTCCTAAAAACCAAAGACTAAATTAGTTATTTAATTGAATAAAGAATTTGAAATGAATATTGAGAATCAACAAATCACATCAATGATATATGCAATGGTTAAAGGCACAAAATATATATTATTTGGTTCAAGTAGTGGAAGTGTTTAGTATTAAAATAATATTATTATAAAAGTGCTTATACTCGTAATGGTACATTAGTAGGTGAGAGGAATTTCAATAGTCCAATTTTACAAGTGATCAAATCATATCCTAATATGTTATATTTAACATCTACTGGATTTGGATACATCAATCCAATAAATTTAGAAATTGTATAACCAATTTGTGACAATGTATATATATTGTATAATAAATTGATAGTTACCATTCTAAATAGTTCATTTAACATTAGATATTCAATAAACTAATATAGTTTATGCTTTATCTGATTTAGGTGAAGTATATGTATTTGAAATCAAATAAAATGAATAATGCAAAATGAAATTGAAATTAGTGAATAATTAATAACCTTAAGTGTTATTAAATAATGCTAAATTATATAGTTTAAGACATTATCTAATAGTTTATGATTAAAATACAAGAGAATCATTATTATATAATACTACAGATGTTTTGACTGAAGTTGATTATGATTAACCTTTTAATCTTGAATTCTTTAAATAAATCTAAGGTTAATAAGTTGTATTGTAATCTATTAAAGGAAATGGTGCATCACATTATTTATTATCTAGAGAAGTTTAAGATGATCATGAATTAATTAGTTATTATGAAATAACTATGCCATAAAAAAAGGATACTGATATTTTCTCAAATTTTAGATTCCCCATAATAATTATTGCCATTGTTATTGTGCTCTTATATTAATTCTGGTTTAAAGGTAAGAAAAAGGATAAGAAAGAGAAAGGATCAAAAAAGAAAATAAGAGGTGAAGATGAAGAAATTGAATAAATCTTAAATTAAGTAAAGAAACCTTAGACTGGAACTATTGGATCTACTTCAACTATTAATAATAGATCTCCAACAAGATCAGAAGTATAAAATGGATAAAAATATGTTAAATTTGATGAAAATTTAAAGAAAGCTGACAAATTTAAGGAATAACTTGAAAATTTAGATTAAAAAACCAAATTACTTAATGAGAGAGTAGGAGTAACAAATAATATTGAAGCATAGAGATAAAGTAATTTAAATATAATTATTATTAGAATTAGCATAATAAGCATTACTGTAGAAAAATAAATATGTATGATAAATCATAAAAATAATATAAATCATTCTTACTGTTTCTAATCAATATTATTATTGTATAATGTATCATAATATTACTGAAGTTGTTTCATGAATCCTGCATTTGGTTAAGCTATTGGTCTTTTAGTTTTTACTAATTCAAGAGCATCATTAACAGTCATTTTATGATTCTTAATTAAATATGCAATAATGAAAGTAGTTGATCTTGATTTTCCAGCAAAACTGATATATTTATCATTTATACCAATGAACAAGAATATTCTATTAAGAATTTAAGGCATTTTCAATGAATGTATTTGATTCATCAAATTTTGATTTTATATCTTGATCTACACTATCATTGATATTTATTATCAAAGATGTAAAATCATTAGAAAATGGCGCCTTTGGCATTTCACAAGCAGATAAAATATATTTCATGTTTGCTATATATAATATCTTTGAAATATACTTTCTAATAGTTTCTTTTTATTTAATGCACATCCTAAACAACCTAAATAAAGATTTGGAATAATCTCAATAGGAATACTATCTTCTTTTAGCTATCTCATTATTAATATAATTTTTATCTTGTCCATCAAATTCTATACAGAAATATTGTGAGATATTTCATTTTCTTTTTTCTCTTATGTTTCTTCTCCTTATTACATAATTTATATAAATTAATAAATAATGGAAAACTTGGATTAAAATTCTAATACAGATGATCGAAATCTTCAACTCTCTTAATTAGTATTATAATAAAAAAGGGAAAAAATTCTATTACAGAAAAAGATCTAGACTCTAGAAAAATAAAATAAGTATATATTAATTATATTAGAATCTTGTAATAATAAATGGAATAATGTAAGAATGAAAAAGAAGATCAATCTAATTAAATTAAATAACTTAAAGAATACATAGCTAAATAAGATTCTGTAACTACTAAATTAAATGGATTAATGTAAATTATTAATTATGATGAAGAAAAAAGTTGCTTCAAAGAGATGAAGAGAATTAATAATATGATCATTCATTAAGTGCTCCTAAAACTGATGCAAAATCTAATAAATATGATAATTAAGAAAGGAAAAAAAAAGATAAAGAGTAATCTATATTTATAATTTATCTAGATATCTAGAAGAAAACTAAAAATTAGATCTAAATGAACAAATTATTGCTTAATATAAAAAACATTCTCTTAAAGATCAATCAATGTCTAGTAAATTACCTCCCATTGAAGATACAAAGAATAAACCAATTGTTGTCTAAGTTCCAAAAAGTTAATTAAAGAAAATTAACCCTTAATATTTAATTGAACAATTACAAAAGGAATGAAAATATTAAAAATCAATCTATTTTTTGTTAATTGTTTCTATAAAACTAGAACATTTCTTCTTCTATTAAAGGTAATTCTTTAGCACATATTACAAATGAATGTAAAGGTGCACCCATATCTATATCTAAAAATTCATGTAAATATCCAGAAACAATCTCAATATAATAATTAAATATTACTTTTTATGTTTCAAATCCAATTCTTGCAACTCCAAAACATTTAGTCTTTTCATCTATTGCATTTAAACCCAATTCTTTATCAGATTCAATTATTTATTAAACTGCTACTATAGTACTCATGAATCTAGGAGCTTCATAGATTTTTTTGCCTCTTGCTAAATTTTCTTCTGAAATTTCCTTTACTTTTATATCCAAAAGAACTAAAGTATGTAAATTATGATCTAAATTTGCCTTGATTTTTGGATAAAAACTATAAGGTTTCCATTTCTGAGTAAAAAATGGTACAGATACTGTTTCTCCAAATCTATAAACTTATAAACCTGTGCAACCAATAGCATTAATTATAGATGCATTATGAATCACTTCTACTTTTATTCCTAATTTTACTGCTCTTAAAAAGAGATCTGTATGTGTAGTAGCACAAAAAGGATCTCCTACAACTAAAAATGCATAATTATTTTAAGGATCTGCACAAACATTTTCAAGTATTTAATCTATTCCAGTTTCACAACACTCTCTATCTGCTTCAATAACTTCTTTTCCATAAAATTCTTATAGTTTTTACCTATTAATTCCTAGAATAGATGTGTAACTTTCTAAATAAATCTCCTTGCATGTTTTTACAGCCTAATTAATATTTATAATCTACTTCTAATCCTTTAACAGTAATATCTAAATGATCACCAAGTCCTAAACCGATAATAAAAAAAACCATTAATTAATATTTATAATATAATCAATATTATTAAATTAGATTGAAATTATTTTCTATTTATTTAATGAATTCAATTTCAATTTTAATCATCATATTATTTTAATCTATAATTTATTCTAAATATATATTTATACAGATTGAAATACTTGTTAATATATTTATATTTTAATATAAATTTAATAATCCACTAATATTTAGTATTGTTTATGAAATATTTCATTTATACAATAACTTCCCTTTTTTGATTATCATTCTTTCTTTAGTAGAAAAACTTCGCTTCTTATCAATTTAATGTAATATATCCTAATATTCAGTCTATATTGTAGTAGGTTCCAACAATTATGTTACATAAGAAGTTGGAAATACTTTCTAATGTAAAGTTTATAACAATTTCTCATTCATTAAAACTAATTCTAAAACTTTAAATTTATCTTCTTTTCTAAAAACATTAAAATCTGATAATTTATTATCTACTTATGCATTTTAACGACGTCGCATAATATCTTTACGAACTTACTTTTTTATTTAGTATTTAATACCTCAACACAATCAATAAAAAACTCTTCATACTCACTTCTTGTTGCAAATGCTTTAGTAGATTGACAAATTGCTTAATTCATTTTCTAGNTCCAAATCTATAAACTTATAAACCTGTGCAACCAATAGCATTAATTATAGATGCATTATGAATCACTTCTACTTTTATTCCTAATTTTACTGCTCTTAAAAAGAGATCTGTATGTGTAGTAGCACAAAAAGGATCTCCTACAACTAAAAATGCATAATTATTTTAAGGATCTGCACAAACATTTTCAAGTATTTAATCTATTCCAGTTTCACAACACTCTCTATCTGCTTCAATAACTTCTTTTCCATAAAATTCTTATAGTTTTTACCTATTAATTCCTAGAATAGATGTGTAACTTTCTAAATAAATCTCCTTGCATGTTTTTACAGCCTAATTAATATTTATAATCTACTTCTAATCCTTTAACAGTAATATCTAAATGATCACCAAGTCCTAAACCGATAATAAAAAAAACCATTAATTAATATTTATAATATAATCAATATTATTAAATTAGATTGAAATTATTTTCTATTTATTTAATGAATTCAATTTCAATTTTAATCATCATATTATTTTAATCTATAATTTATTCTAAATATATATTTATACAGATTGAAATACTTGTTAATATATTTATATTTTAATATAAATTTAATAATCCACTAATATTTAGTATTGTTTATGAAATATTTCATTTATACAATAACTTCCCTTTTTTGATTATCATTCTTTCTTTAGTAGAAAAACTTCGCTTCTTATCAATTTAATGTAATATATCCTAATATTCAGTCTATATTGTAGTAGGTTCCAACAATTATGTTACATAAGAAGTTGGAAATACTTTCTAATGTAAAGTTTATAACAATTTCTCATTCATTAAAACTAATTCTAAAACTTTAAATTTATCTTCTTTTCTAAAAACATTAAAATCTGATAATTTATTATCTACTTATGCATTTTAACGACGTCGCATAATATCTTTACGAACTTACTTTTTTATTTAGTATTTAATACCTCAACACAATCAATAAAAAACTCTTCATACTCACTTCTTGTTGCAAATGCTTTAGTAGATTGACAAATTGCTTAATTCATTTTCTAGCGTAATATTTGTATCTACTTTGTCTAAGTATTTTCAATAAATGAAACATACTAAGCTATTTCATTTATTATTTAATTTTAATCATCATTAGCTAATCTCTCAAAGATATCATATAATTATTTCATATGTTTTGGTTATGTTTATCCTGACATAATCCTTTTTGGTCTAGGTTGAGTACAAAATATTTATTATTCTTTAATTTATTCTGCTTATTCTGTAGCAACACTTGCAGTATGTCTTATAACTTCATATCTTTTATTCTTTCTCATTAATTATTTAATTTATTCTTCAAGGAATTCATTTTCTTTTTAAACTTCTTATAATCTAAATTTTAATTCAAAGATATCTTTGTTTTTTATTTCAATTTTAGTATAAAGTTTAACACTTTCTTCTCTGAACCATTCTAATTATTACTCCATATTTTAAATGCGTTTGTTATCTTTATAATATTTCTCCATCTCTAAACTTTTCTCTTTTAAATATTTCAAATCTTCCTTCACTTATCTCATATAACCATTATATGCTATAACAAATTCAGATAAAGCCCTCTCTTTAACCATTGTTACTTTAGATTCCAGCATATCTAAATAGTTTTCGACTTAGTTTTTTAAATCATTTATTCTAGTTAGTTTATGTGGTGATGATGCCTAAGATTATACATCTTCGTAATTCTTTCCAGAAATAAATGATTTATGAGAATTTCGAATAGCAAAACTTTCACTATCGAACATAAATTAATTAATGAATAAATAGATAAGAGACAAAGAAAACAAACCATTTATTGATAATGCCAGATTCAAAAGAATAGGAACAACTGATAGAACTGCATCACCTATAAATCAAATATTATCTAAAATGAGAAAATAATAATCTCCACTTTTATCTGCTAGAACTCCAAAAGAATGTTAGAGTAGAATATCTAATGATTGTGAATAATAATTGCAATTTGATGTTGTTTTAGAGATGGAAGAAAGAAAACGTAAAATTAGAAAATTTAAATAATGCTTAACTGAAAATATTGAAAAATTAAAAGAATTAGAAACTATCACTCAATAACTATTATGCTTTGAGGATTGTCTAAATTAAATTCTTAAAAATATTAAACATATTAAAGTATTAGATATATTATTATTACCTAGAGTGAAATCACAGAATAGATTAAATCATAACAAATAAATTAAAAAATTAACATTCATTAAATAAAAGAATCAATAAAATAAATGTCTGAAGATATTTCATTGAATGAATTAAATATTATTAAAGAGATGTAAATGAAACCATTTAATAATATAATGTCTCATTATATGAATAAATGTGAAACTCATTTAGATAAAATTGAGAATATGATTACTACATCAAAATAATAATTAGAATTTAAAGAAATGTGTAAATAAATTGAATAAAAACTATTGACTTTAAGAAATTAATCTCCACATTTTAAGGAGGTATGAATATTGATTGTAATCATTCTTATTGTTCTTTGTTAATTTAAAACAAAAATTTTTCAGGAATTATCCATCCTGTTACTAAAGGTAGACCTTACTATCAATTAATAATAAATACATACTTTCATTTATTCACAAATCAATTTAAAATGTGCCAAAGCTATTTGAACTTCATATTTCTAATCTTATTATTATTACTGTTATTGTTATTATTACTATTATTAAGCAATTGCTTATAATGAGATACTAACTGCTTTATTTGGATAATCAATTTAAACAGTAAATGTCAGATTTCCCTTTATAGTCTATTCTTCTAATTTTATTTCAGGGCTTGTTGATATTTCATCACATAAATCTAAGATATACCCACAATTTTCATAGCTTATTGGGAAATTTAAAGATTCCTTATTATTAACCTAATATTAATGAATTTCTTCATTACTTCTTTTCCAATATCTGCTATAGGTTAAAATCTCCATAAATAAATATAATTTCTTGTATATTTCATCTTGACAACTACTGAACCTTATTTAGTGACTTAATATTGAGGCTACATTATATTTTAACTTACATAACAAGGCATAAGTGATACAATAGCTCCTTTTCCTTTAATTTTGGTAATTTAATCATAATGATTAATTACATCAAAAGTATATGAATAATTAGTAGAGGCTGATTTCATACTAGTTTTAGCTTGATTTTATCTATTCAAACTACAGAAGTTGAATCTGAGATTGCTCATTCTTCTTAAAACATATCCAAACATTAAATAAATTATATCACTATTAAAATTTATGATCTAATAATTTATTCATTTTATCAATTCCTTCCCAAATACCTTCTCCTGTCTTTGCACTACATCTCTACATTACTATATCTGATTCCTGTTATTGAATATCTTTACATAATTCAACAGGTGATGATCTTGGTAAATCTATTTTATTCAAATATATTAGCAACACTATCTATTTTAGATAATTAAATACTTTATATTTAATTTCGCTTCCTAATTTCTTAAATTCATTTTTAACAATTTCAATTCTTTCTGAATCTGTTGTATCTACAACAAATACTAAACCATCCAAATTTTCATAATAATGAGACCATAATGTTCTAACCTTTCCTCCAACATCAAAAATTAAATAATGTCTTGCTTTAAATTGAATTGATTCCACATTCAAACCTAATTTCAAATAGCAGTACCTATTGTAGGTTAAGTTTCAGTAAATTTTCCATTCTTCAAATATTGAAGTATAGATGTTTTTCCACTTCCTTCTAATCCTATTATTACAATTTTTAGTTTCTTAGAACTTTACAAAGCTATACTCATATCTTCTTCTTTTGAAAAGGAAGTAAGACAACCCATATATATATATGAAGAATATAAATATTTATTTAATTACAATAAACTTAAATCTATAAAATAATTTAAGTTTAACAATTGATAACCAAATGCAGTCAATCCATTTTGTTAAACTGTAAATTATTCTTATTAATAAGTTATATATAAATAAACTAAAATTTTAAAGTGATTTTTTATAGTATCATCACTTTATAATTATCTTTTGATAGAGTTTAAATGTTAAGAAATTAAATAATTTTTCTTTATTTTATCTTAACTAAAAAATAAACAAAAGAAAATGAAAGAAAGATTCATTAATTGGTTATTGATTTTCCAAATAATTATCAAATAAAGTAATAGATATGTTTATATTTAGTGAAATGTTGTTCCACTCCATGTACAATGTGCGTCTCTTTTGTTTGTTTTTCGTGCACTGATGGTTACTATTTGAATGCTAATGAATGTTCAGCTTGTTCAAAGCCTTGTTAAAATTGTTCATCAAGCAGTACTGATTGTTCTACTTGTGTTGATTCTACTAATTAAGTTCCTCCAACTTGTGCATGTTAAGAAGCAAAAATTATGAATACTTCTACGTTCTATTGTGATAATTGTCCAAATAATTGCAAGATTTGTAGTTCAACATCAGTATGTACTCAATGTTATGATGGATATATATTGAGTAGCACAGTCTGCATACCTTGTACAAAACCATGTGTAACATGTTCATCAAGTGTTACAACATGTAATACTTGCTTGGATACTGCAAAACAAACACTTCCATTATGTAATTGTATATCAGGATACTTGATTAATACATCAACTTATTTATGTAATTAATGTACTTTTCCCTGTGCTACTTGTTAAACATCTGTAACTTATTGTTAAACATGTGCAGCTACTTACACTTTAAATGCTAATTCATGTACATGTTAAAATAATTAATTTGAATTAAGTGGTACTCCTAAAACATGTTAATATTGTACAAGCCCATGCCAGACTTGTTCTACATCAGCTACTAATTGCAATTCTTGTGTAACAGGATTAAACAGACATTTCTCTAGTAATTAATGTATTTGTGATGATGGTTATTATGAGAATATTGTTTGTTAACCTTGTGTTCATCCATGTACCAAATGTGAAATAAATGGGAATCGTTGTACATAATGTGCATCCACATATGTGATGAGCACAACTATTCTTAATACTTGTAAATGTCCTGCTGGAAAATATGAAGTATTAGCTCATTCACCTACTGACTGTCAACCTTGTACATAACCATGTGTTACATGTACAGGATCACCAGATCATTGTTTAACATGCATCGATATTCATTAAACAGTAAATGCATCTAATTAATGCTAATGTAATAATGGTTATTTGATGAGTGGAATAAATTGTATATAATGTGTTAATCCTTGTTTATAATGTTCTGGAAGTACTAACTATTGTACATAATGTAAAGATATATAACATTATGTATCATCAGGATCATGTATCTGTAATCCTGGTTGGGTTAATAATAGTAATTATGATTGTATTGCATGCTAAAGTCCTTGTGTCACATGTTCAATTAATAATACTCATTGTGAAAGTTGTATTGATCCTAATCATGAGAAAAATGCTTCTTTTTAATGTATTTGTAAAGATACATATTACTCGAATACTGTTCACACATGTGCGCCTTGTATGTCACCATGCGTTAATTGTGATATTAATGGATGTTTAACATGTATTGATAGTAATTAAATCATCAATTCATCTCATAATTGTATTTGTAAACCAGGTTATTACGCAGTTGGTTTTAATTGTTCATAATGCACTTTACCATGTTAAACTTGTGAAATAAATTAGAACCATTGTTTAACTTGTATTGATATTAATCAAACTTAAATTAACAATCTTTGTATCTGCAATGATGGATATTTTGCAGTATCAACCTATTGTTAATAATGTTAACTACCATGCACGAAATGCGAAATATCAAATGATCATTGTCTTGAATGTTTAGACCCTAATCATGATTTGATAAATAATTAATGTATATGCAAATTTGGATATGGATCATCTGGAAATGGAGGAATAAATTGTTCGTTTTGTTAATTTCCTTGTCTTGATTGTTCAACTAGTGTAAGTAATTGCCTTTCTTGTATAGAAATTAGTTGGCTCCATTTTTAAGATAACAAATGTTTATGTTAAGATGGTTATTTTTATTTAGATGACTAATGTAAAAGATGTTTACCTTAATGTTCCTCCTGCATTGATGAATCTGATATATGCTTAAAATGTTCAGACCTCAATCATGATTTTATTCAAAACAGTTGTATTTGCAAATATGGTTATTATACTAATATAGAGATGAAATGTTCGAAATGTTAACCTCCATGTTTAACATGTGAATTAAACTATGATTATTGTACCTCTTGCCATGATGATAAATAATTGGTTGTTAATGGATAATGTTAATGTGATGATGGATATTACTTGTCTAATTTAAGATGTCCATAATGTTATAAGGGGTGCACAAAATGTAATTCATATTCTGAATGTACAGAATGTAAAGATGGATATTATTTACATGTTACTTCTTGTTTACAATGCTAAATACCTTGTTAAACTTGTTTTAATATTACTACTTGTATTTCATGTGCTGATAATTACTATATGAATTAAGAAGGTGTATGCATATAATGTATTCTAAATTGTAAAACTTGCATTGATACTTCAAGTTGTATTACCTGTTTTGATAAATTCTATTATGATGATTCATCATGTATTCCCTGTTTTAATAATTGTTAATCATGTGAAAATACATCTTATTTTTGTACTTCCTGTGTTGATATTAATCATTAACTAATAGATAATAACTGTATTTGCAGAGATGGATATTATGAGGAGAATTTTTTTTGTAAACCTTGTTATCCTGCTTGTAAAAAATGTTATAGCTTAACTTTTTGTTCAGAATGCAATTCTTGGAGCAAAATTATTTTATTGAATAATCTATGTGTTTGTGAAGATGGTTATTATCTAACCCATAAAAACTGTGATTTATGTGACAAAAGTTGTTTAACATGTTCTTTAATTTCAAATAATTGTCTAAGTTGTAATCAATAATTAAATAGAATATTATAAAAAAATACATGTGTTTGTTAAAAAGGGTATTTTGAGAATGATTAAAATGAGTGTTGGTCTTGTAATTCAAATGAAGGCAAAATAATTAAAGATTGTAAATATAAAAATTGTTCTGATTTTGTTTGGACTTATGGTGAAGATTGTGATGATGGCAATAAAGTTTCTAGAGATGGATGTTCAAAATGTAAAATAGACAATAATTACTCCTGTTTAAATACTTTACTAGAACCTTCTTTGTGCTTTCAGTGTAGTGAAAATTGTATAAAATGCTAATTAAATGAAAACTTAAAATAATCAGAATGTATTAAATGTCAAGATGGCTTTTTTCTACTATAATCTAAATGTGCCAAATGTACAGAAAAATGCTTGACTTGTGATATTAGTGCTTCAAATTGCAAATCTTGCAGATATCTAAAAAATGATTTTAAAGAGTGTCAATTATGTGAATCTAAAAATGGGTATTATTCTGATTAGATAAATAATAAATGTTATTCTATATGCGGGGATTCGTTAAAAGCTGTAGATGAAGAATGTGATGACGGTAATTTATTAGTAGGTGATGGATGTGATTAAAATTGTAAAAAAGAATAGAAATTTATTTGCAAAGATAGTATTTGTATAACTCCTGAATATCCTACTCCAAAATTAATTAGCTTTGGAGATACTTTGTTATATCATAATATAAGATAATTTAAACTCGAATACAATCTTTTATTAAATATAACATAAAATGGTGAAATTGAAAATGAATTCATTTTATATATTAAGAATGAATTAATAGAAAAGCCAATTGATTGTTAATACAAAAAAGAATCATCATTTACAATCAATAATTAGTCAAAAATTAACTTTTCAGTCATTTTTGAATTACAATTTAATAGATCTTCAAAAAATGAAATACTAGTTGTCAAATATCACAATATTTCCAATTTTATTTCATATTAAGGGTACTCCTAATAAGAAACTTAAGTTTCAGCAGCTATTTCTGATTATAAGATAATAGATTAGTCATTGGTCACTTAAGTTGAAATTGTTACTAATAGTAATTAATATTTGTTATTTGTTTTGGCTGCTATGGGTGGAGGAGCAATCCTATTTGGAGGTATAGATATTTTTTACAATTTGCTAGATACAATTTAAATGCTATCATATTTAAAATATGTTAACGCTTAAATGCCTTATAATTTGTAAGAATTTTTTGATTTTTTTGATTTTGTTTAACTCAATTTTATTTCCAAATATTTTAATCTACAAGGATTTATTGAACCTTTTATCACTTATTAAGATTTAAAACCTGTTCCTCCAAAATTTAGCAATGATGATATTAATTCTTTATTTATTATTAATGGATCATCTATCTTAGTGGTATGGCTATCACTTCTAGGAGTTTATATTTTATCTTTATATGTGCCCTAAAAATTATAAAAATTGAAATTTAAATATCACACTGAAAAACCTGGTGTTAAAGATGTAACTATAAAATTTAAATTGATGTTTTTAGCTGCAAAAGTATTTATAACTTAATTATGTTACATAATTGTCTCAGAATTCTTTTATAGTGGAATATTTAGAACTCTTTTAGCTACAGCTTATGATTATTCATTTTTTATGACTCTTTAGTTATATGCATTAGAATTACACTCCAAAGACTTTTTGGTCAGATTTAGTTCATATTTAGCTTTAATAGCATTTGGAATCTATTTATTAACTATTTATATTGTGACAATAATCAGTGGGAGCTTTTCAATATCTTTCGAATAATTATAAGATAAAAAGAAGTATGGATCATTAATTGAAGGAATTAAAAAAGATAAATACAGCAAATACTTCAATGCTATTATTCTTGTTAAAAAACTATTATTTATGCAAATTCTCATATTTTGCTTTCCCTCTCCATTTTTATAGTCCATTAACTTAACTCTTTTGTCTATTTTACAAACTCTATATTTAATCTTCTGTAAACCTCTTGAAGATGATAAAGAGTTTAAAAAATAATTATCTTGTGAAATTAACATCACGAGCTCTTTAGTATTGATTTCAAGTTTAGTCTTAGACGAAGAATTAAAAATTTTTAGTGATGATTTAAGATTAAAAATTGGTTGGTTTTGCATTGCAAATATAAGCTTAATTTTTGTGATTTAATTAATAATAGATGCTATTTAATAATGGACTATGTTAATAAAAAAATACAAATACCTCAAATATCTTGTTGAAAAAATAAATAAATTTTTTCAACCTCGCACTAAAAAATAACCCAGTCATGAAATTTTTATTCAAGCTGAAAATTAGAATTATTGATATAAGTTTGTATATAAGATTAGTTCTATTTTAAATATATATATTTAAAAAATTAAGCATTAGGAAGAAAGAAATTTTTTTTAATAATATACTTTTATATTAAAAAAAATAGTATTGATTCAATTTTAGATTTTTTAAATCATCTTGATTAATAGCAAGATATTTTTTAAGGGAGAATTTACTATTTATTAATTTATAAGTATTCGAGATCACTATTTTAGTTAAATAAAGCCCAAATTGTAATTTAAGTTATGATAAATATTTTAATAGAAGAAAAATATTGGTTATGTTTTCATTAATTGATCAAAAATAATTTACGATATTTGAGACATAGAATATTTTTTTTGATTAGAAATTAAACATTCTTATAAATATTAATATTGATTTTAGTATTATTATTATTATTCATTGATGAATTCAATTTTTAATAATTAATCTAAAAGAAAAAATTTTCGATAATGTTCAACTACAACTACAAGAAAGATGATTTACTAAATCCAGACAACTTATTACGAATAGATAATATTCTGAAATAATAATATAAATATAGAATAATGAAAATATAAACAAACATAAAAAATGCATGACATATATAAAGGCGATGAGAATTATCAAATGAATATATGAATTTAAAAAATATCCAAGACTATAATATATTGTTATTTATATTGTACTTTAGACATAATTTCGTCATTCTTATTACTAAACTGGATTTTATTAAAATGGTATCATTAATAAATTTTATAGGGCTAGAACTTTTCCTATTCCCAAAGTGTTTTTTGTGTATGTGTGAGCTATAAGATGAGATGGATATGTAATATTATTCATAAAATATTTCCCTTATTTATCTTTCCTTTCTTATTAAGATCGAAAAAAGGCATTCTATACATTATGTTAGATTAGTCCTTAATTTTATTAAGATTTTCTTTAATCATTATTTAAGCGATAATTCTACTTTCTATTAAAATCTTAAGTGGTTTTGGAAAATATTCTCTTTTCCTTACTAACAATCTTTTGCTTTTACTCTTTATTATCTCTTTTCTTATTTATTAATTATGAATGTTAGTTTATAAAGTGGTAAATTTAGATAATATCATCTTCATAAATATTATTATAAATACCTAATTTCTCCTCCATTTTTGGCATTCTTATGAGGTAATCATTCATCTCTTAGTAAGCAAATCTCTATTGCCTATCTTTTAACTCCGAGATTCTTTTTTAGCAAAATTTTTGAATTGTTTTTCAATATTTAAAAGAGAAACTGTATGATTTATTGTTTTAATAAATAAATATAATAAAAATGATTATATTATATTTACTGAATCTTAAAATTTATGCTAAAATGTACATTACGTTGTCCAAGTAGATTAATAAATGTTAAAATTATTCAACCTATTTTTTTTATCAAAATTCTTAAATTTATTTAGTCTTAAATTTAATATATTAGTTTTTTATTTAAAATATTAATAATAATTTAATATATAAAATATATTTATGATATCAATAATAAAAATTTACATATTTTAGTGATTTAAAATATTGATAAACAACTAATAATATCATGTATAGTTATAAGTTATTAGAAAATTTAATAACTTTAATTTCATTAATAGAAGAATTATAAGATATTTTGCATTAATAGAATAAAAATAGTATAATTGTTTTTTAAGATGATAAATGTGATTTTCAAAACAAAAAAATTAAATATTATCAATATTAACAGCTTTAAGGGTATTTCTTGGATTAAACTAAACTGACTAAATTCTATTGCATTTAATTTGAATATGATGGTTAAAGAGATTGTACTTATTTTCCATGCATAGAAAATTAAGAATTTATTCCAGTTTGTTAATAATTATTACTTATTAATTAATACATTTATTTTAATCCGTATTAATGATATTAATACTATTAGGAAGCTTATTTAGCTTATTCTAAATCTTGAATAATTTAGCCACATTTAGATGTAACTTTTTTATTATTTTTTTGAATTTGTATCAAAAAATAGTCGATAATATTTCTAGCTTGTTCAAAGTTATTATTTTCACAAGCTTTCCTTGCCTATTCAATAGCTTCTGTTCCTTTTACTCTATAAAATTAAGTTAGAACTTCAATATCTTCTTCATTTTAATTAATTTACTCATCAGAATTAAAAAAAGTTAAATATAAATTAGCTGTCTTAGTGAAATTTTCTCCAGTATTTGGATCTTTCAATTTCAGTTAAGCCTCAATAATTTTTACATTTCTTTAATTATCTTCTATTTTTTTTGAAAACTTAGGAAGCTTTAATTCAAAAACAAAATCTTTTCTTGATCCCAAAGATAACTGTTGTAATTAAATTTTTTTAAGATATTTTCCAGAATGTTACCACATTTAACCATAAGTTTTTGAAATTTCAATATCTTAAAATGGTTTATCATTTTTACACAATATTGAGATTTCTATTTATTGAGCAATAACTGAAATTAATCCTCCTAATGCATCTGCAAAAAATTCATCCAAAAGCGAAATTTCTTAAACAAAGTAAAAGCTACCATTTTTTAAATTACAAATTTATGTCATCATTTCTGCATCATGATCATTTCCAAAACCAAAAGTATGTAGAGTAAAAATCTCTTCAATAGTTTTTAGTTAATTTTAAATTTCCATTACAGCTTCTTCATCTTACCCATCTGATAATAAGAAAATTGAATTCACATTATTTTTATATCTTCTTTAGTTTAATTATTAAAAGGCCAAATTAGTTGCAGAAGAGATTAATGTTCCTCCTTTGGCATAAATTGTTGTAATCATTTTTTTAAAGTAGCGCTTATTTTTTTCTGTAGCACAAATCAAAGGAGTCAATCTTTCAGCTTCTTCATTAAATATAATTAATTGCAATCTATCTTAAGATTCTAATAAATCAAGTAAAATGATTAATGTTTTTTTTACCATATCTATTTTTTGATCCATCATACTTGCACTTCTATCAATCAAACAAATCTAAAAAGAATAGAATAAAATTATACAAGATCAACGCCAATTCTTTTAGCATGCTATTGTGTTTCCATCTCTTTAGTTTATATGCTTACAATCCCTGGTAAGTACTAATCTTTAGTTTTATATAATTTGCTCATATTATATAATGATTTGACTTCAAATTAGATAATTTAGCTAAAATCTAATGATGGTAATTTTCGGTTATTTTAAGTTTTAATTGGGACTATATATTCATCATCATCAAATATTATTTTACTATTGTACTTCTCTCCAAAAATTTTTCTATTTTAAAATATTGAAGGAAGATTATTTAGATTTTAATTATTTAAATTCCTTTTTGAACTAGAATTATTAGAAATTAATTTTAAAAGATTATCATTTTGATTATGTTGATTAATATTGAAGAGTTCAAAATGTTGATTTGGTTTAAAACTTGGTACAATATTTAAATGTAGAGGTTGTGGTGTTTGAGAGGATATATCAAATTATTCAATTGATTATAACTATGAAGCCAACTAATTATTTTTCTTTTTTATATTATGAATCAATTAAGGTAATTGTTGATTGTTTTTATTTTGAATAAATTGTTGATTTTTTTGTGGAATTTCTCCCATATTTAATGGCTCACTTCTAAAATGCTTAGGTAAAAGCTTTGTTTCCATCTAGTTTAATAACAGCTCTTTGATGGATTATTATTGTTTTGCTTCAAAGTTTTAAATAGCATTATTATTTATATTTATGTGACTTCTTTAATTAGTAAAGACTTTGGGTTAAGTATGTTTCAGATTCTTTGTATTTTAGTTCATATGCATCATTGGAAGATTTAATATTATTATTTATAAATGACATATTAGATGTTATAAATACATTAAATTGATAAAATCTGATAATTAATTTTTGTAACGGTTATTAAATTATTATGGTTATGCTTATTCACTTTCAAATAATAATTATATTAATAATATAAAAAATACAAGCATAAGTCTATTATTTCACAAAACCTAAAACTTGTATACTTCATCCTTTAGGTTTATCATCCATAAAAATTTTGATTGACCAATTTGTAGAATGTAAAAAAGCCATCATTGTTTTTTTTATATATTCAACACCATAGTATGAAAATAGTTATTTGATCATTTGATGCCATACAATCTTGTAAAATTACTGATCTTTTATACTTACGAACTCTTTTTTAATCAATCTTAAACTCTAGTATTTTTTGGTTTATGACTGATAGCATTTCATTTAATTCCTAATTAAACAGAATAAAAAACCCTTAAAATATATTAATCTTGGCCTAATCATTTAAACAACTTTTTAGATATTGAAACTTTCCCTTTTCTAATGCTTCAGTTAGCTTTACATAAATTTAATTATTCTTTTAAAACAGAATATAAAAGGTAGAAACTATTCTACTATATGTAATTTAGAAAGCCAATATAAAATAGCATATTCTATTTTTCCTCATATTTATTATTGTTATTTTATTAAAGATTATATCAATTTTATATTTATAATACATTTGATTTTTGAAATTTTTGATCTACAAATTTAATATATTATTTAGTGGATCATTATATAATTATGTTATTATTCTTCATTATTTCTCATCAATTTTAATTTTTACTCCATTTTTATATTAATTTATACAAGTATCAAATGAATAGCTTGAAAATATTGATTTAGTTTTAATTACAAACAAAAATGTTTGGATAATTCTATCCATAACCCATCTTTTAATCCTTCTTCATCAAAAGTACCTCCACCTCTATCATAGAATATGATTAATTACATTTTTTTATATTCATTTTCATATTGTTTCTTAAATTTCATATCAAAATTCCCATTTTTACATCCATTTTTATATTCTCCACAATATATTATTTAGTAGGTACTAAAAATATTACATTTCAATTACTCACAAAAATATTCATGCAACTCAATCCAAAATCCAACCTTAGTTTCGTTTTCAATATAAATGCCACCACCACTTTAGCAATAGTTGTAAAATTTACATCTTTTTAAATTCATTGCTACCTTATTCCATATACATGATATCCCATTAACTCAATTTTTTATTATTTTAATATTCTCCAACTAAAGTAACTTAACATCCACTTAAAATTTTTGATTATATTTAAATACTTATGAAAATTATCATGTAAATCAATCCACCTCCCTTATTTCTATCCAAATTCATCATACTGTCCCCCTCCACTAATTTGAAAATATAATTGTTACAATTATTTTAAATAATATTTGGATATCCATTATGATTATTTAATACCATTAGAATATTCTCCTATATAAGTAACTTAACAAAATCTAAATAATTTAGTACAATTCTTTACTGCCAATAATCATCATGCAATTCAATCCACTTTCCATCCTTCTATCCATTCTGGTTAAAAAATCCCCCTCCACTAATATTAATATCTTCTATAATACATTAATTTCTTTTTGTCATATGAGTCCCACTTTCCATTCTTTATACCATTAACATATTCTCCCTTGTAAAAAACTTAGCAATATCTTTGGTATAATAAAATTAATACTCATAAAAGTTCTCATGTAATTCTATCCAATATCCAACTTTTAATCCATCATTATCGTATTATCCCCCTCCTCTAATTTATTTAAGTAATAAAATTTACATAATTTTATTCTTGAATATTATATCCCATCTTCCTAATTCTTTACCATCTTTATATTCTCCTATAAGCTTAACTTCTGATTCACTTTAATATTTTTTTTTAAATACTTTTGGAAATTTTGATGCAATTCAATCCATTTTCCTTATTTTTTTCCAAATTCATCAAAAAAGCCTCCTCCACTAATTATTCTAATAACTCTTACATAATTTGTTTTTTTAAAATTGTATCCCATTAACCAAATTTTATTCCATCTTTATAATATCCTTAATGGATGATTTCACAACGGCTATAATATTTGTCTTATATACTCCCAAAAATAATCTGATAATTCAATCCATTTTTCTATTTTTTAACCAATTTAATTATAAAAACCTCCAACTATTAATGGACGTCCATCCCAATATGCAATATGTAATTCCCTTTCATCATTCTTTAATTAGCACTTCCAAGTTAAATATTTAAGGTGTTCCAAATTTATAATGTTATTATGTTTTAAACTTAATTTATTTTATTATTCTCCAACATTTTCATCTATGTACTATCTTAATATTTCTCCATTTTTTATATATTTAACTTTCTTATTTTTTTGATTAAATTGGATTTGTAAATAGGTTTTTTTTAATTTCAAGTCCTTCTTTTAAAGTCCAATTTCTTCCCATATATATAAATCATTCATTATTATAATAATAATAATTATTAAATAAAAAGTATTATGAAATCAAAGGGTATTAATAAGAAGTCAATTAAAGTTTGAACTTTTGGTTTTAGATGATAAAAATTATAAAAAAATGATGGTTACAAATTAATTAACAAAAATCAAAATATAAAATGAAAAATAATAGATTTTAAAAGTCTTATTTGTGTCAATATTTATTTCAATACTTCTATAATATTTTTAAATTCTTTACTCTTAATTGGTGTATATTTGCAATCAAATCTGACAATTGTGCAGATTTAATGTATTTGATTCTTATATGAAAAATTAATTCTTTAACTGATTTACTTTACAAACTAATTTAATTCTCTTGTATTTAATAATTTAGTCTATTTTAGAATAGATGAAATTAAAGATTCTTATTATCAGTTATTGATATAGATTTAAATTCTTAAAATTAATATTCCTACAACAATATTTTAAATGAATTTAGAATAAATATAGTTCATTATATATTTATTAATATCTTAAGTATATTATTTAAAAGAAAAAATTATATCCTTTTTGTAATTATTTAACATTCAAATTAAATTATTATTATTAAATAATAATATCACACTAATTTATTAAGATGAATAGCATCGTCAGGCAGATATGTTTAAATTCCTCTTGATAACCAATTAACCTTGGATTATTGAGGATTCTTTATTATATTATATTTTCTGATAATATGAGCTAAAATGATTTTAGTTTCAATCATGGCCATATGCTATCCTATGCAATTCCTTCCTCCTGCAGCAAAAGGAATGTTGACAAAACCATTGTCTTATTAGATTGGTTTTGATTGTAACCATCTCTTTGGATTGAATTCTAATGGTTTTTCATAATGATTTGAATTGATATTAGCCAAGAAGCTACCTAATAGAATATAGGATCCTTTTTTAATAAATAGATCTTTAATTTAGATATCAGATTTAGCTTATCTTACAATAGGATGAACAACAGATGGTTTAATTCTCATGACTTCTTTTAAGAAACATTCCATATAAATTAATTTATTTAATATATCTGCTGTAATATCTCCATCATTTATGAGTGATTTTACTTCATCTCTTAATTCTTATAAGTATGATGTATTTTCTGATAAAAAAAGTAAGGAATTTGATACTAATGCTCCAGTTGTTTCAGTACCAGCTAAGAAAAGTGTAATAAATTAAGATATAATATCTTCATTTTCATTTAATTTGGATAACTTATTTAAATACACATCAAGAAAGTCTCCATTATCTAATTTTCTACCTTCTTTTTCTATTTTTATTTTTCTTTTAGAAATAATTTCGTTTAGATCTTATTTGAATTTAATAACTCTATTCAAAATCAATTTTTCTGCTTTTAAACAATAATCCCAAGATTTTAATCCTAGAAGTTTTTATTTAAAATAAATGAAGAAATTGCTAAATCTAACTAAAACAAAAGATTTTAAGATTTCACCTAATTCAATTTATGCTGGTTTTCCATTAATTTTCCATCCTTCTGCTTCTACTCCAAAAAAACTTCTAATAACAACTTCTCCAGTTATTGAACAAATAAACTAGAATACTTTATCTACAAATTAATTATCATTGATTGTATTTCTTACTACTTAATTCATCATTGGAATTCTATCCTTAAGCTTATCATAGAGAAAATGTTCACCAAGAAGATTTCTTTATTCTTTCCATTTTTCACCTTCTGCAAACAATAAGCCTTTGCTTAAAAGAAAACTAGTGTTAAAAATGAAATTATACTCTTTAATTCCACTTTAATCATGTTTTACAACAAGATGGTGATCTTAATAGAGTGGTTTGTAATATTCTGGATCAACTATGATAAATACAGGTTTAGTGACAGAATTGGAAACTATTAATTTCACTTCTGGATGCTTAGTGATAATATCAATAACCCATTATTAAGGATTACCTTTTTTAGCTGATGATCTATAGATTTAGATGACACCCAATATAGGAATGTAATAAAAATAGATTTATTTACCAAATTGAACTTTTAGTTTGATCATGATAAGTAATGGTCTCAATATTAGATAGGCAGCAATTATAGTAAGAAATAAAAGAAAATAAAGAAACATTAATTAATATATCATTATTTGATTTATGTAAATAAAGATCAATTTAATATACGTTTTCTAATCTATGTCTTAATATGTTTGACGATCTTGTACATATAATATATTCTGTATATTATCTCTTGGTTTAAATTTCTATATAAACTGTGTTCAAATAAATTGAATATTATTACAATATTAAGAAACCTATATTAATTTGTTGAAAATAATTAAATGAAACTTAATATATAAATATAATAAAATTTAATTTATGAATAATATGATTGCTAAATATTTTGAGTTTTATTTATTAAAAGTTCAATCATTATAAAGATTAAAACATATTCTTTTTAATATATGTATTCTAAAACAGTAATAAAACAAACAACAATTATTATATTAAATAAAAATATGATTATAAAGTATATGATAGAGATATATTTTATATAGCCAAAGAGAAGTAGATTCTCAACAAAAATATAATTAATAAGAATCTGTAAATTACTTATATAACATTAAGTTAAATTAATTAACAAACATACATTTAAACTAAATCTTTTAATTAAATGTATATGGAATAAAGAAAGAACAAGAAACTATTAGTACTCATTTTATCGATTTGTTGTCTTACATTGGGATGTAAGTGTCATTTTTGATATGATTAGCAACATTAACTTGCACAGAAGGTCAATATATATCAGGTTCGTAATGCTTAGACTGTTCTTCAGGATGCAAAGAATGTATTAGCAATACTAGTAATCAAAAATTATTAATAAAGGCTGTTCATTATGCAAGGAAGGATATATGCTATCAAGTTATAGTTGTTATTCTTGTGGGAATGGGTGTTAAAAATGTTTAGGATTAAGTGGCAGTGCTTCAAGAATCTTATATAGATCAGGTGGATTTAGAATATTAGCAACACCAACTTAAACTGAGTGTATAACATGTTATTAAGGATATTATTAATAAGGGTCTGTATGCATAGCTTGTGATAAACCATGTTTAGCATGTAGTTCTAATTCAACAAATTGTACAATATGTGTGGACAGTATTAATTAATCAACTCCTACTTGTTAGTGCAATGAGTCTTATATTATGAACACATCTACTTATTAATGTACTTCATAAAATATATAATAAACTTGCGAAGATGGATACTATTTAGATATTACTTAATAATGCTAAGTTTGTATTTTTCCTTGTTTAAAATGCACTAATTAATAAGAATGCATAGAGTGTCTACCAGGTTTAATTCAGTTTGAGACAACATGCAAATGTCCTTTTGGTTAATATGAAGAAATAGATAAGTGTGTCAATTGCTAATTACCTTGTTTATCATGTTAAGGATCTGCCAGTAAATGTCTAGCATGTGCTCCTCAAAATCAGGTGGTAAATGAAATATTCTAATGTGTTTGTGATTATGGATATTCATTAATTGAATAGAATTGTGAATTATGTCAGACTCCTTGCTTAACATGTGATTACAGAGTGGATTATTGTACTTCTTGCATGTACGAGTTTCAAGTAATCAATGATGGAAAATGTGTTTGTAAATTTGGTTATTTGTAAAATGATAATAATGAATGCCAATAATGTTAATCTCCTTGTGAGAGTTGTGAAAATGCTATAAATGAATGTCTTACTTGTATAGATACTAATTAATATGTAAATTTGAATAAATAATGTATTTGCAAAGAAGGCTTTTATTTAGATTTTTTTAATATAAATTGTGTTCCATGTCATTACACATGTTAAAGTTGTGATAATTAGAGTTGTTTAAGATGTTTAGACACAACATTATAATTGGAGATTGGCTCATCCTCTTGTAATTGTCCAATTGGATATTATTATGAAAATACAAAATGTTTATAATGTTAATTACAATGTAGTAAATGCATAGATTAATCTGATAAATGTTTAGAATGTGCTGATCCAAATTCAACTCTTATTGAATATTAATGTATTTGTAATACTGGATTTGGAATATCAAAGACAAATTTATAATATTGTATTCCTTGTAAATATCCATGTTTAGAATGTTCTAATGATGTAAATAAATGCACTAGTTGTTTTTAAATAAGTTTAATTTACTTAGTGAATTAAGAATGTAGATGTCCTTAAGGTTATTTTATGTAAGATTTTGATTGCATTAAATGTGCAAATTAATGTTAAGAATGTTAAATAGATAGTGATAATTGTATAAATTGTATAGATTTAAGTTATGAATTTATGAATAATGGATGTTTTTGTCCATATGGATATTATGTTGATACATCTTTAAAATGTTCATAATGTTAAGAACCTTGTAGTACATGTGAATATAATTATGACTTTTGTTTATCATGTATAGATCCTTTAGCTGAATTAATTAATAATTCATGTTAATGTTAATTACATTCTGTGTAAGTATTTGATAATAATAATAATTTATTATAAGGATGTTATAAATGTAATGAAATCTATTTAAATTGTGATATTTGCAATTAATCTATTTGTTAATTATGTTTATAAGGATATAATTTCAATGAGAATTAAGAATGTTTGAATACTATTTGTGGAGATTCCATTAAAGTTGATAATGAATAATGTGATGATGGTAATGATATAGAATTTGATGGATGTTTTTAATGTTAATGTGAATTTGGATGGATTTAAAATCAATTAGGTTGTTAATCTATTTGTGGAGATGAAATTATAGTAATTGAAGAATAATGTGATGATGGAAATGATATACAATTTGATGGATGTTATTAATGTAAGTATGATTGTAATTAATATTGTAATGAATGTATTGAAGGAATATGTATGAAATGTAAAGAAGGATTTATACTTGAAGAAAATTAATGCATAATTACATGTGGAGATGGAATTTTAAATATATAAACAGAATAATGTGATGATTATAATAATACACCTAGAGATGGTTGTTATAATTGTTATTAAGAAGATGGATTTATATGTTATTATACAAATTAATTATTATTTTAATCTTGTGAAAGATGTTCAGATTATAATTGTATATAATGTGTAATATAAAATTAAAAGTAAATTTGTTAAAAATGTATAGATGGATATTATATTGATTCATTTTAAGGTTGTTCATAATGTGATCAGATTTGTGTTGAATGTATAATATATCCAAAGAATTGTATTATTTTTAATTCATCATTTTATCAACTTAAAGATTGTAATTAAAATCTAGGATTATATTATGATTATGAACTTTAAGATTGTATTACAAAATGTGGAGATGGTATTATTAATGGATAAGAATAATGTGATGATCTTAACATTAATGATTTTGATGGATGCAATAATAAATGTTAAATTGAATCTGGATATTTGTTTGATTAAATAAGTTTATCATTTATTAATGAACCACTTATATAAGTTTAATCATAAACTTCCAGTAATAATGATTTTTCTATATATGCTGAACAATTTTAAGATACTATCAATTGTACTGGAACTACTATTAATATTGAACTTTTCAATCAATCAGAATACAACTATACAATAAATGAATAAGGATTAAATTGTGATATTTCTATTCAATATTTTAAAACTGTAGAATACTTAAATCTTATTCATATCTTTATTAAATTCAAAAATCATTTTACTAAAAGAATATTAGATGAAATACCAATTAAAGAAATTATTATTGTTCCAAAAAGATAGGTGTATGCAAATGAAGATTAAAAAGAGTAAGGAAAAACTATGGCTGCAGTATCAAAATCATTAACATCATCTATTGTTGTATTTGCTCCATTAGCATTACTTATTGGAGGTTTCAAATTTATTTGGGCTATTCTAGATATTATGAGTTGGATGAATAACTTTTATTTCTTAAATGTAAATTATCCTGAAAATGTTAGACTCATTTTTTAATAAGCTGAATGGAGTAATCTAATTAATTTTCCATAACTTAATATTTTTAATCAACCTTCTGATGAATATTACTTTTAAGCTTAAATTAAATTTACTGAAAAAGATGTTGACCCATTATTTATTAATAATATTTAAATTGTTATTATTTTTTTATTACAAGTCCTTATTACTTATATAATTTGTTTTCTTTTTAGAAAATTAATGTAGACTTTGTTTAAAAAAAATATTAAAGTCAAAAACCCATCATCAACTTAAATCTTTTAATTATAGAATAACATCACTAATATATTTAAATAAGAAAATTAAATAAAAGAATCTAAAGTTAATAATTAAATTTCCATTTTTGAAATTCCAAATAAATTTAAATCTATTTACATTTCATGTATTGATTGTGAAAGATCATTTCTTGCTAATCTATTAAAGACTCTATAAATAAGTTATTTGGATATTCTATTGGCAATAGTATTATAAATTACCAATTAATAAACATCTACTAATCTAATTGTTAAAATTAATATCATATTAGCAATTACTTTTATTGGAATTGTACTATTATTGATTCACTTATCCTACTCAATTTCAGTTTAACATCATCTGAAATTAGATAATCATTATTTTAGTAGAAGATATAGTTGTTTTTATGAAGATATAAAAACTAACTCCAAAATATCTATGACTTATTCATTTGTGAATATGTTAAGGAAGACTATATTTATTGCAGCAACAGTTCTTTTATATGATTTTCCAATATACTAAACAAGTATTTGTTTTTTATCTTGTTTCTTAAACATAATCTTATTATTCCTATGTAATCCATTCCATAATAGATAATAATATATTCTCAACTTTATACCTGATTTTTGTATATGTATTATAGTAGGTATAACCATTATTTTTGCCTTTCAGGATTAATATCAAATAGTTCAAGATGATAATATTTATATTTTAGGATGGATTATTGGAGTTTGTATTTATTTATCTATATTATTGTAATTGATATTCCTAATAAAAGAGCTTATAGAATCAATATGGAAAAAAATTAAAGAATTATATCTTTTCTTGAAAAACAAATATAATTGATGAATATATTATGTTTATTTAAATAGAATACAATTAATCATATTTTTAATTAAAATTATTTATATATGAATTCAACTATGTAGTAAATATGCATTTTGATTAATAATTAATTCTCATAATTCTCTTTTGATAAGCTATTTATGCAATTTATTTAAAGATTTACAACAAAATTTTGAGTATCAAATATACTAATATTGTTTTAATAATAGTATTAAAAATATATACATTTAGTTTCTAAAATATAGAATTCAAAGTATATTTATTTTATTCTATTTTTTATTATAAAATAAATAATAATAGTGTTAAATTCACACATTATAAATATTGATAAATTAAAATATCCTTTTTATAAATAATATATTTCTAAATTATATTAATTATTGATTACAAGAATTTGAAGTTCTTCATATACATTCTATTATGAACTTATTATTCGTTTCTAATAGTACTTAAATTATATAAAATATTTGATAAAACAATATCTAACATCAATAGGGTAGTTATGATCTTTTTAAAATGAATACATATCATTCAGGAATAAACAAGTTGATTACTTAATATACTTGATTTGATCGATTAATATTGTCTTATAAGATTATTACGCCTAAAATGATTGAAACACTATTGTTATTATATATAATTTAGATTATTATATAATGTAATAATAATAATAGATGTGAACAATAAATTTTGGCTTGAGAATTATTTATTCCACATATTAAATGAACATTTCTCATTTACTCTGTCAATACATGAATCAAGAAGAAATTGAGAGACAATAAAAAAAGACATCAATCTAATATATTCAAATTGTAATGCCAGATATTTACATTATTAGTTTACTCATATAGTTTTCATATATATATTAGAATATTGATATGTATTTGTAATGAGAGAATGAGCAATCGAAGAATATAATTCTTAAAATTTTTAAATATAATGATCAAATAAAACAATAATCAGCTATTATATATATTAGACTAATGAAATGCTTATATGATTAAATTTATAATGCATTAGATGAGATATTTCCAATAAGATTTTTAATAAATTTGATTGATGTGTTAATGATTAGATTTATTAATTATAAAAAAAAAAGTTAATACAAAATTGTTGAGTAGAACCTCCTCTTAAATGATTAAAGTTAAAAAAATTATAAGTATAGGGGATATTTCATAAAATTTAATTATAAAAATATATATATTTAAGATGGAAAGAATACTAGGATATTTATAAGCTTATTATAAGATGTCTGATATTCATGATGACTAATTTTATTATATAAATAATAATTATAATAAATGGCCTCATTGCAAGTGATTTAAGTAAGATAGAATAGCAAAAAGAGGAAATAAATTAGGATTATTAAATGGATTTAAAAAAATTTAAATAATAATTTATTAAAATATTTATGAGACAACCTCTAACAAAGAAATCCTTTAATATTTCTGATTCTTCATATTACATCTCTTTGGCTTGCATCATCACTTTTGAAATCTACTCTCTTTATCGATTTTCAATCATTTGTAAATCAAATGATATAGAGGGTACTGAAAAAGGTACAAGAATACAATAATTATAGGTTTCTTTGGTATAATGAGAGACCATTCAGATCCTTAATGGGGAGAATTTGCAGGACATTTGACTGAATTAATGATTTTTCAATTCATTTTTTTATTAGGGTCCTACACTGTTAAATATAATACTAAATTAGAAAATAGGTAAAGAAACCTATAGTATTATAATATGATCCTTGGATTGGGATATGCATTTTATTTACACAATATTGGAATGATATTTTAGATGATGATCATCATCTCTTTTTATCTTTTCCAAAAAGTAATTTATATTTTTTTTTATAATAGATTTGTTACAAAATGAAATATTTCATCCCAACATTATGGATATTGGCCATATTAACATTATGGTCAAATGAAACCTTTAAAGGATATTAATTCAATATGATTTCTCCATCCTTAGCATTCTTAGATGGTTTTAGAAGTAACAATCAATTAGTAAGTTGGAATCTTGTTTTTAATATGATTTTATTAAGAATAATCAGTTTCTCTATTGATAAGGTTTGGGCATCTCAACTTTCAAAATATAGTGATTAGAGTTATAATGAAAGTTCAAATATAGTCAAGACTTATCGTGATAGAGTAGAAGAGTCCTAACCATTAAAAGAATATAACTTTATTGGATATTTAAGCTTTATTTTTTATGTGCCTCTTCTCTTTTCAGGACCATCAATGGGTTATAATGCCTTTAATTCTTAATTAAAAATCCCTTAATAAAGTTATAATAGAGCTTAAGTAGTAAAATACATTTTGAGAGTGTATATATTGGATTTGTTAACTTTTGAAGTATTTTTGCATGTATGTTATCCAAATGCAATTCCAAAATTAGCTTAAAATTTTCATATCCTTGAGAATTTTAGTGCATATGAGTTTCACATAATGTGTGTGATGAACTTAATCTTTTTATGGTATAAATTTCTTACAATATGGAGAATTGCAAGGGGATGGGCATTATTAGATGGTAATATAATGTATTATGTTAGGTATTGAAACACCAGAAAATATGAATAGATGTTTATATAACAGTTACAATTTTAGTGGATTTTGGAGATCTTGGCATAGAAGTTTTAATTAATGGTTAATAAGATATATATATGTACCATTGGGAGGTACAAAATATAAATCTTTGAATATGTGGGTTGTATTTTCTTTTGTAGCTTTATGGCATGATTTTAAATTGGATCTTCTATTATGGGCTTGGATAATCTGTTTAGCTTTAATTCCAGAAATTGCTTTACAAAAATACTTTGATAAAGAGTTTTTCTATAAAAAGTGGTGGTTTGTTTATTTATGTTAATTGGGTGGAGGATTCTAAATACAAATGATGTGTTTAGCTAATTTGATTGGATTTGGAAATGGATACGAAGGAATGACAGTTGTTTTCTATAAATTTATGAGTTTGGAAGGATTACTTTGTTTTCTATTCTATTGGATAGTTAGGAATGGATGGATTACTACTATTCAATTTAGAATAAGAGATGATGAGAATTCTGAATCAAATGACAAGCGATTTTGATATCCAGTTTAAGTTTATTGAAAAGACTTATAAAACATATTATCAATTTATAAATGCTGAAAAATTTATTGCACTTTAGTGACGCATAAGATAGCATAATAAATTGTTATGATTCCATCTATGTTAAAATAATTCTTTTCATTTTAACTCTTTCATATTCTAATTAATCATTAAGTTAACTCATACAAATGAAAATATAAAAGTATTTCTTCTATAATACTAGTATGAAAGAATATTATTATCAAATCTATGATAAAATTCTTAATTTTGTTATTACCATTTAAAAAATAATTTATTAAGAATTAAACAATTAGAAAATTTATATTCTTATTCAATTATGATTTGTATTGATAAGTAACATGAAATAAGTCTGAAAATGATATAAAATATGAGTTACCTTTAATTGAAATAATCATTTATTATTGAAAACTAAATGAATCATTGATTTAAATATGTAGCAACTATTCTAATTAGTTGGTGATGATTGAATTAATATTTATTATTAAAATAAATATAAATTTATTGGTTTTCAAACACTTTAAGTCTGGACATTTTAATTAATAATATAATTAAAATTTATATATTTATATATTAATTTTTATTATCACCAACATTTTTCCTTTTTTATAATTTATTTTAATAAAATAGTTGCTCAATTCTTAAGTATAAGTATTTATTTATTTATAAAAAAATATATATAAATTGATAAAGTATTATTCATAAATAATTAAACTTTAATAAAGATGATAATAGAGTTATTAATTTATAATAGTTCATTATAATTATTACTAATTATATTCATTTAATAAGTAATTTTATTTACATTCTATTGTAATAGTATTATTTTTAAATAATTAATCTTAAATATTCAATCTATTATTTAAAATTTCTGATTCTTGTTACTATTATTGTAAAGTATTTTCTTTTTCATATTTTAATTAAATAGGACTTTATTCAATTTCCTAATTAGATAATTAATATGGAGAAACTAATTATAATATATTTAAGTATACCTATTGGAGGCTTGGGACGAATATCAACTAATTTCATATATTCTACTAATTATATAGGTAATTCTTCTAATACTTTTTTTGATAGTTGAGTTGGATCACTTTTAAATTAATTATAAGGAACAAATTAAACTAAATCTCTAATAGCTCTATTCCCTTTACTATCTACCATAGTTTTGTTATTATTATCTAAAATCTTCATATTTTTAAAATTAGCATCCCCTATACCAATAATAATTATAGATAATGGTAAATAAGATGAAGCTATTATATCATCTATTGATTCTAACATATCATCAGTTTGTCCATCAGTTAAAATCAATAATACATGATAGTTTTCACTTCCTTAATCTTTACATTTTTATGCCATTTCCATTGCTTTTTATAGTGTTGGATGTAAATATGTTGGACCATCAAAATGTAATTTATGCAATGAATTTTTATAGCATTCCACAATACCATGTAATCCATATACTCTTAAAATTATATATAATTCTTACTCTGGATCATTAGGATTATCATTTAAAGGAAAGAGATGTAATGTTTAATTTGTGTTATAATAATTCATTTTTGGTTTACATCCAAAACCATATAGAGGAACTCTTTTATCATGATCATAATGTATTAATATTTCAACAACACTAATAATTGCTTATAAATATTGACTAGGTGAACCATTCGAAGGTAGATGATGAAGTGAATTAGGATTATGAGAATTTTCATTTGATGCTGTAAAATCTATAGAAAGCATTATACTAATCTATTAACCTCCAGCACAATAATCTAAAAAAGTATAATTAGATTTTATTAAAAATCTATCAAATTAAAGAATTCCTGAAGATTTAATCATTTAAAATTTAGATAAGAATTCTTTTTATAATATTTTCTTCAATTTATTTGATTCTATTAATTCATTAATACAAAAAGAAGTTTCTCCAATATATTTGTGCTTACCTGAAGCTTTATAATTCCATAATTCAACTTTTATTTACATTAAATAATTTCCATTACATAACTTTTAAGCTTAACATTATATATCTTTCCATTAAATATAAGACATATCTTTTACAAATTCTGTTTCATAAACTAAAATAGGTATATCAACATTATGTTTTAGTCTATAAAATCTAAGAAATGGTTAAATTTTATCCCAAAACCATAATTTGATACCTTTTATCTTAAATCCTGATAATGAAATACAAAATTCTTCATTACATTATTTTACCTGATCAGCTTTTAAGATAATTTATCCACTTTTCCTACCATTTTAATTGTATATATTAGCTTTATATAATTAGTTTTTAGATCCTATTACTTCTGCCATTGTTGTTTCTATTTAACCAATAATCTATAATAGTTTAAATTAATACTTATGTTTATGTTGAACTTATATAATTATGAACTTCCATTTTTACATATTACTAGACTTAGAAATAATAATTAAACAAGAATGTCTTGACAAAATTTGGATTCTAATTATTCTAAATTATTTCAGTTTAATCTATTTTGATCCCTTATTCAATTATATCAAATTCATACAACAATTATTGTTCTTTTTATAGAGTATAACAAATGAATCGTAAACGGTCATTACATGATCATCTAATTTTCTACAACTTACAAAGAGTTCTATTTATTAGGTTTCTTTTGTTTAGGTAATACCTTCTTATAACATAATTTAATATATAATCTCTTCATATAGATTATTCTTGAGTATAAAATAAAAAGTATAGAATTATATACGTAATACATATCAATTTCTATTTTTATTTTCTATAAAACATCTATTAAGATACTTATCTTTGTACAACTAATAAACCATTTAATAATGATCATTGTTCATAACTTATTGATAAAATGATGTAATTTTAATATTCTATATAATTTAATATTATAAATTTATGTTATATTTCTTTATTCATTTTGGTATAATAAAAGGATAAGAATGTCGTCTATTCTTAAATTCAAAAAAGATATTAATATATTTACTATATAATCCAATTATGAATAAATCTAAATGTCAAGAATTTTCATTTTTTATATTGTTTCAATGCGATCTTAATTTTAAATATATAAATATTTATTAATAATTATATAATTTATAAATATTAATATATTTCCTTCACAAAACTCTTATATTTTATAGATTCAAAAAATACTAACATCAATTTTATTATTTAATCAAAAACCTTTCATGTAATCCTAATTAGAAATTTGTTAAATTGAAATTAAAATGAAGTTGATAAATTTTTAATAATTTCAGAGATACATGTTTAGTTTAAAATGTTTAAAAATAATTAATTTTAAATATTGTACTTATTATGATTTCCATTAACATATACTAACTATATTTTTTAACAAAAATAAAAAAATAAATATATAATAAGCACAATAATTACTTTAAATATTTTAATCTATTTAATAATCATATTCTAACTTTATTATGATTTACTTTAGATATATAATTTTAATTTATTTTTATTAATTAACTATTTATTTATTTAAAGAGAAAGCCTTTTTATATATCATATTTGAATAATAGACAAGAATGAATATTCTAAATTTTACTTTTTTTATCCTATTAGAATGACAACATCTTGAGCATTTTTAATATGATTATAATCATAAATCTTATAAATAAATTAAAATATTCTAAGCAATAAATAATTGATTATTACTTTAACAGAAAGTTAATAATCATAAATATTATTGAATATATAAAAATTAAAATACTTATTATTTATTTTTATATTTGTGAGTCGATTAAAAATTGAAATAACTAGTTTTAGATTATTGATCATAGTTTTGACTTTGAAAGGATGATAACATAATTAATACATCCTTTTTTTCTTTATTTTGAAATCATTAGTCATCTATAATATTTTTAAGTCATATTTTATATATATTTTAGGTTGTTTGTTTGAATATACGTATAAATATAGTAGTATAGATACTTATCCTATTATTACTTAAAATACATGAAAAATGAGTATATATATGATTGATTATACTTCTCTGACACTTATTGTAATATAGACTTCATCTATTTGGTTCCTTACTAGGATTTATAAAATTAAAAAGGAACAATTTAATCACTTTATACTTATTTTCATGAATATAAATAATAATATATATTATTTAGATGAAAAAGACTAGATTGATAAACAAAGATGATTGGATATAAATAGTTTGATAAATCCGAAGAAATAATATTATTATTTTTATTAAATTAATATCTTTAAATGCTTTCAATTCATAGAGTCCTACCTATATTAGAGAGATTCGATTTAATACGTATTCAATAATGATTTGCTAAATGACTAAATCGATCATTGTGTTTTTGAATACCCACTACAAATTATCATATATTAAATTAAATCTCAAATATAATTATTAAATATACTAAAAAGGACTGTTTGGTTATTCATTTTATGATTTACAATAACATCCTCGATTTAAAATTAAGTAATTTGTTATTCCCTTAATATAGAGTAGTGAATTATCAATTAGAATGATTTCAAATCCATTTTGAATTGAAGAACAATATTTTATTACTAGAAAATGAATACGTTTTTAAATTAAATGAAAGAAAAATATCTACAAAATATGAATATCTGTATTCTTCTTAAGACAAAAAGAATAGTCAACCATTTTTCTGTTAATTTTTTTGGATTTATAAACTAAATAAAACCTTCTAGGAGGCAGATTTAAACAGATTCAAAATTTTCAAAAATTAATGAATCTTGGTTTGATAAGGAGTTCAGATTGATATCCAAATTCATTATTTATTTAAATTAAAATCAATATGAGAGTTTAGATGATAATAGGCATTTTACTTCTTTCTGCTTCTGCAACAGATGTTGATGTATCAAATTAATGTACTTGCGAAAAACTTCTCTCTGAAGCTGATTGCAAAAGCTTAAAAGGTTGCAATTGGTTCGCAACAACTTCTATATGTTCTAAATTAGATCTTGGAGCAAATTCAACAGAAGGATATTGTGGATTGATAAGTGATGCCACAACCTGTGCCAAAACTAAAGGATGTGCTTATGTAGATTCTATTTGCTAAATATTTGCTGGATGTACAGCATATAAAGGTGCCACTGATGCTGAATGTTAAGCCATATCAAAATATTGTAATTCTGATGGACAGGCGTTTTGTGTTGATCCAGGACTATGTACTACTTATAAAACCTCAGAAGATTGCATATCTAAAGCAAGTAGTGGAGGATCAGGTACTTGTGTTTGGGATTAAAGCTGCAGAGACTAAAAATGTAGTGAAGCAGATCCTACTTTTAACAGTGATGCTCAGTGTAATAATTTTATAGAAAAGTGTGTCACAACAGGTAAAGGTTGTATAAATAATTTGGGGCTTTGTTCATCATATAGTGGAGGCATTGAAAGTTGTGAAGGATTGATAGGTTCAGATGGTTATTGTAAAGGTGTTGATGGTAAAGATAAGTGTGAAGTCAAGGCTTGTACAGATGCAGATACAACATTAACAACAGATGCTGCCTGTGCTAAGTATTAGATTGGTTGTGTTACAAATGGATATGGTTGTGTCAAGTCTCCTCTAGGATTATGTTCCACTTAGACAGGAGATGATGTGATTTGTGCAAATAAGATAGGGTCAGATGGAAAATGTAAAGGAACTACTGAAGGTAAGAACTGTAGTGCTGTAGAATGTAAAGATGCACCTGAAACTTATTCAACAAATGATGAATGTAAAAAGTTCAAGATAGGATGTGTGACAACTGGCAAAGGATGTATTAGTTAATTAGGAAATTGTTCTTCTTATAAAGGTACTTCAATAACTTGTGATGGATATGTTGGAATTGATGGTAAATGTAAAGGTACATCAGATACTGAAGCTCCTTGTTCAGTTAAAGTTTGTAAGGATGCTGAGGCAACTTTAGATACAGATGAGAAATGCGAAGAATATTAGACAGGATGCAAGACAACAGGTAAGGGATGTGTCTAAACTTTATCAAATTGTTCTTCTTATACTGGAGATTCAACAAGTTGTGATGGATATATAGGTATTGATGGTAAGTGTACAGGTGGAACTAGCAGTGGTAGTTGTTATCCAAAAAAATGTTCAGATGCTCCTTCTACTTTAATAACAAATTAGGAATGCTCTGATTTTTAAACATTTTGTATATCAACTGGATTTGGAGGTTGTATGGATGTAGGAACTTGTAGTTCTTTATCTAATAAAAGTTAATGTGATGGAAAATCAAAATGTTCATGGTCACCATAATGTGTAAAAAATGTTATTTGTTCAGATCTCAAATCAGAAAGTTTATGTAATACAGTATCATTGTAAGATAATAAAACTTGTTGGTGGGTAGATAGTAATTGTGTAGAAAGAACTTGCAATAAAGCACCTACTACATATGATTCAGATTTAAAATGTGATACATTTTTAAAGGGTTGTTTGACAAATAAGAAAGGATGTGTATCTTAAACAGCAACTTGTAGTAGTTATTAAGGAACTAAAGCAACATGTGAAGGATTCACTATTAAATGCACAAATACAGATAGTGCTACTGAGACAACTATATGTTAAGATCCAGTATGTAGTGATAAAACTAATGGTACTACAGATGAAGCTTGTAAGTCATTTCATTATGGATGTGTAACAAATGGAACTGCATGTGTATCTATTAGTGCTGCTTGTGATACATATTTAGGAACAAGTACAGAGATTTGTTCAAAATTTAAAGGTAATAATTAATAAAAACCTTGTTGGTGGAAATCTGGACCTAAATGTGTAGATAGATAATGCATTGATGCTGATGATACATATACAACTGATGATAAATGTGAATAATTTTTGAAAGGGTGTATTACTACAGGAGCAGGATGTGTTTAAAGTTCTGATGATTGTGAATCATATACAGAATTAAATTAAGCAAGTTGTTTGACATTATCAACTGGATGTGCAAGAAGAGAAAAATGTACAGTTGAACTTACATGTGCTTAAATTACAAATGCAACTAGTTAAATTAATTGTGATGATATATTACCAAAATAATGTATCTTCATAAAAAATGCATGTGTTCCTTTAGGAAATTGTAATACTTATACTGGTACATCAATAGATGAATGTAAAGATCTATTTAATTTAAATGGAAATAAATGTTATTGGTCAACAAGTAATAAATGTTCTGATAGAGAATGTACTTAAATAAAGAGTCCATAAAACTTAAAGGCTTGTACAGATCATAAATCTTCATGTGCAATTAAAACAGGTGGTTCAGAATGTCAAGAATTTGCATGTAATTTAGCAGGTACACCAAATCCTGCAACTGAAGAAACATGTTAACTCTATCATCCTGAATGTCATTTAGGTTATGTATCAGGATAAGCAGTATGTACTTTACCTTTAGCTTGTAATGGTTATGGTCCATCTAATACTGCTTCATGTTCTACTTTGATTGCTCTTAAAGGATAAACTTGTAAATCAGGTTAAAATTAAACTGATAATTGTTAACCAGCAGAATGTAGTAATTTTCATACTAAAGAAACTGAGTGTAAATCAGCAAAAATTGCTTTAGCAGCTAATAATTTAAAACCTGGAACAGGATAATATTAATATTGTTTTTATGATTCAACATCTTAATGTGTAGAAAGATCTTGTAATAATGCTAAATAACATCTTGGAGGCACAGTTACTTCATTTGATTAATGTAATAAATATTTTGAATAATGTGTCCTTTCAAAACCAAGTGCTGGTTCTATATGTGTAGATGGTTATGTTGATACTAATAATTTTGGATGTAAAAAACTTGAAGGTACTTAAGATGATTGTTTAATATTATAAGGTAAATATAAATTAAGTGAAAATGTATATGAATATAGATTATGTTAAAAACATGATTAAGAAGGTGTTGCTAATTGTTTAGATAGAACATGTGATTAGAAAACAGATGGATATACTGATGCTATTTGTTAAACATGGCTTCCAACTTGTAAAACTAATGGAGTATCTTGTGTTGATATATCAACTTCATGTACTACATTAGAAGGAACATCAGATAGTTGTAAATTACTTACTGGTTTGGTATTTGGATCTAAATGTCAAGGTAATACATCTGTTAAAGGAGTATGTGTTGCTAGAAGATGTTAAGATAATGGTACAGCAAAAACTGATGCAGATTGTAAAAAATTCTTAAAAGGTTGCATAACAACTGGAAATGGATGTGTAGATGAAAACACACCTTGTTCTGCTTTATAGGGAAATTAAGATTTATGTAAATTATTGACAGGTAATAGTAAACCATGTTGGAGTTTGTCTTTAACAACTAAAGGAGCATGTATTGATAGAACTTGTTCTCATAATACAACAGCAAAAACTAATGCTGAATGTGATACTTTTATGAAAGGATGTGTTACTAAGAATCCAGGTTGTATTGAAACAACAGCAGAATGTACATCATATTAAGGAATCTAAGCTGATTGTGAAAAGTATATTGGCAATGGTAAGACTTGTACAAATGATGCAACTGCAACAAATACTACTACTTGTAAAGTAAAAGATTGTACTAAATTGAGTGCTGATACATACTCTTAATCTGTATGTTAAGCTTATGGTGTATAATGTCATTATAATGGATCAAAATGTGATGTTGCTTAATCATGTTCATAATTAAAAGGCAATTTGGTTACATGTACTTAATATGTAGCTACAGATGGTCCATGTATTGGTACTGCACTATAAACTGAAACACCAACTAGTTGTTCAACTGCAAAATGTGCAGATGCACCATCTACTTTAGTAACAGATGCTTAATGTGAAACATATAAAAAAGGTTGTAAAACAACTGGTTAAGGTTGTGCTTCAAGTATTACTTGTGGAGATGTACAATCTTCATCTATTTGTTCTGCTGTTAAAATTGATGATGATTTTATTTGTACTTGGTCATCTTAATGTAGAGATATTGAATCTTCATGTAGTAATTTCACTTCAAGTGGATCAAGTGTTTGTACTTCCTCTAAAACAACTTCAGGATTTGGTATTTGTATTTGGAAGGATAATGTTTGCACAGAAGCAAAATGTGAAGATTTACCATTATCTGTTAGTTCTGAGACTGATTGTATTGCATATTCTACAACATGCACTTTTGGTGGAACTGGAAATGGTTGTGCAACTAAAGGAGAATGTACTACTTATAAAAAAAAAGAAATATGTGCAAATGCAAAATCTACAGATACAATGGGTAGTTGTGCTTGGGATGAAAATATAGTAACAGGTACATAAATAAAAGGATGTAGAGTAAAAGAATGTTAAGATGCTGCTACTACATTAATAAGTGATTCTGATTGTAATTCATTCATTGAAGGTTGTGTAAGTAATGGTGCTGGATGTATGAAACCTATATTCACTTGTGATATGCTTAAATCATAAACTAAATGTATTAAAGACTCTTAACTTAGACCATGTCTATGGATTAATAATGCTTGTCGTTAATATTATAATTGTACTGATCTATCTTTAACAACAGTAGCTGCATGTTAAGCAGTATCTAAATATTGTACAACTGATGAAAATAAATGTACTCCTTTGAAGATTTGTGCTAATTATACAAAATAATCTTAATGTACAATTGGTACTGATGGTTTTTGTGGTTGGGTTACAAATACTAAGAAATGTCAATTATTTACATAATGTTCAGATTTAGTTTCAAAAATCAATACAGAATGCTAATCTTATAATCCTAAATGTATTAGTAATGAAACTACATGTGTTGAAAAAGGTGAATGTTCTACTTATGCTGATAGTGAAGCTGCTTGTACAATAGGTGGAACTGATGGTACATGTTATTTTGATAAAGATACTACATCATGTAGATTAAGATAATGTTCAGATGCATCAACATCAACTTCTACTCATAATGGATGTTTTTCATATTAAATCAATACAACTAGTAAATGTACTACAAATGAATCTAAATGTATACCCTTGGCTGATTGCTCATCATATACTAAATAAGGTGGTTGTGTCATTGATAGTCAATTAAAAGCATGTACTTGGGATAATATGGCCAAAGCATGTAAAAGTAAGACATGTTCAGATACTAAAAAAACTAAAAGTTCTGAATGTGCTTCTGCCTTAGCTGGATGTATCTCAGATGGAACTAAATGTATAGAAAAAGGAAAATGTTCAGATTACAGTACTAAAGAAGCTTGTAGTGCTGGTGGTACAGATGGTGCATGTGTATTCAGTCCAACTTCTAGTTCTGCAACTACTGGAGTTTGTAAATTATATACTTAATGTTCAGATGCAAATTCTGATTAAATTGCTTGTCAATCTATGTCTCAAACTTGTAAATGGACTGTTGCTACAGGAACTACTCCTAGTTCATGTTCTAATCATACTTGTGATACAGCTGCTAAAGGAACAGCCAAATGTGTCACTATCCCAAGTTTTGATGGTAAGAAATATACTGTTTGTTAACCATAAGGAGGTAAATGTGTTGTCGGTGATCCAAGTTCTTTAACTTAAGATAATTGTTATAAAATGAGTTAATACACCTATAGTTGGAATGCTTAGACTAAAAAATGTATTGCATGTGGAGCAGGATCAACTTCAAATAATAATTCTACCTCTGTTAATAATAGTATGGATAATACATCTAATACAACAACTGATGATCATGGATAATATTTATATGTCCTACCCATTTTGATTTCTTTTATATTCTGAGAAACAATAATGAAATTATATTCATATTAAATAATAATTATAAATATTTTATTTATCGCATAGTAATTATTAATTTAAATAATCTATTTTCATTAATATATTTATTCTCAATCTATGTAAAATTTAATATTCCTTATAGAGCTCCAAAAATAAACTAATTCATCTTAAAAGAAAACTTTCATAATTCTATTAATCCTATTACTGAGATTATTAATTTCATATCAGTAATAAGAAGGCATCCGTAGATTANTAAGATAATGTTCAGATGCATCAACATCAACTTCTACTCATAATGGATGTTTTTCATATTAAATCAATACAACTAGTAAATGTACTACAAATGAATCTAAATGTATACCCTTGGCTGATTGCTCATCATATACTAAATAAGGTGGTTGTGTCATTGATAGTCAATTAAAAGCATGTACTTGGGATAATATGGCCAAAGCATGTAAAAGTAAGACATGTTCAGATACTAAAAAAACTAAAAGTTCTGAATGTGCTTCTGCCTTAGCTGGATGTATCTCAGATGGAACTAAATGTATAGAAAAAGGAAAATGTTCAGATTACAGTACTAAAGAAGCTTGTAGTGCTGGTGGTACAGATGGTGCATGTGTATTCAGTCCAACTTCTAGTTCTGCAACTACTGGAGTTTGTAAATTATATACTTAATGTTCAGATGCAAATTCTGATTAAATTGCTTGTCAATCTATGTCTCAAACTTGTAAATGGACTGTTGCTACAGGAACTACTCCTAGTTCATGTTCTAATCATACTTGTGATACAGCTGCTAAAGGAACAGCCAAATGTGTCACTATCCCAAGTTTTGATGGTAAGAAATATACTGTTTGTTAACCATAAGGAGGTAAATGTGTTGTCGGTGATCCAAGTTCTTTAACTTAAGATAATTGTTATAAAATGAGTTAATACACCTATAGTTGGAATGCTTAGACTAAAAAATGTATTGCATGTGGAGCAGGATCAACTTCAAATAATAATTCTACCTCTGTTAATAATAGTATGGATAATACATCTAATACAACAACTGATGATCATGGATAATATTTATATGTCCTACCCATTTTGATTTCTTTTATATTCTGAGAAACAATAATGAAATTATATTCATATTAAATAATAATTATAAATATTTTATTTATCGCATAGTAATTATTAATTTAAATAATCTATTTTCATTAATATATTTATTCTCAATCTATGTAAAATTTAATATTCCTTATAGAGCTCCAAAAATAAACTAATTCATCTTAAAAGAAAACTTTCATAATTCTATTAATCCTATTACTGAGATTATTAATTTCATATCAGTAATAAGAAGGCATCCGTAGATTAATAAATGGCAAATAAAATTTGCATCTAATAGTCTAACTTAATAAGAAGCAGTCATAATGAATATGAATAACACAAAAATCATCATAACACTAATTATCATTACTTAATATATGACAAAACTATTACAATTTTAATTTAATGCAGTTTATCTTTTAAATGAAAATAAAATGTAAATATAAAATCTATTAGAGTGGTGATAAAGACTAAATCTGTTAAACAATTACTATTAATAGATGTAAATAAGAGTTGCTTAATAACTTAAACATTCTAATTTTATGATGTGAATATCTATTTAATTGTAATATTTATAAGGTGTTTGCTAGACTGGATTTTAATGAAGAAGTGAAATATTTATATATTTTGAGGAATTGATTGACACATCATCAAAAAATGGTTTTAAGACACAATAGAGAACTTGATTACTATGGATCAGAAAATAGTTGAAGATTAAAATTATGTCTAATGTTAAGCAGAATTCGTATTACAAATGGAAGTAATGTTTGTTATAGAGATTACTTATAAATGATCCTGATTGTTTGACAGATTCAAATAATTATGCATACTAATGGATAAATTTCTTATATTATAAAGAATTTGAGTAAATTTCTCTATTTATTTTCCTTATAGTTTTCAAAAATTGAGTTGCCTGTAAAAGAGATCTACTCAAAGATGAAAAAAAGAGAGAATTAAACTATTGACTCCTTGAAAATTAAAAAGTATTTAAAAACATATGTTTTTGTGTCGATAAGATTCAGAAATAAATTAAAAAATAATAATTTCTTCATATTGATAATTACAGTTTCTACTGAAATAATATACTAATCTAACAAATTTTATTATCACAATATCATTTTGAATTTGAGATTTCAATTAGATTGATTTTGTAAAGTTATTTTAAAGAAGCCAAAACAAAATAATAAAGAAATAAATTTCTTACATTTATTCTTAGATAATTATATTAATTATTTTAATTAATTAAAATTTCATAAATTTGATTGCTTTTTGATGTAATTTTAAATAGAAATACCTTCTTTTATTATTCAAAATTATAAAGTAAATAATGAGATTAATCCTTTTTTTTAATAAATATTTTAATATTGAGAAATTATAATTATTTTCACATTTATTATAATTGAAATTTTATTAGAAATTATATACTTTAATTTCAAATTTTTCATTATGATAAAGTCTTGAATGAATAAATTATAACTAAATTTAATCAAATAAAATAATAATTATATTATATTGATAATTCACAATTTTTTTTTCAAATCTTAATTATCCATCATAACAAATTTTTATATTGGATTATCATAATATAACTATATTTGTAATTTTCTTTATTTTTCTATTTTTTTTAAATGGTTATTATATGCCTATATCCCTTATTCTAGAATGTCAACTATTAAAGTAAAGCTCATTATGAAACAAAACAGTGCTATATGTAACCAACCATAGAACAAAAATTAATCCTCATTTAATTCTAAACTATAAACTAAAAAAGATCCTGTTATTATCAAAAACACTACTTCTCTACACAATAATTTTGCTAAATCAAAATTTGATTTTATAGGTCTAAAGAAGATTAAGTACATAATATAAAAGAATGACTACATAGAAAGTAAAATTGATTATGCTTCTGGATATTTTACGAATTTTACTATTATTGTAATATAAAAAACTGTTCTATAAATTTAAAAAGATTTGAAATTACCTGCCCAAAATTCAGTTTTTGTATCTTAAAAAAAATACTACCATTTTTATTTATCCTAAATTTTGGAAGTTGTAATTGAAAGCAATCTAAAAAGTATTTAAATGATAAATAATAGGCTTGCTAATGCTATTACACTATTAATTATCTCAAAAATAGAATTAAAAGTATATTATGGAAATTATAATAATGTGCTAAACACTAGCTAATGAAGTGTTGAGTAAAATAGTTAATAAACTCCTAAAGAGAAATAATTATTCTTCAATTTTGAACATTTCGATAAAATTGTCTTTTAAAAAATTAAAATTCTATGAAGAACTATTATATTATTACTATTCTTTTCATAACGTTTTCTCAACCATTATGATACTTGAATTGAAGATATTAGACAGCACATAAAATATGTAAGTAATGATGCTAAGTAAGAAAAGAAGCATCCTTTTGCATTGATTAAATAAAATTAATTCATAGCATTTGTATATTAAGGTTGTTTCGATTTCTATCCTTAAGATGGAAGAGTACCTCCATTAAGTTTAGCAATAATCTCATTAACTTTGAAAATATCTAATATGGGTTATAAAGAGATTTTAGTATAGGTTTCAAGAAATTAGCTTAAATGAGGAGGAAATTTATATTGCATATATTTAATATAAGATAGTGATTACAATAAATCTAATAAATTAAAAAATACAATGTAATTACCAGTTAATAAAAGTATTCCAGCAATACTAGCTGTTGAATAAACCACAGCATCATTCATTTTGATAACTGAAGTTACTTTTTTTTAATTATCTTCTGATAATAAAAAAGGGGTTCCAAGAGCTATTTATTTGGTATTTGTAGTTAAATCCAATTCAAATTAATTAAAAATACAGAATTTCTGAATGTCAATTTATAAAATTGGCTCTGCAACAGATTTCAAAAATTCAATATAAATTTTATAACTAGGATTATTTAATTAAGAAGTAATATTAATATTAGGTACAATAGTAATTTTTTATTCTGTTTATGGTAAGATGATAATTTCTACAATATTTTCAAATGGAAATTAGCATAATTTATAAACATTTTAAGTAAAACTTAATTCAAGTATTTTTGTTTGATTATTTTTATCAGATAATAGAATTAAATTGAAATCAGGTTTTTGAATAAAAGTGCAAATACTTAATGAATTTTCTTAATTAATGCATAAAAAGGAATCTTCTTCAAAACAAAAAGCTGAACATCCATCTCCACCAATATTATCTCCATCATCGCATTATTCAAATTAACTATTAAGTATTCCATTCCCACATTAATTAACACATTAATTATTTATAAACATTTAATTCTCTTTACATTATACAGTAAACAAATTAGTATCATTTTATTTTAGTTCTGAATCTATATTTTAATATAGATCTTAGCATTTAAATGTTTGAGTATCTAAAATAAAATATAAGTTATCGCATTATTCACAATGATTATCCTCTTTACATTGTATACATCCTAAAGAACATTAGAATTGGCATTCATAACATCCATCATATGGGATTTCATTGCCATCGTCACATTCTTCAAAAATGGGAGTAATAATTTTATCCCCACAAATAGGTAAACATTTTCCATCTTTAATCTGAAATGGATATGAACAAATTTCACAATTTTTGAACTTATCACAAACCAAACAATCATTATCACATTAATATTTACAATTAATACAATTTAAATCATCAAGATCATCACATTACTCATTAGAAAAATTAGCCAATAATCCATCTCCACAAATCTATATACATTAATAATCTTTAAGTTACCATCCTTCTTAACATATATAACATTAATTTTTAGAACAATATAAACATTCTATTTAACAACTTTTTTAACATTTGTAACAACCATCAAATTATATTCTATTTCCATCATCACATATTTCTTGTGATAATATAATACCATCCTAGCATTTAGGAATACATTGAGTTTTATGAAAATCTAATTCATATTCATCTTAACATTCCAAACACTTTCCAAAATACTCCACTTTACAATTATTTAATTATAAAAACTTTGATTGATTATGTTCATATCCAAATAAAAAAACTTTAAAATTCAAATATATCTATTCAAAATATCCTAAATAATTTTTATTATTATAATCTATGTTAGATAATTGATTCCTCAATTATAATATATTTTATTAGTATCCATAATCTATAAATAAAAGAATCCAATCTCTTTCCATATAAGCCAATCCTATGTTATCAGGAATATATTGACATTAACCTTCTAAAACTAGATAATTCTTTTCACACATTAAACACTTTCCAAATTAACATAATTTACAATCTTTAGGGCAAGAATACTTGCATTAATGACATCCATCAAAAATAAATTAATTACCATCATCACATTCCTCATCATAAGTGATGATGGCATCTCCACATAAAGGAATACAAGAATTAAATTATTCTATAAATTCCCATCCAATTAAGCATTCATAGCAAATTCCTTTAATACAATTTTCACAACCTTAAATACAGTCATAATTATTAAAAAAACATCCATTAGAAGGAACAATATCTTTATCCATACATCCTTTATTACTAAGAAATAATTTAAAATCTCTCATTCCTATATATGAAGTTATAGTGTTAACCTAAGTTTGTAAATCAACTTTTATATGAATTTTTAATCTTTAATTCTGATGTTAATATTAAATCACATTAATTTCCTATATATCAATGTAATCACAAATTTAGCTATTTGTTTTTAGTACCTTTTAAACATATTCAGTTGTAAGTACTAAACTCTCATCTATATAGATGTGTATTTGAGTTGATTGAGAATTAAAAATTAAAAGTTTTAATTAAAAGCTAATGCCATAATGTAAATCTAATTCAAAAACTTTAATTAAATCACTTCCTTGGGAAACTATGTAATTAAATCCTTTATAATCAAATCTTATATACCTAAGCATTAATTAATTGTTGTATCTCCAATTTACCATCCATCTTCATAGTTAATATTAGAGAATTCTATTAAATTAAAAAGTTGCAAAACCAATTCTTAATTAGTACATCCGAATGAATTACAGGAATCACATCCTATTAAACATTCATTAATTGATAATTAGAATTCTGTGATTCCCCAAATTGCATTTGTAGCTAAAAGAGCTACTGTGACTGATGAGATTGAATGTTAAATGGTAATTGAAATAGGGAAAATCAGCCAACTTTAGCTTGTACTAGCCGATTGATTAGCATTTGAGTAAATTTATTCATGTTCGATTTGATTATCTATATAAATAATAAATTTATGTTGGTTATTATTATCTAATCTAAAAACATAATTCTATATTATTACCGCATAAATTTTAAATCTAATGTCAACTAGTAGTGAGGTGAAAGTTCTATTGTTTTATAAATTAAGTATTAAGATGAAGATGAAGATTAGTCTATGAATATTGCTTTGTAAGAATCACAATTTTCCGATTAGAATTCATTCTAACAATTGTATTGATTATCACATGCATACCATGCTTAAATGATATTAATATTATTATTACTATTTGAAAATTCGTCACTAAAAAGATCCCTGTAAACTACTTTTTAATATGAAGAATTTATAAAGAGACAAAGTATCATAAAAATGAAGGTTATACTCGAATTATTGGATTAAGATGCAAAAGTGCTGATATTCTAGTCAATTACTTAAATAGCTTTTTTAATAGGGGATGATTGTTCAAACATATAATAAAATTTATGGACAATATTTGAGATAAATGATGCTATATATTCAAAATGTTGTAATCAAATATTTAATATTGGTGCTTATTTAAAAATCCATATTTATTGAAGATATTGAAGGAACTGAAGGTATTGTAAATAATGAAGGAAAATTAATATGCATTGAAGGGTAAAAGTTCGAACAAAAATAACACAAATACAAACTAATTTACTAAGAGTTATTAATTCTAAATGAATATTTAACTCATTTACCCTAAATACTAAGACAAGAAAATATTGAAATGAAATGAAAATCAATATAAGAAGAGACCTTACAATATATAGAATAAATATAAATTTAATTGTTTTATAAGGATAATAATTAAAAATGCAAACAAAAAAACCAATTAAATTTAATAATTTAATTAAAAATATAATTGATCTTTTAAAATCAAATACCGATTTAGAAGGGTAAAATATAAAAGTAGATAGAATATATTTATAAGGAGAGTGAAAGGATATTAATTAATTTAAAAAATTTTAACATTAATAAACAAAAATCACTGTAAATGGTATTGAAAATTAGTTAAGAAATATTCTAATATTAATTTATCAATTTTTTGTTTCTGATTTGATATGCCTCTCTAAAATTAATATCTCTTGAAAGCTAAAGTTATCCTTATTAGTCTTGCATCTAATAGGGCGTCAGTAATAATTAAGCTATTAAAATCTTCATCATTATTATAATAGTAGACTTGAAGGGGTATACCTAATTATAATAATAGATGATAAAATTCAAATTGTATTTATTGTCAATTAATTCTAAATTAATATAAGAATTTGAAATTAAGCTAATTAGAATAAATTTGAATTATTTATCTCCAATAAGAGAATGCTATTTATCTTGATTAACCATTGACAAAATATATTTATTTTTATGTCACTTATAGTTTAATAACAGTTCAGCACTAATTGTGTTTTTGAGATTCAAAAGTAAAAGAAAACAAATCAAAAGGAGATATCATTTTGCAAATTTAAACATGGGCATAAATCAGAACAACTATTTTAAAAGGAATATAGAAAAAGGACATTGTTAAAGTATATATGTTGAATTTATTCATTGTATTTTTATTTAAAAATTATTAAGTTTTAATTAAAATATTGTTAATCTAATATTCATTTGCTCTTTGTTTCTAAATTTTTAATTTAAAGTTTAATCACTTCAAAAATCAAGCAATAATTTGTTATTTAACTGATGTTATATTATGAATACTACAATCATCCATTTTATGTTTCTACTATTTCTGCAAGGGAGCATTTTATAAGGAGCAATAAAAAGGTTTATTTCTTCTTGTTAAATACTTGATGGAATAGGAAGAATTCAATATCGATAATATAGATGGAAAAAGATATTTTTGAAATAAACAGAAGTCAAAATTATAAAATAATAGCTTTAAATTTTGAATATATACAAATATTTGCTGCTGATGTTTTTGTATAAATCATAAAATTTCAAAATATCTTTTAAAGAGTAGAAATATTAAAATTTCCTCTCTTTTTTGAAGAATTTTATGATCCTCTTCATTCATTTTTGCTTCTAATAAAAAAATCTGCTTATGTATGATATTTTTTTTTAGTAATATAGGTGAAAAAATACTTCAATTAATTAATTAATTAATAACAATTCAACTCTTTTTGCATAAACTAAAGAGATTTGAATTTATTCATAAAAAATATTAAATGTTAATAGTTCTATTAAAAATATTGATAATTTGAAATAATATAACACAAAGAACGAAAAGAGATTAAATTAAATGAACAAATTGTTAATCCATATCTAAATTTACTAAAAAGATATTTAACATAAATTAAAATATTATTTATATTTATTCAGAAAGTCATTTAACTCAATTAGTTTGCAATTATACATTATTGTGTTTTGAATCTCAATAATTTTTTTAAATAATACAATCAAAATATTTATAATTTTTAAAATGGCATATAACTAAATTAAAGAATCCATATGTCTTATTCCCTGTTTATGAATAATTATGATTATTCTCTTGACATATTAATATGTTAAAGATAAAAAATAGCTTTTTTCTTTTTCTTTAATAATTTTCTCTTCAAATTCAAAATCAGGATGAAAGAGGAGTAAATTTAGAAAGAAAAAGAAACGAGAAAATAAGTAGAATAATTTTAAGTATAAATTCTAGTCAATCAATAGAAAGGTTTATAATTATTGTTATTATTATTATTATTTATATGTATAATTAAAAATAAGTTTAACTAGATTTTAATAAAATTAATAAGAGATAATTTTTAGATTTCTTGCAAAGTCATTAAGAATAATAAAAGACAAGTTTAATAAAGTAAAATATTTAATATCAAATATGATATTTGTAATATTACAATATTATTTCTAGATTAAATCCTTCTTATTTCAACATATGAGTTCTGAATAATTTCTAAATTGACATATTGTATTTATTATATTCTTCAGCTTTAATGAATCATATAAATTTAAATTCAATTAAGACTGGTGTACTTTTTCGTTTTAATTTAAGATGATTACTCATGACATGTCATTTTTTTTTTTACATTTCTATAATTATTGTAATAGCATATGATTAAAGTAGATTATTAGTTTACCTNAAATCCATTTACTCTAAATTTTGAAATATTGAATGCACGAAATTAATTCTTCAGTTTTAATTACTATTATTTGCTGAATGTTGATTTCGATAATTATTATTGAAAGTTCTAAAGTTAAAATTGTTCCAGGAACTTGAAAAAAATATGTTAAGAAAATAAATTAAACTAAAATTTTTTTTGTATATAAATTGCCTAACAAAAAATGGGCTGTTAAATATATCAAATATGTTAGATGAGAATAATAAAATATTTAAAGATTATAGATCGTTCTCATTATTTAAATAATATTAGATGCAATTATTAATTTTAATCCACTATTCTTAATATATTATGATTCAAATATCCTTTATTAAAATACATTATACAGTAATTCTTTTTAAATATAATTTCTTATTCAGATACATTTGATTTAATTATATTTTCTATTTTTTTTTAATAAAGCATTTTCATATTATTATTGATGTAATGGCCTTATTTCCAAATGACTCTCAATCTTATATTTTAACACCACTAATCCTATTAAATAAAAATTATTTTATTTATCATTTAACTCCTTTAGGTCCAAGTTCTCTTCTTGAAATCTCTTTTGAGAATAACTTTACATCTTATTAAGGAGCATATTTTTTCTCTTTCATAAAGATTAATTCTTTTTTTTTATTACTACTTTTTTTACTATTTTTTCAGACTTCATTTTATTTATTTAAAATAGAATCCGCAACAGCTTAATAAATTTTTCTTAAAGTTCTAAAATATTTAAGAAGTAAGAGTTGAATACTGATTAAACAAAATGAATCATAATTTCTTTTATATTTTTATTTAATTATTATTATTTATAGGTTTTAGATAATAATTTATCAATTATTATTTAAAGAAAGATAAACTACATTTTAATTTAATCAGAATAAATTATATTATATAATTAAGAATATATTCCAATCCAAATTTTATTAAGAATACAATTATAACAACAATAACATGAGTGTGTAATATAGAAAATATGATTACCCAGCATAATTAATTATTTAATTAATTAAAAATTCAAAATGTATTTAACTTTAAGCTCAAATAGATAATAAATAATGAACTATAATCCAAAATTTTTAAGCTTAGATTTTTTCTTTCATCTTTGGCCTAATTGATAAAGAGCATAGAGATTATTAATAACGCCCATTTGCAACATTGCATAAAATATCTTGTTATTGGAGCTTATAATTTAAATGAGGGCTAGATGATGGTTGATTGAGGGAAAAAAATTATATGAAACTCAATAAAATTATATATATGATATTTATAGATTTAATAAAATCTCATTGGAATATATTTAAAAAAATTGATCTGAATCACAAAAAGATTATTAGAAATTAAATAAATCATCCTAAATTATCATTTCTTCAAATTCTCATTAATAAATTGATTCCAAATCTCTGAAATCTATATTTAATATATAAATATCAATATATAACTAATTTACTCTAAAGTATTTATTTTCAATGAGGTAGATTTGATGAAATAAAAAGAAATTTTATTAAATACTAGCAAATATGAGGTTATAAGGGAGTATTGGAAATATGGTTGAACCTCTTTTTTCTCAGAAACTCTATCCAGTTAGTATCTAAGTCAAAATAAATAAAAAAAATTAAAAATTCCAAAATTTTGGACTAGATAATTAAAATTAAATGTATTTTATTAACAAACCTTATGTAGATAAAAATATTTAAAATCTTTAAATGTATTTAATATTTAACTCAATTAAGGAATTCTTCAACTAAAAATTAAGATTCTTTACCAGAGAGGCCTATAATTCTCTTTCCATTTATGAAACAATACGGGAGCTGATGGTAAAGATTCAGAAAGTAAGATAATAATAATAATAATA